GAGCCAGCAGCCCACCATAGTCCCACGGACGATTTTCAATTGAACGACATGCCCATGTACGATGTTAGTCAATGTTTCTCCACTGGTGGTGTGAGCCAGCAATGGCCATCATCTCACGGAACAGACAGTTTGGTGTCACGCATGGTTGAGAGAGGTTTAGCTCGGACAACGGACCAAAGTTGGCAAACAGATAAACCTCAGCGTATGGCGGGTTCCATGACACATGATGAGGCAAATCTCAATATTCCATCATCATATTCACCATCTCTTGGGTTGATGCAATGCAACAACGTTCATGGCAACAATGGAGGGAGCCCAGCTGACACCCTGGACTATCGGCTTGAGCAATCTGCATCACAGATCGATCGGTCAACGATACCGGCCAACACCTCCTTCCCTCTGAGCCAGGTACCAATCAGCTCGGTCGCAGCCCAGCAGGAAGCCTTCAGCGGCACTTGGAAACCTGCATCAGCCAAACGTAAAGGACCCCAAAGTCGCATTCCGCTCGAAGCGAGGCAAATTCTGGAAGATGAATTTGCAGTGAATCCATACCCATGTAAGAGATGCTCGCCAATGAATTGCTTGTGATATATACACTGACTTCGTACACGTATCTCTTAGGTACTTGGGAATTAGATATCATTGCACATCAAGCCAATCTCGACGTGAAGAAGGTTCGCAACTGGTTCAATAACACCCGAGCTCGACAGAAATGCGGAGGCAAGTAGCTTCAAACCTGATTGGCTATCCTTTGACTTACATACCTAAGACTCTCAAGTCTCCACACTAGAGTTGTCAGATCGCAATTGTCGCGTACTGAAAACAAAACTCTCAAGAGATAGCCTAGAGAGTCTTGAAAAGCAGGCGAATGGCGCTAATCAGCTGCCGCAACCACCTCTGGCAGTATATCTTGCACAGTCATATCAAGAAGAAGCAGTAGAGTTGTCTCTAGTACAGGCCGCCATCGATGATAATTCTCTTAGCGAGAGTAACCCGAACGACGGGTGGTCTGACTCGAGGCAAGGCCGTAGAGGCTCTGTCATCACATCTGTTGCGTCTTCCGAAGGCACTGCACTGACAACTTATACGGTTTCGTCTAACGGCAGTCGCGGCAAAACTTCGTCTTTTGGTCGTGATCGAAGGCGGGGTAGACGTCGGATGGCTTGGAAAGAGTCACCTCGCCAAGCTATTAATGGTGTCAAGTAAGTTGTGATTGCAAAAGACGCATATGAGACATGCACTGACTTCATATCTTCACCTCTGTAGCAGTGCGGGTGAACCCCAAAAGGATCTTTCTTTCTTCTGCACCTTCTGCCCGCGAGCGTTCAAGACGAAGTATGAATGGATTCGGCACGAAGACTCTGTTCATGCGCTTCGAACTACCTGGATCTGTTGTGACACGAAGTCATCTGAGATACTCGAAGCCTGTCCATTCTGCGGTCAGACCCATCCTGATGACACCCACATGGCTGGCCACAAATATCAGCAATGCAGGAGCAAGCCCGAATCTCAACGGACTTTCTATCGCCGCGACCACTTCATCCAACACATGCATCATGTTCACTTCGCTAACATCAAACACCCATCGGTACGTGTCGGATGCCAGGCCCGATTGTTAGCCGCTCAGGGCCATTACTTCGGCTGCAAAGATCTCGCCATGAAGTGGCGTCGCTTCGGTGCTCCAATGAAGAAGGACGACCCGATGCTTCATTGTGGCTTTTGTGGGAAAAGATCCAGAGACTGGTCTGAGCGGTGTGAGCATATCGCCGAGCACCTCATCACGCGTGAGCTTGACCGTGCTGTGTGGTGGGGGGAGCGCAAGGAGAACCATCTGGAGAATCTATACTCGACGACACCCTACGAGTCGTTCCGTTGCCGATACTGCCAGAAAGTGTTTACGGATGTCAAGGAGATGAACGAGCATTCCCATTGCCGTGTGTGGAGCTGCCGTTTCCTGCGAAGCTTTGACGACGTTGCTGCTGACAATGCAGGACCACCGCTTTGCCCGGACTTCCCTTCGGCGAAGGCTCACCATTGCTATCTTTGCGGTTCCGGCTATCGCACGTTTCATGTCGAGCATGCACAGAACTACCATCGCTATCGTTCATGCAATCAAGAATTCTATACGTCAGAAGAGGCCTTCCTCCAGCATTTACACAACTTTCACGGCGCTTCACAACCTGCGCTACTGCGAGATAGTAGCGTCATTGAGCAGAGTTTCATGCGTAACAAAGGCGCATCATTCGAGCCCGTGGAGTTCAATGAGAGCTGGCAACCTTGCGTCATGGATCTTGATGTAGCGTCTGTTAGTCCGTTTATTGCCGACAACGCTGCCCCAACTTTGCCTGTCGGGCAGAGAAAGAACCAAGCTCAAGGACGCAAAGCGCTAGCGATGCCGAAGAAAACCCGCGATGTTGTTCAGACTTACGACGCGGATACGAAAAAGGCACAAAGGCCACGGTCGGATACCACGGTCTCGAAGGCAGAGACTCATCACCCACGATTTTTCCGACTCAGTACATACGTGCCCTTCCGTTCATCTCGCGTGTTCTTTTCCCGATCTGCAAAGCCAACGGATTTTCCGAAAGATGATCATGCTGTTTTGGAAGAGCTATCGAAACCGCATGTTGCTACACTAATCATGACCGCGGGCACACTCAGTATGGCTGCTACCCGTTGGTTCATTCAACCTAAGACACATGCGCTTGATGGTCTGATAGAGCTCACCATCGATAGTGAAGGAGACTCAGACTGAGCGTCTTCGTCGGGTTCCGGGGCCACCAGCGGCGTAACCTTCCGAGGTCTCCTTCCCACCGAAACCACAAAGACACAGACGTCATGTTACCTTGCTTCAATGATTCTCTGCGGAGGCTCGAACTCGAACTCAAGACCTTCTGTCTGTTGTCCTGAGGAAATCGTCAAGTCCAACTATGACTCCATCTACGAACTTCTTTTGTTGAGCCTCGCGCTCGCTAACAAAGACGTCTATAATGTCGCTACTCGAATCTACTACCACGAAAACACACGCAAGTTGGACTGGTCGCGTTTCCACTGTTCGGTCCCAGCTAAGGTGGCTTGTCCACATTCTATTCGTCCGACCCCAATTTTGGTTTGGTATTTGCCCAGGGCTGTTGCACACCACCCAACAAAGCTCGAGATAAATATAGAAGTCTGTCGTTCCGATGATGGATTCCCGAAACTCTTCTGCGATTGGGTGATCACGAAACCGTACAACTATCCTCATTAGCTCGTGCCTACCATTGTGGGCCAAACCGATACACGTGGAAGTCGGGCATGAGCGCATTCATTGTGATGAGCACTGTAAATGCATGACTGAGATTGCTATTGTTGGTGTGATGTGAATATAGTCCTGGACTGGACTGGTAACTTCGGCAGTGTCGCTGGGATCATGGTTGCTCGCAGCCCGTTCACTCTCATTTGCTTAGTGGGCCATACCTTCCAGGCGCACATTGTTGAGGGCTCGTGGTCCTCACTTCGACCTCATCTGGGTTATTGGACCCATATGATAGTTGATCTGTGTCTATTCAGCATAAAGATTCATCGCAAAGGCGTCATCATTGGGCAGACTTTCCGGTTTCGAAATAGAGTTGTGGCAGTTCATGAGGAGATGCTCCTCTGCTAGGAAGGAGGGGTAGAAAGAAGGAAGTCGGTACGGCTCTACATAGTGATGAAAGAGAATCTGGACGGAATGCATCTCCGATTCAGCAATGAATAGACGATGGAAGGTGGATGAAGCCTAAGACTTGCTTAGGCACAAAAAATGAACATGGTCTCATTTGGCTTGCAGTGTCCCACTTCCCAACGAGTCCTCAGCCCTTTTCACAGCGTCGCCCTTTCTCGCTACCGCGTTCTGGCCATGGCAACTCTCCTCGTTACAACTTTTTCTCACAATAATTCACGCGAACCAGTATTCTACTCGCATCAATTCCCTAGCAAGTCCAAAAACGCATCACGATGAATACAACCTCTGAGCATAGCGCTGCAGCATTCAGTAAAGTTGCAGATCAGGAAACAAAGGACCTCCGTCTATACAACGACGACTTTCTCAATAGGCTTCAAGCCTTGGCCAAGTTCAAGGATCGCGCACACAAGACGCACCAGCAGGTACACGTACCAGAACTCAACAGACGTCTTCAGCTCGATCTTCATCTACCTTTACCGGACGAAGACGCGTCTCCACTTTCACCAGATGCGCTCTCACGAAACCTTTCGAATACATGCCCCATTAACGTCATCTACCTCGGCAACTCAATGCTTGAGCGCTTCAAAACCACTGGTGCCAATACAAACATCGGCAAACTAGGGAACATGGGAGTCGCATGGAACGCCGGTGTTGGCGGCGACAAGAACGAAAACGTCGCATACCGACTCAACGAGGGTCTTTACGACATGCTCCGGAACGCGAAAAAAGAGAGATGCAACATCAGAGTCTGGATCCTTACTTCTGGAACGAACAATCTACACGCAAAGCGCCCTTTTCGCAAACAGGACGTGGAGAGTTGGAGGGTATTGGTAGAGACCTGCTTAAGGATTGCTCCGGAGAGTATGGTACTGGCTTGCGATATGACGTATAGGAAGGACGTAGCTGATGTTTTCGTCGATGAGAGTAATAGGATGCTCAAGGAAGTCGTCGAAGAGATTAACGAGATTTTGCAAAAAGACATGGAGAAGGAAGACGACTCACAGGGTGGCAAGTGTCAAGGAGATAGAGTGAAGTGGATTGATTCGAGACATGTGATCAGCAAAGACATGCTTGTGGATCATGTGCATCTGAACGAGGAAGGCTATCGGACCTGGGATGCTGCGTTGTGGCCACTTGTGGCAGAGGTATTGGGTATTCAGAGTAAGGAAAGTGAGTAGCTGTCAGACAAGAGGAGAGCTGAGAAGTGCTAGCCCAACTAAGAAGCATATATTTCATAACGGTGAGTATGAGCAAAAGCCAATATGTAGGAAATCAATTACTCTTTCCAGATTCCTCAAAGCGCGAGTGGCGCCTGCAAGTTAGATTGAGATTTATATCTATTCACCAAATGCAACCGGGGTATATTAAAGCAAGAACTCCGCTTCCAAACTCCTGATATCTGACGCGATTCGTAAATCATTCTCGCCACTCTTTCGCGCATTGGGTGCACTGGTAGATGTTAGCGAAGCTTTCCGAGATGTCGGATGTTTAGAGTACCTTGTAGAAGGCGGTCATTGGCTCGTCAGCGCTACGAATCTGTAGCTGGTACCAGTACGCCTCGTGGTTCCGGCACTTCTCGTTGGGACATTGGACTGTTCGATTGTCAGTCATATGCATCGAGCGTGATGGTGCACAGCTGGACTGGGCGTCATGTGACTCTGAAAAGCCCGGATATCGTGCGACGTACCTTCTGTCTTGTCTACGTTATCCCAGGCACCCTTTCCACCCAAAATGTCTTCGACTTCCTTCTTCTTCAGATACTTGCGCTCGTAGTAACGTTTGTTGATTACAAAGTGGTAGGGACAAGTAAGGCATTCGAAACGGTTTTGGCCGACAGAGTCTTCGGTTGTAGGGTCACCGGGGGGTACTTTGGACACGCGAAGCATGTTGCTGCATGTTGGGCAGACTATGGCTGTTAGTGTTGGGTGCGATTGATTTGCAGATGAGGCAGACGAGGGCATGGCAATTGCTAGCGAGCGAGGAGAGCTTGGCGGCGCACAACTTACAGAGTAACATGGTTGGCGACGACAGAGAGAGCGCAGAGCTGGACGCGTCAGAGATGATGGCGAAGAAGTTCAAAAGTTACAGCGGACCCTGAACCGCTAGGGCCGGGATAGGCAAAGTGCGGGGCGATTATGGCCCAGCGAAAAGCCACTGGGGACGCGCACTTGGGAACGGACTGTCTCAGATTGGGGGCTTATGCACGCTGGCCTGGGAGACATCGCCTGCTTTCTTATCGCCGTATGAGAGGGATACTTCACCTGTTCACACCGCCTTGAGTTGTTCGCTTTCCGTTAGCACTTCCGAGTACCCCGCCAAACAACATCTCGAAACATTCACGCGTACCTGACTGGACCGTTCTTCCCTGTTCAGTCACTCTCCATATCCTCAACACCACACACCATGGCGGACGAAGAGGTACATGCACCTGCATACCATGCGCCTCGCAGTGCTAATGGACATTTAGGGTGCCTCTCCCCGCGAACTTGTGCTCGAAGCGTGCCGACGCAACAACACCGAGCTACTCGAGGAAACACTAAAAGACCTTGCTGCTGCTGCCTCAAAGTCAGGAAAGAAGCCCGAGGACCATGTGGCCGACATACTGAACAACACACGCGACGGCGTGGGCAACGGCTGTCTTCACGTTGCTGCAACATACGGAAGCTGTACGTCGCATGCTACATGTCAGGACATGAATCAACTGACTCTATCCTAGTCGAGGTTATCGACATGCTCCTCGACCAAGAGGGTCTCGAGATTGACGAAATCGACCGCATGGAGCAAGATACCCCCCTTCACAAAGCCGTACGCTACGTCAACTCGCTCGAAAAGTCAGTCTGGCCCCATGGCCACTCCATCGTCGCGATGCTGCTAGATGCGGGATGCGATCCAAGAATAAGGAACAAGGCGAAGCTCAAGCCCATTGAGCTGGCGGATCCAAGGAACACAGAGCTGAGGAGCATGCTACAGAAGGGAGAAGTTTCGATGCTAATGAGCGGCGACGTGGTAGAAGACGACGATGATGGACCAACAGGAAGTGCTAGTGATAGCGATTGAGGCGTCACAAAAGGCAGAGCATGAGTTGGAAAAGACTTTTGGACGCCGGTTGCGGTGGTGACTGGGCTATCGTCATAGAGGCAGAGGTGTGTCTACACCTCACCACCGGCACTCAGCGTGCGCTACGCTACTGAACAAGTTCATAGTATTGGCTTTGACAGCCATAGACAAGCAGCATGTACCCATCTGTTCCTCGCTGCCCACGAGCCGGCCTCGCGCATGTCTGTGCCATCTGGATGGAGAGCGACTGTTGCTTTGGATTCTCGTTTCTGCATGTCGTTGTAATCAACCCTATTGTTTGGATCCGAAGTATCCTCTTCAGTCTTGTTGCTACTTGCTGTCAGCTTGCTGCTTAAGAGACTCCACATGTTTGTTACTCACCTCAGGCGGCGGCCCAACTGGCCTGACCATGCGCTCGAGCAACTGCAGTCTAGTCTTTTCGCGCGGCTGTCCCAGGCCGATGCTCATGTACTGCAGAAGAGGCGGATGGCCGACATAGCTCGAAAGCGAGTCGCGCGCAATGTTCGATGTCCATTCGTGCTTGGTAGTGTCTGCGCTCCCGATACCGATGTAGCGAGCTTGGAGGGCTTCGAGTTGTTGCTGTGCGCGTAGTTTGTCGGCCATGACTGCGATATGTACGGAATTCGGGTAGTCGTCTAAGATGCGCGGATCGGGTCGTTTGGGTTTGACAGGCAAAAGTTGGGAACGTCGCGACCGCGGAGGTGCTGGGGGGATTCCGGCTTAGTCATGACGATGCATCAACTCCACCATCGCGACAGCCTGAGGGACGCATATCATCAACTCGACAAGCCTCGGAGCGCAACACCTTCCCTCCTAGAATTACGCGTCGCATAACCATCTGCAACCGGGAAACAGCCACCATGAGCAACCAAGACACGATCATGGGCAACGCGCCCCTCACACCACGCGACGAGCCCGAACTCACATCCCCAATGGTCGACTTCTCACCATCGACAGTCCCATATGACGAGGCCTTTGAGAACGGCCTCATGGATATATTACTCAACCCTCCGTCTCAACCATCCCCGAGAAAGCCCTCGGACGATACCCCTACAATCCCCGCGTCACAACTACCCATACCACTCTCCTCCAACCTCCGTACACATACTTCCGCCATACCGGGCCTGTACGTCACCCACAAGAATGGATATCACACAGGCGGCCCAGGTCCATCGCCCCACACTATCGAGGAGTTCGCAGATAGATTCATTAGAGAGCATGGCATCGAAGACGCGGGGCAGTTGGAGAGGGTAGTGGAGGATGTCGTCCGGCACAAGCTGGAAGAAGCTAAGCAGAGGATGGAGAAGAGGAAGGAGCTTGTAGAGAAGAACAGAGGTATTGAGAGGGAGTTGGAGGATCTGAGGTTACAGAGGAGTGCTGAGCTGAGGGTTATGGAGAGAGTCAAAGGGAAGAGGAGATGAAGCTCAGAGAGTGTCCTAATGCTTGTATAGATTGGAGCCGTCGGGAGATGTGCTACCGAGTTGTTATGATACCCGACATTTCTTATGTCAAATTAGTGGAGGCGCAGCCATCAGCTTCATCTACAGCGATTTATTCTTGGTGGGCATTAGGAGCATAGACTCCTTGGCTGATCTATGGTGACATCCTCATACAAGGTAAATGTATGACCATGTTCGTTCATACAGAGATACAGGCTCTAATGCTCACTGGCCACACCGAGTACGCACTACCATTGCGCATACGATCCAGCAGCCCGACCGCAACATCCACGATATCCCAGCTCTGTAGAGTGGCAAGTCACCAGTATATCAATAGTCCCATAGAGCACGTGAATCATCCCTGACACGAAAGTGCCCTATGCCCTAAGCGGGGGACAAAGCTACCCGACCGATCAGACTTGCAGCCCACGGCAGAGAGAGAAGCTCTGGCCAATAACGTCATACCTCAACGATCATCACTGCAGCCTCCATGGACGCGCAGGACCCTTGATCATCGCTGCGGCGTGAATTCGAGGGTCATCTGCTTTGCCATCGCGATCTGCCCCTGCAGCTTGTCGCCATGTTTGTTCCACCCAACAGGTGGGGGTGGATACCACAACCTTGATTTTTGATCGCAAATTGTCGACTCTACTCCGCGCTATATGTAACGGGTCGGTACCGCGTCACTACGACCAACGCATGAGCACGAACAATCTCGGCTGGTGCATAACTTGAATACACACCATTGTAGGCGTACCTTTGTACGGTACACTGGCGACCCGCCAAAATGGCAGACAAACTTGGACATCTGGCTTGGAGCGGCTTCAAGCTCACATTTGGACTTGTCAGCCTTGCTGGAGCATGGACAATGGCGGTCGTCAAGAACGGTGCTCTTTGGGCAAAGGATACCCAAGAAGAGAAGCGGGAGTTGGCTGCTGCGCAAGAGAGGTTTTGGAGTCTCGATCGAGAGCCTCTGCCAGGCTTCAAGCATTCTTTCTTCAAGACCACCACTGGCACGAGTCTGCACTATGTCATTAACCAAGGCGCTGAATCATCAACGGTAAAGAATGTTGCTGTCTTCATACATGGTATGTAATTCCTAGGCAGAATCATCAAAGGCCCCAACTTCAGGAACAATACAGCTAACCAAGGCCAGGCTTCCCAGACTCCTTCCTCGTTTGGCGACACCTCCTCCAATCCGCGTCTCTACAGAAGGACACCATCCTGATAGCCGTCGATCTTCCTGGCTACGGCGGCTCCGATAGTCTGCCCGCATACGGCCCGAACGAAGTACTCGAAGCGCTGAGCGAGTTCATTGTCGGCATCAGAGAACAATTTCTGCAGCAAGGCAAAAAGACAGTTGTAGTCACACACGACTGGGGTGCCGTCATTGGTGCGCGACTGGCGTCCGAGGCACATGTGCTAGCAGACCACTGGATCATTACAGGCGGTATTATCCCTGGTCTACAACGTTCAAATGGGAGGAATAGGATACTGTTGGCCAAGCAGATGCTGAGGACATGGATTCGCTCGCCATTCAACTTTCGTCTGTTCAAAAACGGCCTACATGCGCTAGGCCCTGTGGCTGGGCAATTCCGACGCTCTTTCTACATCTTCGTATTCCATCTACCGTGGCCTCTAAACAATACCTTCGCAACTTTCGGCAATTACTGGTTCTTGCGCATTCTCCACAGCTTCGGCAAGGGCACGCCGGGAAAGAGCAAGACCCCTGCTGTCTTAAATCCTATAGAAGCTGCCGAGGCCATGGCGATTTCGACTGGCCCTGGAAGCGCTCAGTTGGAGAAGACGAACAGTAACAACGAAAGGTATGGCGAATCCGTCAAGAGGAGAGTAGGCGACCGTGGCATGTCCGAGAAGATTCGCATCTATCGGGAAAACCTTGTCTTTGGAAAGTGGGAGAAGTCGCTCGAGATTACTGCCGCTTTGTACAACATCTCATCCGAAGCTACCTCTTCACAATCTCTATCCCCGTCAGGCACCCTTTCCAACATGGCACCCGAGGGTGCGCTGAAGGCCCCTTCGACGTTGATGATGGGACTTCATGAACCGGCATTTGACCAACGGCTCTCCCTCGACAACGCTCGAGACTATCTGGTCAAAGGAAGCCAGGTGGTAATCATCAAGGAAGCGGGTCATTGGTACGCGGAACCTAATCAGTCTGTTGATGAGAATACACATGCTAACACCTTATAGGCTACCGCTCGAGCATACAGGTAGACGCGCAATGGAGAAGACGTTGCAGTGGGCGTTGCACAACGGTGCGGGAGGAGAAACGATACCCTTTGAGTCGATGAGCGATGTACGCATTTTGGAGGCTTTGTAAGAAACGATATATAGGATTTGTGTTACGAGTCTTCCGAGCGACTCGTCCATTGAACGATCTTACAAGATTGTCTCAGGATAACGCACAACCAGCGCATCGAGGCAGCAGAAAACGTGGTAGTCGTCAACAGCCTAATCAGGGTACGACACTGAAAGACTGGGCGATGGTGAGAGAAGCTCGGGACTCAGCGGAAAATGTTCATCAACGCAGACAATCATGTCATTATGATTTTGCTCTACACCAGGAAACCGAGATTAGGATACGCAGAATACAAAAGCAGCTACACGCATATGCCAGTGTATGCCACACGCTAAATCAGCACAAATATACATCCTACATGTTAACCTTCTAAATGCCATCGGTCCCCTCTCTGCTAACTCCAAACATGGGTACAGCACTATCACTAATACCCTGTACGCGCTCACTCACTCCACTTGCCTCCATAGCCCTTGGACTTCCCATTGCAGGCGTATTACTAGGCCAAGCCCACAGCGCATCGAAGTCAATCTGCTCATCCTGCCCACTCTCTTCGGAATTCAAACTTGGGACGCGTGTTGCTTCCAGAGCAGAGAGATCAAGCATTGCTGATAGCGAAGGTGGCTTCGAAGTAGATGTGAAGGGAGGTGTGGCCATATCCATTGGTGGTGGTTCCTGGATTGGTGATAGATGAACCCTAAAATCTTCTCCTGAGGCAGCGGGTGTATGCTGGACGTTGGTTTGATGTTGATCTTGGTCAAGATGATGATGTTGCTCAGATACTTGGTACGTGAGTATCGGTTCGTTGAGCGGCGCTGTTTGCATCCCAGGGTAGATGTGTACTGGGACTTGATGGAGCCGTGGTGTTGCCTCCACTGGGTTCGTCGTATGCACCATGTCCGTCGTCTGGGGGGCGGCGTTCCGTTGTTGCTGCGGCATCTGCACCCCGTAGAGTTGTGATGCAATGCTGGGCAACGTCGAATTGCTTGTCTGATCCTGTCGCCTACGTAGTCGCTGCTGTGCGACGACGTCTCGAAAGGTACTGAGGATATAAACAAGACGGCTGGCCTGCTGATCGCTCTCAGCACAGTAGTTCATGACGTTTATAGCATTAACCACGCAATTGTCCGTCAACTCGATTTGGTAAAGACCGGCAAAATCGCTCGCGAGGATCACGAGTGTGGCTGCGAAAAGGAAATAGATGACAGCTGGGTTGCGCCGGGATAGGTAACCAGCTTCGTAAGCGTTTTGTACTAGCAAAATGGTGTGTACAGAGGCAATGACACACGCTTCGCTGAACCTCTCCATACGATGAAAGGGTCTTGGCCCTCTTGAACTAGACTGTTCGACGTGTCTTTGAGTCTCCTTGTTGAGTATATATAGTAAGAAGGGTCGGGTCAGGAGGATGATGGAATGACAGTAAAATAAGTTGGTATGCAAGATAGCCACGCCTTGACTGGGCGAAGCAGTCGCCGCTTGTCGCCATTGCAAGATGGGTGTCAGCAGTCGCGGCCAAGTCTTGCATATGTCTGATATCTCCTGTGCAAGGCGTGTGCTAATCTTGCGTTGCTGGTAAACCTTCCGTAAGATGACGCCAATCACTCTACAGCTCCGGACGGTGGCCTCTAAAGCTTGAGGACCAGTCTCGTTGAAATCGTATACAGTCTTTGCACTGAAGCTCCAGTTCTGGTCGCGAACACAGTCTGGCGGCCGCAGGGTGTCTCCTGAGCAGTCATCCTCCGATATAGCGGTTGGGCGACCCAGAGAGCAGGACAGCAATCGATCCATGACAAAGATCGACCGCCAAAGGTCTTTCCGCTGAGTTTGCTCTTCGGGACTGAAGATGACCATAGTCTCTTCTCTGTGCAGACCGAGCGCAAGCGCAGATCGTACTGCCATGCCAAGCAATGCAAAAGCAGTGTTTCGCTTGGTCTTGGCCAACATGTAATAGGACATGAGGAGTAGCGCTTGGACAGACCAAAAGTCCTGGTCTTCCAGCCCAGTCATTGGATCATTCATGTTCTTAGCATTGAGGTAGAACGCTTCGGCTCTATCGAGGTGCTCGCTTCGAAGCTTGTCGATAATCAGAGCTTCAGGACTTCCTGAAAGTGGTGTAGCCATTGTCAGTCCAATAGCAAAGACTAGATTGAGTAGGCATAACCAGGAGGCGTCCACAGATAGTGGATCGGAATAGCAATGGTCTAATTTCTCGAGAAAGTAGTCACGATGGAATACCTGCAACAAGCCATGAGTATTGACAAAAAAGGCATCTACGAGCAGGCGAGCCGTTTGCTCGTCTGGAAGGAGACTTGTGTGTCGATAACCCAATGGGAGCGAGTATTGGCCTTCGACTATCTTGTGTCGTCGAGGGTCAGTTGTGAACGGTGATGGACCGGCTACCGTTTCGACCATCATCCGGAGGAGCTGGAGAAAGGACAAGGTGGCTGCATCGCCTATATATATCACTCGACCGGTTGGATCTTGTAGCATACGGCTCTGGCTTGGGAACTCCGCCACATCATCCGCACCATCGTGAGGTGTAGTAACATTCGTGGAATTAGGTCTTTCGCGTGCATTCTCAAGGTTGCTAGATAGGCGATCAATTGGAACACCTGTGTGCTCAATGCTCGGTCTGGGGCCTGGCGACTTGAATGGTGTTTCTTGCTTTACACTGAGTGTGCGTGCGAAGTGATTTGGACGAGTACCGGAAGACGTTCGGTTATGCGACAACAGCGGGTTTGCCTGCGTATGCTCATTGTTGGATGTGTCCGTACCCGAGTTTTCATTCAGGCTATGGAGACAGTCAGTGATTGTATTTGAGACTGAGTAGGCAGTGTTGATCAGGGACGTAGTGATTCAAAAAGGAGTATCAACGTTATACGATTCTACAAACGCAATAGCGTAGTAGAACGTAAAGTACTTACGACGGATTGTCATTCTCGTTGCTGTTCTCAATTGTGCGTCTCTTTGTGGGTGGTCCATCCTCATTCGGGGAATTAGGATCCCGATCCGCATATATACATGTGAATTTGCGCTTATCACACGTGTTGCATGGGCATAAGCCGTTGCACTTTGTTTCGTCAGTCTTGGTCTACCAGGCAGAGCACGTGATTGCACGTGTCCGTGAGTCATCTTGCGAAGGAGCCGATTTGATCTGATCTACAGATGATATCTGCGATTACAAAGCGATGCGTGACTACAGAGTTCGTTATGCTCTTGAAGAAAATTATGGGGTTGCGGAGCTAACCGAAAGCCTCCCGCAATGCTCTAAGCAGGCAGCGAAGCTTGATCGGTGTGCAAGACAACATCAATATGCTAGCGCAGTATCATGCAAGAACAGAGAGTTGCAGGTCGTGAACGCTGACAGGGATCTGTGCCAAGGGCTTTCGTAACCGAGTGCACATAGGCTCATGATGCAGCAGTTGACGAGTCTGAGAGCTTGACTTGCCTTTTGTTTTCTTCTCTTGCAACTTTCGCACGCCTGTGCTGTACGCTGTCGTTGGTCTAGGACGCGTCATATTAGCCGTGTGTTTCGCCGGTACGAGCGCAGACGTACCTGGTGGGACCTTGGGTCGCGTCATTACTGTATAAGGCCTGCGGCAGTATCTAGGTAGCAATCGCTATCACGTGCGAATTCGGATGGTCAATGCCTGGGAGTACATTGCCGACGCGACGGATGGATGAGCTGGTCGGAAGATGCACTCGCGGTAATGAAGAGAGCGAGTCACGGAAGTCCCATAACACTACGGAAAAACAACCCGGAAAAGAGCCCCGTGCAGCCTTTGCTGGTTAGATTGATGAACGGATGACGGTTACAGTATGATTGAGGTGGTCTCGCTGATGAAAATGGGTGGTAATTGCTTCGCGGTTGTCGCGAGGCCGCGAAGCTTGGGCTGCCACTGTTCCGAAAATCGAGTAGCGCTTGATGTCTGCCGATCATCACGAAATCGGCGGCACGTTCACACCCCAGCCCAGCCCGCCCTTTAGACTCAACCCGTTGACGTGCAGGACACCTGCTAGCCGACGCTGATTGCAATTGCCACGATCGCAAGCGGTCACCATGCTCGACATGCCGCTAATCAACTTTTCAACACCGAAGCCGTCACCAAGCAGCAATTCCCTCGGCCCGTTCTTGAAAGGGCAACCAGTCTTTTACCTGAAAACCCCTTCGCTGCCATTCCATCCCATCTGGTCTAATCTTTACATCACTCAACATGGCTCCATATTTGGGAACCGATAGTCATCAGCATCAATGCGCCACACAAGCCAACACCCTATTGGCGGGCACCACATCAGCATTAGAACAGTTAATCACCAAGGCGAGGCAAAACCTGCCCGAAGAGTCGCTGCCTCACATTGCCAACGTCAAGTTTTCGACTGCCAATACAGGAAGCCCTTACTTTCCCAGTCCACTGAAGCAAACGGAAGCCATCTCAGCTCTTAAGGCGGTTGAAGCAGGAGTTGCATCTGCTATAGCTGATCTACAACATGCTCAGAGGCCACGGAACATTGCTGTGGATCTCGAAAGAGCAACCGCATTTCTATTCTCAACATACTTAGCCACTGTAGGAGGGTTCGATAAGTCAAACCCAAAAGCGAAGAAGTTACTCAAAGGTTTGACTTGCTGCTTTAGCATGTGATGGTCGTCACTGACTAAGACAGATACCGATCTTCTACAAGCGCAGTCTATTCTTTACCGCAGATTGTCGGCAAACCTCTACCAGACAAAAAACCCAGGAGAATACTTCCATCTTCATGGCTCTCTTGAAGCAACCAAAGCGCTCAACATGATTGGTCTGGAAGGATCACGGCCCGATTTGACAGACTATCATGAATGTATCCAGATTATCGAGGATCATGTCAGACAATACACTGCCGAACAGCTCGAAGAAATGAACTCAAAGATCAGACAAGCCGGGGTAACTTGCCTGAAATGGGAGGATTTCCAGAAATCCGATCACGGACAGGTTCTCCTTCAACAACCACCTTGGAAAGTAGAAACTCTCGAAACTGAAACTCCCGCGACTCCTCTTCCTTTCCAGTCGTCGCGTGCGCCCAAGCCACAAATCCTTGCCGGTATCCGCGTCCTCGAACTTTGTCGCATCATTGCGGGCCCGGCAATGGGTCGTGGTCTGGCCGAATACGGCGCTGAGGTCATCAAAGTCACGTCGCCGAACCTTTCCGACGTACCTTTCTTCCAAGTGGATGCAAACATTGGCAAGCACACTACCGACCTGAATCTGAAGGAGCCAAAAGATCGAGCTATCTTCGAAGAACTTCTACAGTCTGCAGATGTAGTTTTGGATGGTTACCGGCCTGGTAGTCTGGATCGCCTCGGATATGGACCCCAACAGCTCCTCCACCTTGCCAAGAAGCGCGGTAAGGGCTTCGTCTATGTTGCCGAAAATTGCTTCGGACATACTGGACCATGGGCATCACGACCAGGCTGGCAGCAAATTGCAGACTGCGTGACTGGTGTGGCCTGGGCTCAGGGTCAAGCAATGGGATTGAATGAGCCTGTCGTTCCACCGTTTCCCATGAGCGACTACGGTACAGGCTGCATGGGCACCATCGCTGCGCTTGTCGGGCTACACAGACGAGCGAAGGCTGGCGGGAGCTATCTAGGCACCACGTCGTTATGCCAGTACGATATATATTTACTTCAACTCGGACTTTACGACGAGCATATAATGGCTGAGCTAAGGAAGGAGCATGACCAGGAGTTCTTTCAGTTGCGACATCACGATTCGGTAGATGAGGTCGGAAAGAGAGCACTGAAGACCATGAGACGAACACATCCCGAATTGTTCGAGGATAGACATATGCAGGAATGCTTCAGTAAGGGGTTCAATGCCAGCGTTAGGACCATCCGGCCAGTTGTCGATATCGAAGGCTACTGGAACGGCTTCTTGCGCAGCTCCCGCCCCAACGGTTTCGACAACCCTACTTGGGAAGGTTGGGAGATCGATGAAGCTTTATTGCAGGGTTGACGCGGCTCAGCCGTTGCTGCATCACAAAAGCCTTTTCATGTTGTCGTGTCGTTTCCCATGCCCAACTTAGCGGCATTGTACTTGAAAAATACGCACGCCCTTTGTCTTCTCCCTAAGCTGAGTACTGTACTTATTCCTAATACAATTTCGATAAGCATTTGTCCACGATCTCGACTACCTAAGGTCGCGCCTCGGCATAGTATCTACTGTGCCCCACATCGCCCCACAGTATTGTCAGTCTTTCCGTATAGGCTGGTGCAGCTTCCGACATGCCACTACACGATGCAAGTTTACTCCACATGTACTTGGTGCTTACAATACCACCGGAAGAATAGGATGTCGCTATATGTACTGTCGTGTCGCTTCGCGCGCGATGTTCCAAGTAGGAAAGAACGCCGGAGAAGGATTATACACTAGGTACGCGTCCCGTTGCAAAACTAGCTCGAGTTACAGTCGCTCAATACCCAGAAGGGCCGTTGAACCTGGAAACGAAGTCGTAGCACATGTGAAGTAAGTTCACAACGGGATTTCGGAGCATCATCTCGGTGGATCATCCCGCTCGTCGGTTGACAATGCGTGCGACATGCGGAAAAATCATGAGCCAGTTGAGGCAAGTACCCAGTTAACCTGTAGTCATTTCGGACTTATTTTGAACCATGAGCTGACTAGATTCAAATCAACTTGCTCCTGAAACCTTGAGAGACATATGGTTAGTCGAGTCGACGATCCCTATATCTCACTACATGTTGACTTTGCTGCAGTAAGGCAATGCCGGTCACAACCGTCACTACTGAGCCTTAGTTAGGCGAATGCCTTTGAATTCAATGGCGCCTACACTAGCATTAATCGCGCTATCGCATAGTCTCATCAGAACGCGACCTTGCGTTCTTATATATAATCGTTGCTTCTGTAAATATCATTCTCTCAACGTCGATACCCTATGAGTGGCCAACGGTAATATTTCCGTCTGCTGCACTGCTTTCCCGTATAGACATGAGCCCATGCAGGAAGTCGACGTTATCGCCTCATCGTTACATCGGAATTGCGAGAGGAAAATGACGCGATTGGAACGACGACATTTGGAAAGGACGGCGCTACCCTCCGCGCATGCTGGCCATCACAAGGGCTTTTTACTGACTTTGTCATGTTCAGACTCGGAAATGCAAGAGCGATTAAGGCGCTGCTATCCCAGACTTTCACATCTTATGCTTTACGCTGTCATTGTTTGTTAGATTGTTTCCTTATATCGCTGTCTCTGCTTCCTTGATCTCGACAGCGCATAACACAAAGCCATGAGTCTTGCACTTTTCTCCATTACTATCTACCGAGTAATTGTTACGCGCAGTCTTTGCTTTATCTGTGTAGTTTCGTGTTTGAGGGTAGTAGAGGCTGCTTATACCCCCGGCTCTGGTGAGCGGAATGTCTTGGATCAGAATAAGAAGTTGAGATGATTCTATTGAACTACGTACAGGTGCCCTATCTATAGGCATATCTAACAAAGAGAGAGGAACAATTAGTTATACTGCTTGTTCCGTACAAACTGATTGTACATGAGATGGAAGCTGGTAGAATCCAACAGAATGTGTAACAGCTGAGCTGGTTGAAATCGTCTTGAGTTGTATGTTATTGTTGGCTGGTAAGCGGCGGCACTGTATAGAGAAGATTGAGGTGCGATCGTGAGCTATTACAGCTGGTATGAGCCGCACTCGCTGCTAACGAGATTGCTATCAGTGACGTCCTTGCGACTGATTAGATTGCTGATTGACATGCAGTTGTCTTGTTGGCTTGATATTTAATAAGAGGCTAATGTGTCACTTGTACTTGGGTTAGAGGTTCCATACAAAGTCTGAATAGAAGCGTTACTCTTACACGACCTTTTTTTCGATGGTGTTTGTTCTTCGTATTCTTGGTTGTTTTGCGCAAGTGACTTCTTTGGGAGCATTCAAGGATGTAAAGCACGGTTCCTGGCTTGGTTTCATCTGCTTTACATCTTGATGATCCTGTGCGAGGATCTCTCTTTCACGTACCTGAGTAATACACATCGAATTGCTAAGTATTCTAGTACTGCCATTCATGGTTCTGGATGAAGCGCGCAACGCAGGGACGTGAGCACACACAACATCTTGTGCGGCTACTAATTCCAGCCTTATTGATCTATTGGGACAACAAGCCAAAGCACGCTTACCTCTGATTCCGCGCAATGTTCACTGCTACCCCCATGCTCCTAACGCTCATCACATGCCCAACCTCTTGTTACCGCGCCTGATTTACCATCTGACCTTCTACAAGGCCCAGCACACCCAGCATCCAATCTCCGATTTCTTGACTCTCCTCCGGCTTCACTGGATAAAGATGGCCCTGCTCCCAGTGCCTTACCACACTCTTCCCCTCACCAATCTCATACCACCCGTCGATCAATCCTTGCCCCGCCCATTTCCACTCATCCTGTAAGCCCTGAACATGAAATGCCGGTAATTCAATCTTCTTCGCTAACAGCTCCTTCCGCTCTTCCTCGCTCATCCCGGACGCTTCAAGCGCTGCTGTAACAGAGGGCGGAATTAGCGGCGGTGGGTATGAACCACAGACACTGAGTCCAAGAGCAAAATTTAGATGATCAAGCTCTGTTACATCGGCTCCTTTGTCTGCGAGCGCGCGACGCATCTGACAGCCTTTGAGCAGGCCGGCGACGACTTTGGTGCCTTGAGAAAAACCAATTAGACCGACTACCTTGCCGCCGCTGGAGTTGATACGCTTGACGGTAGTACGAACGAGATCCTCAACTTCAGGTGACATGGCGTTTGTAGAGTTTCCGGCTTTCATATCGGAGATGGTGACGGTGGATTGCATCCAGCGTTTGAAAGGGCCGCAGCCTTCGAAGAAAGGGAGGACACCTGGACCAGGTTGGGAAGGAAATGGCGCTGGAAGGTTTGGTCAGATTGTTCAATCATCCGAGGAATTAGATGTCCAAGAACCAAATGTAGTGATGTGGTGTTGATGGAAAGAGGTCGTTGGTGGTTCGGTGTACTTACCTTCTAGACTTTCGACCTCGAAATGTCCTTTAATCACCCTCATCAATCTTGCTAACTGGACTGTATGCACCGTCGCGTTGCTTCCTGAGCCATGGAAAGCAAGTAATGTAGGCTTCATATCGCGCTCCAAGCCTGAAGCTCGTGGTGCTATGCCGGGAGTCATGTATGTGCTATTTGTTGTTGGGGCCGCCATTGCAAGAAGATACAATTCCAGATAGGATCGGAGACCGACTGGCGAGGAGTCGTCCTGAAGTTTCCTTGAGTATCGCGGATGTACCCTGAATCGCTCGCTGCAGGAAATGGAAACCCTAAAGGGTTGGTGCTGATTTTCCAGATGGTGGGTGGGGAAGAGTGTTTGCTTCTTTTCGTCTGTCGACTACTTTTTACACCGCCAGATAGCCTGTATCCTCTTTTGACCAATGTTGGATAGGCAACTAAAGTCGCACAAGGTGTTGGCTGTTTTCTCACAAGGATCGAGAGGCTTGTGTATTGTAACCGTGGAGGGATGTCCGCTTATCGGGCCGCAAAGGTCGTCATTCGCCAAGAACGTCTGCATTACTCGCTTCATAAAGAATGATCTATTCTGGCATCGCTACGGTCGACTAGTCAAGACATATGGGAAAAAGAAAGGGAGATTGGTAGACCACGAGAAATTATCCAAACAAGATGTCAAATCAAGATCGAGAATGCCGCTCAAGTGGGGCCGGTTGGTGGGAGATGCATCTCTGGATTACGCATGCATCCACTTGACAAGCGCTTCTTAAGCTAAGAGCGCCCCTTCTAAGCATTCCGTTCATTTTCTGCCCTTCATTGTCATTACTACTCAATATCCACATTGGTTGCTGTGCAACCTATATCGATTCATTGCCCACATTTGCGCCACACCTTGCCTACTCGCTAAACGTACGTCACACAGAAGATCAAAGAAGAGGAAGAAAAGGCATCAACGCCTGGTGACCATATTCAAACTCAGAAACTCGTTGTCCCGGCCCTCGGTAGCGTACTCGAAGAATCGCTCGAGCCCTTGCTTCTTATTCCGCTCTTCCCAGAGCTTATACTCGTCCTGGAGCTTGCTCTAGTCCTACCCTTCTCTCCTTCCTTGATCGCCCTCAAGATTTTGATGCCTTCGTCGGTCTTTCCTAGACGAGAGACAAGCGCCGTGTTCTCGTGTTGCAAGTCTCCAATCTGCTCCTTAAGCAACTTGTTCTCCTGCTCCAATATATCCATGCGCTGCTTGTACTCGTCTCGCTCCCGCTGAGCTTTGGCAAGCTGGTTCTTATCCGCTTCTTTCTGTTGGCGAAGGAGTAGTTTCCGTGTCTCCTTTTCGCGGCGCTCCTCGAGTTTGCGCATTTCCTTTTCAAACTTTTCCTGTTGTTTCTTCTTCTCTCTCTCGTGCTTCTCGTTTGCCTTTTGCATCTCCTTATCCGTCTTCTGGGTCTCAGCTTGCAAACCCGATTCATGTTTCTCACGAGCCTCTTCGAGTTTTGCCTTCAACTGTTCCTTCTTCTCTTCAATTTTTTGCAGCCCTTTATGATGATGGGTGTCCTCATTCAATGGCAGAGACTGTTGTGACGAGGTCGATGGTGTCGGGATCTCTCTGTCGATGGGAAGGCCATCGCGAGCAGTGGTGAATTGCTCAGCGGACGCAAATGATTCTGCAGAAGATGAGGTGCTCGAAGAGCTGTCAGATCTTGTGCGTCGTAGGCTGTACTGGCTACCGGCTTCCCCAGTTCTATCTACTATACTGGTTCCTACGCCGGCACCCATGCCATTGGCCTCGGTGGGAGAGAAAGTCCGCTCGGTATCGTGCGCTTTGGGTGTTTCTGCGGAGCGGTCTGTGCCTGCCGTTACTTCGGCTTCCACGTCGTCGTCCTTTGCGCATGCCCAGTCAAGAAACTTGACGGCGTCCTGCACTATACTACTAGGGACATTCCGTTCGACCATGAATCGGGGTATGCCACCACCGGGATCACTGCGCGTTACCATTATCCACTCGACTGGGTTAGTCTCGGCGTCACCGTCGCCCATGGGTATCTCTCTAATCATCTCAATCGATTCGTAGAAGCCTCTTACCATGTTGGTTCGCGGCGGCGCATCCGGATGTGAGCAGGGTATGGAGACAACCATGAAATGTCGCGGTATCGAGCTGGCGACTTTGGAGGCATCGGTAAGACATGTGTCCGAGGTAATGAGGAGGGTGATGAACTCTCGCGGCGAGGTCGGGCCGGGGAACTGGGCGGACAGCTGGTATACTGTCGTCTTGTTAGTTATCTCGGGCGGGTGAGCATGCGTGGTATCACGTACCTTGTAGCTGTCCCAGGCCATCTACAGTCATGTCCTCCAGTCTCTGGTCTCCTCCAATGCCTCTTATATTGCCCTCGCCCGGGCCGCCCTGGACTTGGAGACTCTCGGGAAACTCGCTCTTCATTGCGCGCTTCCACTTGTCGAAGCCGAGCCCTTCATGCACGCTCGACCGCGAAAACCAGGCTCCGTGCCGATCCTTTCCGGCCATCTTGAAGACGCTCATGCCTGTAGCGGCTTCATTGTTACCCAGCTTCACCGGCTTTCCCCACGACTTTTGTAGCTCCTCGTGCTCTGGCGCGGGCGGTGGCCGTCGGACTTGCGAAATGGTGAGGTCTTTGGAGCTCGTCGCAGGCTGTTGCTCGGTTCGGGTTCGTTGCGACGACTCGTATGGCGTACCATTGGGCGGTGGAGGCACGGAATTGGCGATGATTTCCGCTTTGGCAAGTATGTCGGGTAGGAATGCTTCGAGGTTGTCGGTAGGGACATCGCTGAACTCTTTCGGCCGGAGGCACGCGAGCGCTTCGTGGAGCTCCGCCATGGTTACGATAGAGTAAAGGCCGGGCTTTGACAATGTCTGTAGAGGATGCGACCAAGGAGCCAAAGCCACAGAATACCTAGACTGTTTGTGGCTGCTGTCAAGCTATATGCGCGCCGCTGTGAATGTTCCGACGTAGCCGTGGTGCCAGCTAGTAAGGTCCGGTGACGGGCGATGAAATCATTACCTGCGATTTATTTGATCTCATTTGCATTTCAGATGGAGCTTGAAAAAAGACTAAGAATGAACAGACGTGAACTAGGCGAGCAGTATGCCGAGATGCAAAGCTTCCAGGACATACGGTACCTGTCTGCATGCTCGCTCTCGCAGGTACTGTTGATGCGACGTCATCCCTGCATTCCGCTCGCTCCTTCGCGACGCGTGAGACCGGACGCGGGGTCGCCCGCCTCCACCGACGTATCCCTGGCCACCCTGCATACGAATACGCCCGTAGCCACTACGTCACACTAGGACACGTCCGGAGAGGCTTGCGAAATTGCGACTTTCACTCCTCCAGTCTCTTGGACCCATGTATTACACATGGAACACGCTATACATGTCTAACACAAGTCTAACATGCCATTCTAAGCGTACTGGACAACGTAGTAGAGAGGGGTATTCTGCAAGTCTAGACAGTGCGCCAATTCAATCCAATCCAATCCAATCTAGTCTAATCCGCGCCATGCAGGCGCTGAATCCCCGTCGACTTATACAAGGACATACAAAGCACACATCTGTCCATTTGTTAGTGCTTGTTGGATACATATCCAGTTGGCAGCTTACCATGCTGAGTCCCAAGATCATGCTGCACCAGAAAAGGACATTGTTCAACAGAGTGCGGCCCCTAACCCACTTGCTTCGTTGCAGCATCACAATCGGCATCTGAAGCATCATCGCAATGAATCCGTAGCCTCTGAACTTTCTTGTGATGCAACCCATGACTAGTTCGTGTGCCAGAGCCGAAATGAGAAAGGTGATTGTCGTAGCAAGAGGACGCGACATGTGGTTCTTAGAGGCCGAGTAGACATGTCTTCGGAAGAAATGGTGACTGCATGTTGGTGTGTCAAGTCAGTATACGCTTCAGATGACATGCAATTTGTACAGGAGCATAGCTTACACAGGCTTGTTCCACTCGCGCGAGAATTCGAGCCAGTCACAACTATTCCACCAGTCTGCATGATATGTTAGACTGCGGAACTCCCGCTATATGCTCCGCGTGTACTCACCTGCGTAGAACTGGCGGTCGGCGAAACCTGCATTGACTGTTAACAGCAGCTACTAGGCTTGATGGTAGAAACTCACGAGTTATCTCCGCAAAGGCACCCAGGATGTATTCAAATATGACGAGGAAGACTAGCAGGAAGGTAATCATAAAAGGGAAAAGGAGGCGACCGATAGTCTCGCTGAGAATCAAGGTGAAATCTGTAGCGCCATTTGAGTTTTGGAGTCGCACAGCTGATACGTCGAGCACCGGCAATATAAACTCCTCTGCAGTGATGATCATCAGGAAGATGCATCCGAATACGGCCAGAGTTTTGTAGAAGACCTCCAACCAGCGAATACTGGCGTTTCTAGGATACTCAAGCTCATAGCACAAGGTCGGACAAAAGACAAAGTCGACAAAGTTGTAGAGGGTGAGGTTGTTGGGGTATGAGACGTTACCAAGAGGCGAAGCAAGCTCCAACGCGAGGTCTTCTCTCAGTTGGCTCAAATACTCTGCGTTTGCCTTTTTAGGATCGGGCTCTTCTTGGGAGGGAGACTGTGGGATCTCGTGCAGATGAGTACTGGAACTCGGATAGCGAACCGCGGCTACTTTGCTAGCCTTGTCAGGTGTATCGAGATCGTTCAAGCGGCGTAGGGTTTCGCTAAGATGACCGTTGTAGAATCTTGTCTGCGTTAGTTGTGCACTCGATTTTGCAGACAATTGTATCCATACGCATAGGAGTGCATTTTCATGAAGATTGCAAGTAGATGCAGAGTGAAGAAGACCTGGGCAGTCCAGCTCCAGTCGCGAATGAAAGGGTATCTTTGTATTGGTCAGTCTACAGTACAGTCCAGAGCCAGGGCGAGCATACGTAGTCCAGAAAGCTAGCCATATTGTCTGGAATATGCTCTGTACAACCAGACCGGACGCGTTCCAACGCAGGGGCCCTTCCTTGAGGAATTGTCTCTGCAGGGGCAGCGACAAAGCGGTGCTGAACACCATGGCACCGTCAACCAGACCAAGCTCGACAACCTTCTCCTTGAAAAGCGCCCACTGTCTGATCTGGAAGGGATATCCCGTCTCAGTCAGGTTTCGTAGCATCGATGTAAGGACCATGATGGCGAGTCCGATCCAGAACAGAACGAAGAAGCCGCGGAAATCATGATAGTCGCTGTTTGGGTCGAAGTGGGAGACGCGATCTACGTAGTCGATGGTAGGGAACATGCGCTGCTTGCGCTGAGCGCGTATCTGTCGCCGCGCCGAAGAGGAAGCCTGGACGGAAGGCGGGGCATCTGGGGGTATGGGTGTACTTCTTCCACTGGAAAAGGTCAGCTATGTACCACCTCCACAGCACTGGTTCTGATACCTAGAGACGCCGGACCCAGGTTCCCGGAGCGTGCCATTCTTGTTAAACGCTTCATCGCTAAGTTGAGGCTTGAGCAAATCGATCCTCGTGGGTTTGCGCGGTCGCGGCGAGTGGAACTCTGTGTTCCCGTTGTGAGCAGTCGCGTCATAAGACGTAGACTCGGCCATTATGAAGAGAGGTGTGTGCGCATGTCGCGGATGTGTAGTGGGAAGGAGGATTCAGTCAGATGTGGTCAGGCCAGTCTATGATCAGCAAACTAACAGGGTCACAGGCTGTTCGTCTTATGGGGCAGTGAGTGGCAGACAAGACTCTGGACAAGCGCTTGCCACGAAACAGGTAATGGAACAGTAACAGGCTTGCATTTGATACGTGTAGACGTGCGAGGACTATGCAAGTGCATGCTGTCTGCTGATGCAGTGACCTAGCGGTTAGGGGAGTTGGCATCGACGGTAGAAGGGTCGGTTACATCAGCGGTCGCGCGAGTCAGGGCAAACATGTTGGAAGCAACCCCAAGAGTCGCAACGTCTCGTGGCAAGTGAAGTGGCTGGGGGCTGGATAGCGGAATACACGGTGACGAGGACAGCCAGAGGTCATTGTTAACTTGCATCTCGCCGAGTATGCAGTGGTGCAAAACACGTTTGCTTGTGCCTGTTTGTCGTCGGTGGCAGGTGCGTCCGACATCTGGAACAAATGACGGCCCGGCCAGCTGTAGGCCATGCCCAAACGTTGCCGACTACCAACTCGCAGCAGCAACAATTCGCAGAGCTACCCGTGACTGATTCGTATTTCCGACTGACGGCCGAATCCACCTCTTGTCCTCCCACAACACCCCTCTATCGAATCCATTAACGCTGTCCGGGTGGGGTCCAAGAGGCCACCACAATGGCTTCCTGTACGCCAAGCACCGCGACCCCAGCAGCTGTGGACATGTGCTAAGGATATACAGTGAAGCAGTTCATCCGAAATGTGCGCGCTGCAAAGACAATTGCCGACGAGCGTGCCGTCGTGCAAAAAGAGAGTGCGGCGATCCGCGCGAGCTTTAGGGAGGAAAGCCACGACTCCAACGTGAGGAGGAACAATGTCGCCAAGCTACTGTATCTCTTCACGCTGGGTGAGAGGACACACTTTGGCCAGATTGAATGTCTGAAGCTGCTGGCCTCTCCGCGCTTCGCCGACAAGCGCTTGGGATACCTGGGGACCATGTTGCTGCTGGACGAGAACCAGGAAGTCTTGACGCTGGTGACCAACTCGCTCAAGAAGTAGGCCCTGACCAGAAGCACTTGTGCAAGTCGGATGCTAACTGGTGCGCAGCGACCTGAACCACCCCAACCAATACATCGTCGGTCTCGCCCTCTGCACTCTCGGCAACATCGCCTCCGTCGAAATGGCTCGAGACTTATTCCCCGAAGTCGAAACGATAATATCGAGTGCAAACCCGTACATACGCCGCAAAGCCGCAATCTGCGCCATGAGGATATGTCGTAAAGTGCCCGACTTGCAGGAGCATTTCCTGGAAAAGGCCAAGTTGCTACTACAGGATCGAAACCACGGCGTCTTGCTGTGTGGCGTCACCCTAGTGGAAAACCTCTGTGAGGCTGACGAAGCCGAGGATGACGAGAACGGCGTCAGGGACATCTTCAGACCCACGGTCCCCAGCCTGGTCAAGATACTCAAGGGGCTCTCCTCGTCTGGCTACGCGCCCGAGCACGATGTGACGGGCATTACAGATCCATTCCTGCAGTGCAAGCTACTCCAGCTGCTACGAGTCCTAGCCCGCGGTGACGCACACGTCAGCGAACAAATCAACGACATCCTGGCCCAGGTCGCAACCAACACGGATTCGTCCAAGAACGTTGGCAACTCCATCTTATACGAGGCAGTACTCACCATCCTCGATATCGAGGCGGATTCCGGACTTCGCGTACTCGGTGTGAATATTCTGGGAAAGTTCTTGTCCAACCGCGACAACAACATCAGATATGTTGCCCTCAACACTCTCATCAAAGTTGTCGCAGTCGAACCCAACGCTGTACAAAGACATCGCAACACTATCTTGGATTGTTTGCGTGATCCCGATATCAGTATCAGACGGCGAGCGCTCGACCTCAGCTTCACTCTGATCAACGAGAGCAATGTGCGAGTGTTGATAAGAGAGCTGCTCGCTTTCTTGGAAGTTGCCGACAATGAGTTCAAGCCTGTCATGACCTCTCAGATCGGAATCGCGGCGGACCGCTTCGCACCGAACAAGAGATGGCACGTCGATACCATGCTGCGTGTTCTGAAACTCGTAAGTCTGTAGTTTTCACCTGATGTGGATCTGACTAACCTTGTGCATCAGGCTGGAAACTACGTCAAAGAGCAGATCTTGTCATCCTTTGTGCGACTAATCGCCACTACACCGGACCTCCAAACCTACTCCGTACAGAAGTTATATGCCGCTCTCAAAGAAGACATCACACAAGAAGGTCTTACCCTGGCTGGTTCCTGGGTTATCGGAGAGTACGGCGATGCGCTACTAAGAGGTGGTCAATACGAAGAGGAGGAACTTGTAAAGGAAGTCAAGGAGAGCGACATCGTCGATCTTTTTGAGACCATATTGGGTAGCAGTTATGCTGGTCTCATCGTCCAACAGTACATTGTTACAGCTTCTATGAAACTGACAACACGTTTGAGCGACCCTGCTCAAATTGAACGACTACGGCGGTTATTACAACGGTATTCCGCAAACCTCGATGTTGAGATCCAACAGCGTGCGGCTGAGTACGGAAACCTGTTTGGTCATGACCAGATCAGGAGGGGTGTTCTGGAGAAGATGCCACCCCCTGAAATTCGTGAAGAGTCACGAGTTTTGGGAGAAGCAACCAAGAAACGGCAGTCGAAGATCGCCAAGAAGAAGCCTGCGCAAGCGGCAACCGAAGACTTGCTACTGGATCTGATGGGCGACGCAGGCCCGTCGAACAGCATGAATGGAGCAGCCAACGGAACTCAACAGAGTCAAGATTTGCTTGCAGATATCATGGGCGGATCTTCGTCACCGCCTCAGACCTCATCTCCAGCACCACAATCAAACGTAGCGAACATCATGGACCTCTTCAACTCTGGACCTAGCACCTCTCCAGCCCCAGCACAGCCGCGCGCGCCACCACAAGGAAATTCAATGGACCTTCTCGGTGGTCTCGGTGGCATGTCGTCGCCACCACCACAAGCTTCAACGCCTGCAGTGGCTTCTGGTCCACCTGCGCATCCAGCATACAACAAGAATGATTTACAGATCACGTTCCAGCTTAAGCGTGACGCCAACGCTGTGCAACTCCTCGCACGCTTCCGCAATACTGGAAGCTTCGGTCAGCTATCAGGTGTGAATCTACAGGCTGCCGTTCCGAAAAGCCAAAAGCTGCAGTTGCAACCTATCAGCAGTAGCGAGTTGGAGGGAGGCCAAGATGCGACCCAGCAAATGAGGGTCACAGCTGTTAATGGGGTAAGCAGTCATCACATGCTTTTGTTAGAGATCTTATGCTAACAGACCTAGCCACCACCAGCAAGACTAAAGCTCCGACTCAAGATCAGTTACTCGGCAGGTGGTGGTGCTCCGGTAACAGAGCAGGTCGATTGGGCCGAGCCGACATGATTGCACAGCACATATTGGTAGTAGCGTCTTCAAGTAGCGAGCAGCATAGAGCAAATGACATACCCAGGCGATCATGACATGCACACAACAGATAAAACAAGCGTACAGCCTACCCGCGTGCTAAATTGCGCAAACACGTCCAATACTCAATATGGAGCGATTTGTCCTGTACTAGCGACACGCTCTATCAACGCCTAATCTGTTCATGAAGAAGCACTTTAGGTCACAATGACAGAGGTGGAAATAAGATGCGGGATTGGCGCCACGATACATCCGCATTTCCCGTAGATCACCCCGCCATTTCCAGGAACATGGACTTCCTGAGTGGCTCCGCACCCGTTCTCGCACAACCATATCTCGGCGTGCTCTATAAGCATCTCGTCGTGGGATCGCCTGTTCACTTGGAGCTTTCTTCTGCCGACAAGCCATAGGTTACGCAGACATCGCGATGACAGTAGCAGTTAATGATGCATGTTCAGGGATTTGCATAAAGTCAGGCAGACACTCATGGATCGGCATCATAGCACGCACAAGGGCCTGCATACTACAAACCTTACCAGCCACTCGCTTTTCTCCCCGCAGCGGTCACCCTGTCTCATCATGCGCTATCTACACACATCCAAGGAGCTCGGCTGGCACTAGCACGAGGGGATCGCAGGTACCCAGCCTCTTGTTATCCGCTGCCAGAGTCTGTGTATGTTCGCGCAGAGCTACTACCTTCCCCTTTCAGATGTTACATGGATCTTTTAATGGTGCCCCGATGTACCCAGGGTTATGGGCCTGCATGCGAGACTTGCAGTAGACAGTGAGCGTGATGCACTTGCCAATAGACAAGTCTTGGTAAGTACCTACTATGACCAGCCGCCCGTTCTCTCAAACTCCCCTCTCTTGCGACATCATCGACTTTGCTCTGTGCTCGCCTCATCCATTTGTGTTGGGTTCGGAGAGGACCTATATCCTTGCATGTTCCTGTCTTCCGTCAAGCTGAACATCGACCGGCCCGAAAAGTACTCCAGGTCTGCTCAACACATTCGTATAAATCATCTTTGGAACCGCAAACATCCGTGAATAGTAAACGTTTGGTCATTATGCATCTCACATCTTTCGCGCTTGGAAGTGGCATCTTGTCGCTGGTGTCGGCTCTACCGTCGAATACCCCAGTAGATCTGCCGAAGAGACAGGACGAAGCCCCTCCACCGACATATGCTTCACCTCCGTCGTCATCCGATGAGCGGGCACAGGCTGTGGTGAGAGCTTTCAGGACAAGCTGGGACGGGTACCGCAAGTATGCGTTTCCGATGGACGAGCTAAGACCCTTGAGCAACAACGGTAGTAACTCAAGGTATGTAACAAAATTCGGGTTAAGACGAGATGGTGCTAAAATTGTCTCAGAAACGGGTGGGGAGCCTCCGCCGTAGACGCTCTCAGCACAGCGCTCATCATGGGCCAAAAAGATATTGTAAATGAGATCATAGAGTACATCCCTACCATCAACTGGGCATTCACTGAGGACTCTGTCTCCCTGTTCGAAACCACGATCCGCTACCTTGGTGGTATGCTCTCTGGATACGATTTGCTGTCTGGTCCTTTGGCACACTTGGCAGATGATCCAGCGAACGTGGAAGCTCTACTCACGCAGTCTATCAACTTGGCCAATAACCTCTCTTATGCGTTCGAAACACCATCAGGAGTGCCCTGGAACGTTCTTACGTTTAACAACCGAAGTAACGATGGATCAGAAAATGGACTCGCGACTGTTGGTACACTGATCTTAGAATGGGTCCGTCTAGCTGATCTCTCTGGGAACCGAACGTTTGCAGACCTGGTTGAAAAGGCAGAGCAATACCTCCTCTACCCATCTCCAGACTTCGCCGAACCGTTCCCTGGGCTCCTTGGCTCCACAATCAACGTCACCACCGGGCAATTCACAGATGCACAAGGAGGATGGATAGGCGGCTCTGACTCGTTCTACGAATATCTGATCAAGATGTTCATTTATGACCCACGCTACGTCTTCCTCAAGGACCGTTGGGTCAAAGCAGCAGACAGTTCCATCGCATATCTGGCCTCCAACCCAGCACCCCGTCCAGACTTGACCTTCCTCGCAGCCTACGAGAACACGACTCTCGATCTGACGTCCCAACACCTCGCCTGTTTCGACGGCGGAAACTTCATCCTAGGCGGCCAAGTTCTAGACAGACAAGATTACATCGATTTTGGTCTCAAACTTGTTAACGGTTGCCATGAAACTTACATCTCCACCGCCACGCGCATCGGACCTGAGATCTTCTCCTGGAACACTTCCGCCGTACCTGCAAACCAGACTGGTTTCTTCAACAGGACTGGTTTCTTCATCGAAGATGCTGGGTACCAACTCCGCCCTGAAGCCATAGAGTCTTACTACTACGCCTACCGCGCGACTTCGGACCCAAAGTATCAGGAGTGGGCATGGGATGCGTTTGTGGCAATCAACGCGACGACGAGGGTTGGCAGTGGTTACAGCTCGATCAAAGATATAAATGTCGTTGGAGGCGGGGGTTACACAGATTTTCAGGAGAGCTTCTGGTTTGCAGAGGTGTTGAAGTATAGTTTTGCTATTCAGGCGGGGGACGCAGAGTGGCAGGTTAGTAGGGATGGGGTAAATGAATGGGTCTACAATACTGAGGCGCATCCGGTCAGGGTCTACGGGGGTGGGAATACGACGAGGGGGCTTGTTGGACAGTAGACGTAAGGATCCTTCCAAAGACATGTGGGATGTGAAGACGTAGAGAGATTTGCGTGTTTGCTCCAGAATAGTCTTTTTGACGATTGATCGCCGGGTATATGATGCAGATGTACGTAGTGTGCTGTGTCATGAAGCTACTCAAAGAAACCGCCGTCACTCTCCTCTGCTTCTTCTTGGGCTTGGACACCAAGTGCCCTCCTCTCGCGACGATTCTTGGCTGCAGCCAGCTTCTCTTCCACTTTCTTCTCCTTGAATTTGACAGCTCGCTGTGGTTGCAACTGCTCTTTTGTCTTCTTCTCTTTCTTCGGTACAAGAGCAGGCATGTCCTCTTTGCGATTTCTGAGCGCATCCAAAGTGCCTTCTGCCATAGCCACCTCAACTGATTTCCACATATCCAGATCGCCTTTTGGTCCATCGACGTCCCGATTCGCCTTGTCATCGACATCTTCCTCATTTGCGTCATCTGAGTCCGAGGCCTTGCTCTTCTTGGACTTTGGGTACAAGGATGCGTAGGGCTTCAGGAGCGGGTAGTAGATGGAGTAGTTGACGTCGACTTCGGCATTGTGCACCTTTTCTGCTAGATGCTGCTTCTTTGTTTGGTCTTCCTCTGTCTCGTACTCCTTCTTCAGCTTCTTCAGTATCCTCGTGCCCTTTTGGCGGTCTGAGGCGCGTTAGCAATCGCTCGGGGCTGAATTTTCTTGCGCCTTGAGTGAATCGTGACGTACCAAAGAAGCGTATGTGATGATACTTCCCAATAATCTTCTTCCGGTACTCGGCTTCCCTGGTAGATTCGAGCTTCTCCTGTAACTCATGCTGACAAGCCTCGAGCTCCCTCTCCCTCTCTATCCTATTGCTCGCCGACATCTTGTGGTCGCCTACATTGTCGACGTGCGCGAGTAGTCGCCTCAAGTCTCGTATACGGCTCTTGAGCGCGTGCGTGCTGGTACTCTTGTCGATATCGCTCGAAACGTGCGGTCGCTTCTTCGGTTTGGAGTGGCTCTGTCCGGGCTTGAAGGCGCGATGCTTCTTGAAAGGTTTGGGTGTGGACGAGGACGGCTCGGTCGCGTCGGCATGCTTGCGCTTTTGCGACATATTTGCTGGCTGGGACTGTATGGATTGTGATTTGTTGGTCGGCTGCGGAAATCTTTGGGATCGAAGGAAGGGAAGTTTTAGTGGGGCGGCAGAATTAAGGTTGTTAGACCGCCTCATGCACGCCAAGCAAGATCACGCGTTGGGCGTTCATCCACACTCTCTGACCCTGCATGATAGCGCAGCGTAGCCGAGTGTACTACAACATGCGCACCGCATCGTTTGCTCCGAGTCCCTCCTGCCAATACATCGTGGACTTGTGAAACTTCCTTTCTTTGCTGCTGGACCCTGATCTTCCATTATCGCGAGATCCCAAGGTTGCGATAGTCAGCCAGTAATATGGAAGCTGCAATAAGATGGTCACCACACTCCACACGGGACAATCCTCGTTTCTTAATCATCGACGTCGCGGGCAATCGATTGCGTCTGTGTCAGATCGAGGAGTTTAGTAAGAGCAAGGTCAATTACAAGCAAATATGTATCCGAGATAAGCTTCCAAACTACACGGCCTTCGACTGGTCTAAGAAAGATCCAAGTGTGGTCGCCGTCGGCTCTGCTTCTGGGGAGGCCACCGTCGTTACTTTAGATCCAGAAAAGCCGGATGCTGAATACATCCACTCATTCTCCATCCGGCATCAACGAAAGTGCAACTCCATTGCTTTCAGCGCTAAGAATCTACTTGCTACTGGGTTGGATAGGGTCAGGAACGATGTCTGCCTTAACATCTACGACATGAATGACTCTCGAGTCACCGCCAAGGACGAACCGTACAAGAAGCTGGCAAGCTCCGAGGCGATTTCTAGTATCAAGTTCTTCACCGGACAGCCTGATATGCTTGTCGCGGGTGTTTCGAGGCAATACGTGCGCATCTATGACCTTAGAGGTGGGTGAAAAACAACCAAGCCAATACACCCCTGCTCATCTTCTATAGACTCTAGTACGACGGGTGTTGCGCAATTTCAAACGCGTCAGGTGCACAACATCGCTATAGACCCACTGGACGAAAACTACTTCCTATCAGCAGGTACAGCGGGTGATCCTACTGTGACTGTCTGGGACATTCGCTCCGTCAAGCAGCGAGTAGCTGCCAACGACACTGCAAGCAGCGGTGCGGTACTGGATTTCAAGCCAGTTGTAGACAACTCACAATCGGCATCCATATGGAGTCTTCGATACTCGGGCACCAAGAGAGGAACATTTGGAGTGCTCGCCAACACGGGAGAATTCAAAATCATTGAATTAGCGCAGCATTCCCATCAACCTCTTGAGACAGCAGACACACCCTTCGCTCGAGCATGGGCTTCTCCATACTACACGAAAGCCTCACATCATCTACGCTATCCTTCATATGACAAGAACCATCGGCAAGATGACAAAGAACGCATTGTGGCATACGACTTTATGACCGCTGGAAACCCTCTAAGTGGGCAATGCGCTTTAGCCCTACATTCAAATCGGGAGGTTGAAGTACTCAAAGTACCGCCTCCGCCTCCTCGCCTCAATATCAGCGCGTTGGAAGAGATATACAAAGACCGTACCTGTATCGCTAGGCCTACTTCACCATATGGCACGGTAGCAGAAGACCTGATACAAGTACAAAACAGAGCGCTAGGCGAGAAGTACGATATTGAATACGACCACAAGACCAACCTCTCCTCCAGTGTCGATAGGCTTAGCCTCAGCAACAGCCAAAGAAGCCTACCTCTCCTTTCGACAAAACACCCCAGTCACCACATGCACAAGGACCTTCTCGATCTTGCCTATCCTGACTTTAAAGTACCTCTCACCGATTACCTCGCCGTCCTTCAGGCCCCCAAACGACGTGTTCAAGAGGGCTACTCTCTGGATTGTGCTAAAAACAAAGACATTGTTCACAACGATCCCTGGTTGGTCGATGTGTGGACACTAATTGACCGCATGGATGCGCACGCTGCAGGAGATGGCATGGTGGGCAATGGTCTCGATCTCAAGTACCTGGGAGTTAGCTCAATTTGGGCAAATGAGTTGACAATGTACGACGAGAGACTTATTGATCCAGACACGAAGACAAGCCATGAGATGTTCAGCGATGCAGTCAAAGAGATAGTTGAGGCCATGGAGTTTCCTGCTTTCGAAGGCGTGAGCACTGAGTACCCTGAGAATAGGCAACTGTGTCTCAGCCTCTGCGGCTGGTCTCTCAACGAAATTGGCGTAGAGCAAAATTGCCAACGGCTTATCGATGAAGGGGAGATATACAAAGCCATCGTTCTCGCCGTTTTCCAGGGCCACAAACACATCGCTCTGAATCTCCTCCGGTCTAGCCTCACAAACAAGAAACTCCCACAAGACGATATCGGTCTTGCAGCCGTCATTGCCTGCGCCTCCCCCTTTTCTGGCGTCTCAGCCGAGCAAAGAGAAGCCTGTGCCTGGATGGCTGACATGACAAGCAATGCATACCTGAAATCCCTCCTCACCTACTTCATAACAGGGGATTGGTCAAGTGTAGTTCACATGCCGCAACTGTCCATCTCAGACCGTGTAGCTGTCGCATTGAAATACCTCCCAGACCAACACCTCTCCAACTTCCTCAGCGCAGCTGAAAACGCCGCAACAAGCCAAGGTGATATCTCCGCCCTCCTCTTAACCGGCCTAACAACACGTTCCCTCTCCCTCCTCCAGACCCACATCTCCCACCACCCCACTATGGGCCTCCAAAATGCCGTCTTGCTCCTCTCCCGTGCCTGTCCACTCTACATCCAAGACCCACGCTGGACCCTTTGGAAAGACATGTACCTCGAGCAACAACAAATATGGCGTACATTCCTCGAGCGCACTCGTTACATCAAAGAGCACAACCTGCTCAGCGTGACGCGCGAGGGGCGCAGTGTGAATAAGCCCAGTCAACCTAGCCTAGCATTACGTTGTCTGAATTGCCAGCAGAACCTCGCGTTGAGAAAAGATCCGAGAAACAGTACGAGAAGGCTACTTCCTACTACTAACCAACATAGTGGTGGTGGAAACAACAATGCTCCATCTACAGCGACGACAACACATCGCGCAACGCCTTCTCTGTCCTTTGGTGGCGGCGGTGCAGGGGGAGGCGGGAAACCCGTTCAACCTCCAAAATCCGCCAGTACACCTGGTCTGCATTGCCCCAATTGCGCGGCGCAGATGCCAAGATGTGCATTGTGCATGCTGTGGTTAGGTTCACCTGACCCAAGCAAACAAGGGGCGTATGAGACGCTCAAGGGAGAAGACAAGGAAGCGAAGATGATGGTGTTCTGTATGAATTGTACACACGGCTTTCATGGGCATCATGCTAGAGACTGGTTTGCCAGACATGCCATGTGTCCCGTACCGGACTGTGGATGTATGTGTGGGTTGATGAAATGAAGTTGCCGGGTTGATTGAAGGAAGTTTGTTAGTCTGTGTCGGTTTATGAATATACTGGCGGTAAAAAAAAAACACAACACAGGATACGTAATGTGACAATCAGTGTGACTAAGTAAAACATGGTTTTCAATAAGCTGTACGGCCTTTGCATCCGTGATGCTCCTGGCTTGGAAAATTGGGTACCTCTGTATATTATCCCCGTACCCCCATGCCATACCAAAATACTAAAGAAACGCGTAAGGGTATAATCGCCACCAAAGTGCGTCCTATCAAGACCAGCCGTCCGGTTCTGCGTCGTCTGCAGGAACAATAATATCATATAGCGCCGCTAGAGATGCCGAAAAGACTAACAACGCCGCCCAAACTCCTCTATGTATGCTGATGAGAAGACTGCGAAGATGAATACTCAGCGATGCTGATGCCTAGGGATGCAGAAACATTTATAGACCGAGTCACCAATTCCCTAGTCTTGCCCTGCCATCTCACTGTCATTACCGAATTCGTCTTCCTCGTCAATGGCCATTATGTTCGCTTGTGCTGTGACCACAACCATGTTATCGCCATCTTCATCCTCGTGGTACATGGTACCGTCGTTGAGAGTGAAAGGGTCTTCCTCGTTATCAACATCGTCTCGGCCATTGGTGTTCATGAAGACGCGAAGGCGTTGTACGCCGACACCGCTGAAGACGCAGAAGACCTCACGCTGGTGATCATTGAATTCCGGAGGCGCTTCACGGCAGAAGGCGAGAAGGTCGTCGCGGAGGAAAGCTTGGACGCCGGTAAGCGAGAGATGCGTCAGGCGGGGGCAGTTGTTAAGCAGCGCGTGTATGCCCTATTCATGTCAGTAAAGGTACTATTTTGCTACATGCAGAGAACTTACCGCCAGGGAGAGATTGGTGCAATAGCTAAGATGCACTCTCTCGAGCACGCTAGGTGCGATGGGTCCACTAGATCCAATCTGCTTCGGCTTGGCTAGTGCGAGTATACTCCGATCTGTGATGGCTGCACACTTGACCAAGCCAATGCGCTTCAGCTTTGGGAGAGCAGCCAGTTGCATGACCGAGGCATCGGTGAGAGCGGTACAGCATGCGAGGTCAATGTACCGTATGCGGTTGCATAGCTTGACCAACTGCGCGACACCGACGTCGGTGATACGCGAGCAGTGTCCCAAATGTATGTAGTGAAGATTCTTACCCAGACGAGTTATGGCCATGACGGCTCTGTCTGTGATATTGCGACACTTGGCCAGGACCAGATTGCGAAGCCGCGGAGCTGCGTAGACTATCTTCTGAACGCCGGAATCTTGTAGTTCGTCGCAGCCGGTAAGATCTAGGATACGCAAGCAGTCGTAGGTAGCCTCAGCTGGGAGGCGAAGGAAGGCCTGGTCTGTGATTTTAGAGCAGTGAGCCAGGCGCAATTCACGGAGGTTGGGACCTTCAGTAATGAGGGTGGTGATGGAAGCATCGTCGAGATTCTTGCAATCGTGAAGGTCGATCTCCAGAATGTAGCGACAGTTCCTAGCGAAGGCGATGATACTCCTGTCACTGAGCTGAGAGCATCCATTCAATTTTAGGCGCTTCAGATGCCGGCAGTTCTTGGCAACAGCCTCAAGCGAAGCGTCTGTTATCCTCTTGCAGTTTGTGATGTTTAGACCCTGCAGACGGACTGCGTGTTTGGCCAGGGCAAGCATGGACCTGTCGGTGATGGACTCGACGTTGGTAACATCCAGGGCGAGTATGTAGCGGTTGTCGACGAGCATGGCCTCCAGACTCAAGTCGGTCAACTTGGTGCAGTTGGTCAGCGTCAGGCGCTCGACACGCTTGCAACTTGAAAGAGGCCTCAGTGTGCCGTCGCTGACCTCGCTGCCGAGAGCGGCCAGGTTCAGGCGCTTGATCAAACTGCTGTAGTCAAAGAAGCTGTTTACAGTCTGGACAGTCTGTATAACGCTCTTGACATTGGACCATTTGTTTGTGGAAGGCCGGTGCCACAGCAGGCCGACGCTGTTTCCTGCCCATGTCTTGGATACGAGCATGCAGTTCTTGAGGTCGGCGGGGGACGAGAGTTTGGCGAAGACGGCGATCATGAGCTCGGCGGGTAAGCGGGAAACGGGCGAGATGCGGTTCTGCTCTTCGATGGCGCGCCGGCGAGCCTCGTCGTCTGAGTCTGGCGATACCGAGGGCGCGAGTGATGACAATGAGTCGTTGGACTGCATCATGATGGAGTCCTTGTCTTCTTCGTCGTCATAGCCGCGCTCTGGAGAGGTCGAGGCGGAAGAGTCGGAGCGCGAAGTACTCGCGTCTCTCTGGGTTCGTCGTGAGCGCGCCATGTTGCCTTGTCGGTGTCGGGCCAGCGCCGGTTCTGTGTGTCGGGCCAGCATCTTGGAGGTGTCGAGGGTCGCAATCAACCGGGCAGCTATTCGGGCAAGTTGAGGGAAGTCGTTGTCGTCGTGGGGGTGTGTGTGAGAGAGTGTGAACAGGGCGGTCTAACTTGTTCGATCGGTGTGATGGTGTACGCGGCGGTAGGCGGGTGTACTGGGCAGCCCGCTCACTCTGCAGATGCAACAAACACAGTGCGGAGCCTTCTGGTCAATGAAAGAAGCGTCAAGTTTCTTCACGCTCCTAAATAGGAACAAGCGAGGCGACAACACACGACACGAGCGTCTTTGGAGGTAAAGAGGGAACCAAGTCGTCTGGGCAGTCATGGGTGGGTCGCTGCCCATCGTCGCATCCCGCCAAGGTCCTTCCCTGCACTCCCCTCTCCGCTGCTCCAAACACGACGTCCTTGTCTGCCTGTTCCAGACGACGATCCCTCTGTTCAGCCTTCCAACGCGCTTCCACTGCAGGGCAAATGCTTCACACCATGTTTTTCGTCGGCATCACGGCTGCTTCCAGCCCCGACCCTCACACTACCACGCCGTCATGGGCTCTGGAGTAGCCCACGCCTAAGCATTCTTCCCCCACCATCGTCATATGACATGGCCGCGTCCAAGTCGCGTCGGTGCAGCAGTGGTACTATCCTGTTGAAATGGCCGTGTGTCTTTGGCAGCAGACTGTAGTTGAAGCAGCCCCCCTGCCCCTCTCGCCGAGGCTGGTTAACGCCTGAGGTCCGACTTGACCCTCCTTCACCGTTACCTTTCGGTGACGCTTCCTGACCACGTCGTGCAGTGGCAACAAAGACTTGTCCAGGGCTCATCGGGAGTCCGGGCAAAAGCAATAGACTAGTACCGCACCGCCAACTATATCATGTCCTTTGAAGAATACAAATGTTTTGTCCATTATCTCGACATGTTGTTTCTGCCCAATGAAGACGCGTGGAGTGAAAGCACGGTACTTTGCCGAATAAAGTGCTTCCCGCTTGGCGCTACAAGCCGGGACTATGGCTCTGCTCGAGCGTGCGAGACTGAAATAGTTGTGTGAGGGGCGGCGAGAGGCAGACAAGCAGGTCTGCATGCGGCGTGAGAGAGGGCGAGGCGTGGTGGTCTAAAGATACATTGTGACGTTGTCGTGGGTGGCTTCGTCCATGCGCTCGTAGTTGCAAGGGTCCGTTTACTACTGTACGATCACAAGCATCTCCAGGCATGCCACCTTTGCTCAACCTCACCACCCCCTCCCCTTTCTCGCGTCCGAGAAGCAGCCCTGCCGAACCTCTTGCCAGTTCGATGCGCAAGATATAGCTTCGTCGTTGTCCTGCACCGCAGCAGGCTCCCTCACCGCCCAAATGTCCACCGCTCGCTATGCGCCCTCGGCCGCCCATCCCATGGCCCAGCAAGCCGCATACCGCGCTCCGGCGCCCATCGCCGTCTCCAATGCCCCTCCAGGCACCTTTGCGCCTGGCACCAAGGTCCAGGTGGGCAACCACCGTGTCACCATCGACAAGTACCTCTCCGAGGGCGGTTTCGCGCATGTCTACCTCGTCCGCGTACCCAAATCCGACAACGGAACCCCCGAGACGGCTGTCCTGAAGCGGGTAGCCTGTGCAGACAAAGATGCACTCGCCAATATGAGGACCGAGGTCGAGACCATGAAGAAGCTCAAGGGCCACAGCAAGATCGTCACATACATGGACTCGCATGCTTCACAGCTCAAGACTGGGGGCTATGAAGTATTTCTGCTCATGGAATTCTGTTCAGGCGGCGGTTTGATTGACTTCATGAACACCAGGCTCCAGCATAGGTTGACCGAGCCTGAGATTCTGCACATCTTCTCCGATGTCGTCGAGGGCGTTGCAACCATGCACTACCTCAAGCCACCGCTCCTCCATCGCGATCTCAAGGTCGAGAACGTCTTGATCACTACCGTGGCAGGCAACAAGATATACAAACTATGCGATTTTGGTTCCACTGCACCGCCGAGACCTGCCGCTACAACTGCCGCCGAAGGGAGATTGATCGAGGACGACGTACAGCGGCATACCACACTACAGTACCGCAGTCCGGAAATGATCGACGTATATCGCAAACAACCAATAGACGAGAAGAGCGACATATGGGCGCTGGGTGTGCTCTTGTACAAATTATGCTACTATACGACGCCTTTCGAAGAAGTGGGACAAATGGCCATCCTGAACGCCTCGTTCAAGTACCCAGCCTACCCCCAGTTCTCCGACAGGATAAAGAAGCTCATAGGTTCGTGCAGTTAACTAGACCATGGACAGTGACTGATTGTAAGCAGGCTCGATGCTGAGAGAGAATCCACAGCATAGACCCAACATCTACCAGGTGGTCGCCGAGGTCTGCTCGATGCGACACCGGCCGATTCCTATCAAGGATGTATGTTTGACACTCTGGCTTTACTGCTCCATGCTAAGACTAGCCAGATCTACTCTGGCAGAACACAGTCAGAAGCGCGACGGAACCAGCAGCTTCCGCCTACCGAGCCCCAAGTCTCTTCGCCGCCTCCTGTTGTCGGTCTACAAAGAGTTGCACCTACCGTGCAGGTTCAGCAGATACCAGACGTTACGCCCATGAGGAGAGGCCGACCTACTGGTCCAGTTCAGGCACCTCCAGCAGCAAGGCCAAGTCCATCGCCCATGAGAGGAACGACATCTGATCCTTTCGCTGCACTCGACTCCCAGGATGTTCAGGTCAGACGTGCTGCTGCTGACGAGCTAGCCTCACGCTTCCCTTCTCTGGACGAATTCTCCTTGTTGCATGACCGAGGCCAGAAGTTTGAATTCGGCGAGGCACCAACGACTTCTGACCCAGCACTTACTAAGCGTGTGACAGATGCGCTTGCGGATGAAGCTTTTGCATCGCCTCCGCTCTCCAAGGTTGATTCAGCACCTGGCGTAAAGCCCTCATCCGCAGTGTCCTCCGCGGGCGTTTCCAGGACCACCTCTCTGAGAAAACCACAACCCTATGAAGCCAAAGATAGTCCACGAAACGCTAGCACAAACATCCAATCGCCCATCCCACAGCGGGTCGGTATGGTGTCTACTGGTGTCCAAACGTCGCCACGGGCATCTCCCGTTTCCGCACAGCCGAAACTCCCAGACGTCAACAGCCGGCCAATCTGGAAGGTGCCTCTCTCAACACACCACAACCGTGCTCTGAGCCAACAGGCGTCGGAGAGTCGACCAAGAAGTCCTCTGAGCAGTCCATCGTTGCGACCCGAATTTGCTTTGCCAGCACGCCCTTCTTTTGAATCGAGATCAAAGTCCCAGCTCAACATTCCTCAATCTCCTGCTTCTTCTAGACCTTCTCTGGAAAGCTCACGCCCATCGGCTATGGAGATGGGTTCTGCAATCGACCGATCGAGATCTGCAAACTCAAATGCACGTCCAGCCAGTATGCACGTAGAGTCAAACCTTGATTATCTCCGTGATCGAGAGATGGCTCCCGGTCGTAACTTTGATGCTCCATCATTACAGCGTCGTGTCACCGCAAATGCAATCGACGACTCCGAGCCAGAGGAAAAGAATGTTAGGTCGAGTGTCGACTTCCTACGCTCCATTGAACAGGAAGAGCATGGTCATAAGCATCGCCGGAGTAGCTCTCACGGCAAACATGGCAAGCGCGGGAGCATCACAAACATCGTCAAGGGAAGGTTTGGCGACGCCTTCCGTCGCTTTGAATCCACCAAGACGCCCGAACATGAACGCGATCAACCACCCATGACGCCAACCGACCAGTTCATGGATTCCAAGGGTGGCCTGACTCCTATCGCCGGCTCCGAAGCTACAGGTGGCTTGAGTGATGACGATCGCAGCCAAATCGATGAAACGCAGGATCTACCACCAGAGGTTCGAAGAGAACTCGAGAAGAGACAACTAGCTGAAGAAGAGCGCCGTGTTGAAGCTGCTGCTGCCGAGTACAAGCAACGCGTTGCCTCGCAGGGGCAGGGAGGGCCCAAAGCCGGCCCATCCAAGGCTTCATCGATTCAGAACCGCGTCAAGAACTTGCTCGATGAAAGCAGCAAGCCAGCAGCGTCCAATCGTACGGCTGAGGGCTACGGGAAGTATACTGATACTGGAAAACCTCTACCTATGCGGCCACAAGACCAAAGCGGTGCACGACAGCCACCCGCCATTGCCCGTAAACCCATGAATGTCTCCTCGCAACAGCCTCAAGACCTTGCTTACGCAAAACCGTCTTCGATCCGACCGAATATGCCCCCACCAGCACCTTCCGCTTCAGCACCGCCAACAATCAATGTTCGCAACCCCTCTGGACCGCCTCCACGCGCCCCCAAGCCTAAAAATCTGCAAACAGGGGGCTCAGTAGGTCCTGGTCAAAGTTCGCCTGTCAAGTCTGCCCCTACAGTTAAAGAGAAGCTACTTGCGCCCGTCAGCCGCGACGGTGGTGATGACTTTGACGTCGACACCTTCAGCAAGAGGTACCCTAGTTTGAGCGGGTTGGAAATGGTAGAGACTGAGATTCCACGTCGCACCGTTCGCGATGTCTAGGCGTGCCGAGTTTTGTTTGCTTGTCGAAATTTAGATCCATCATCTGCACTTTTGAAGCGTTCGCATAGCATGTTGGCAAGAATTAGCATTATCAGATAGCAATACATATAGCAGAGGGAACAAGTGGAAGTCGGGCAGGTCAAGAATATAGATTATTGTTATTGGGATGAGATTGAACTGTCTCTCACTCACCTTCATGTTGTGGCAGAGAAAAGCGTAAAGAAGACGGCCAGTACCCGCCACCTTCAAGAATCCCGAAACAGCCTGAGCGGTACTTAGACTGCGTAGAGGCCTAGAATGGGTATGGCTTTCATGTCGTCATGTACGTTCAAAGACATGTCCCACATGACTTTCGCTCCCATCCATACACCATACAGAACAAACAAAGTACACAGCGATTGGAGTATGGGGGAGGGGATGAAAATATATTTCCCCCTACGATTTGACCCACACATCGTAAACTTCACAGCAATAGTATCACAAATTTACATGGACAAAATTCAGATGTGTTGGCGTTCGTTCAGTCCTTTCTCATTTGGTATCATGGTCCAAAAGACCTGTCTAAATCCATGCAACCCATCACATCATAACCCTAAATTCGCCCTGCCATCCGTCCCAAGCTCCGTGTCATGCCGAGGTGCGACTAAACTGATGCAGCCGAGGGTTGGTTGTGCGAAAAATTTGTATGTTGATGGGCATCGCGCTCGCGGGTGAGGCACGTTTACTGCTCGGTCTGGAAGTAGTTGAGGAGGATGCTGCGCTCCTGGGACTCCTCACCCCAGTCCTTGACGACGACGCAAGAGCAGTTGACGACCTTACGGGGGTTGCCTTCGCGGTCGATCTGGCCTATTGATCTGTTAGCCATTGTTCAATTTTGAGAGTCTACCAGAGAGTGCAACGTACAGAGACCGGCCCACTCGCCGAGCTGCTTGCCATCGGGAACCTTGATAAGGGGGATCTTGTGCTCGGAGCACAGAGCAACGACGAGCTTCTTGTATGCCTCCTCCTCGCAAGCCTCGTTGAGAACGCACATGTGCGCCTCACGACGGTCAAGGGCCTTGGAGGCCTCGCGCAGACCACGGGCAAGTCCGTCGTGGATGAGGGAGAGCTTCAGGACACCCTTGAGAGCCTCGAGGACGCTCATCTGGCCCTTACCGCCGGAAGCATCGGCAGAGACCTCGACCTCGGCGGCCGCGCTGACTTGGGACTTGGTATCGTCTTCTCCGTCCGACTGGTGGCGTCGTCAGTGATGTTCTTGAGGTGCGAAGGGCGGGGTAGCAGTGCTGAGCGCTACATCGTTCTCTTTTGCCAGAGAAGATGCAACTCAACCCGGAGCAGAGACAAAGGGCCACATACCATGATTGGTGATTTCTATCTGTCGGGTGTTCCTCGAAGAGTTGGTGGTGTATGATAAAGAGAAAGCTCAAAAAGTTGTGGAATTCGCCGAGCTCAATTTCGACCGTGTGGGAAGCCCTAGTCCCGATTGGTAAGTGGTTAGCGCATTTCATATTTTCTTTCGCTCCCGACACGCAAAACTCACTCTTCTTGCACATGCAGTAGAGGTTATACTGAATAAGCGGAAATTAATGGTATATGCTTACTCCATCGCTGGTCACCTCAGAGGTCTATCAAGATGAAACTATACGAGTACCATTAGGGTAGGCTTTCACCGTGTAGAACAGCTCTAGTAGGGCGCCGAATATCATGAAAATCAATGAGCCCACAGAGATCAAGGAACCATCATCGACAACAAGATACTTGGCTGTCAGCAACTTGAAACATTGTTATCATTAGACAATATCTGCGTGTGTAATACGAGCCACAAGACACATGTTGCTACACGCAGGCAGTCTAGGTTCAACGCGATCAAGATAGGCCCGTCTAGGCACAGATAACCATGTTCGTTAATTAACGGACGAGATCGTATCGGGCTATCAGACAAAGTGAAAGTATTTGACGACTGTTATCATTGTATGTCTGTACATTCTACCGACGCAGCTTCACCGCTGCTGCTTGGACCTGCCGTAGCCATGTCTTCTCCAAACATATCTCATCCTCCTACTCTCAAGCCATTGCTAGCCTCGGACATGAGCGTCCTATCTCTGTATACGATAAACTAAGGAAATATTGGCGGTCCGCCCGATCAGATATACTCATGGATGTAAAGAATCCCAAGTCAGATGAAAGAATACAAACGCCAAACGCACAAACTGTACGGAGGGTCGAGAAAAGTAGCAAGTGATAACACTAGAATGATCGCTGAACGCTATCAGCCCAGATTTGCAACGAGAAGAATATAGAGAGGAAAGTAGCCACCCAGCCAAAAGGCTGTGCGCCAGGAACGCCGTACAGTGAAGGAAACCTGTCTTTGAACGCAGTTGGTATGAGTAAGGAACGGAAATGGGTATATGGAATAATGAAAGCTACATGACGATGCAGCAGCAGCCCTTTTTCTCCTTGACCTCCTCCTTCGGTTCGGGCATGCGAGTCACTGCAGGCTTTGGCTCTGCGGGCGCGATGGGAGGGGCTAGCTTTGGTGAAGGAGCACGCTCGTGACCTTGGGTTATCTTCGGAGTCAGACTGTAGGCACCTTGCTCGTTGACTGGAGACTTTGCAGTGTTGGTGTCAACTCTTTCAAGCGATGCAGGTGAGTCTGGCTTCACGGGACTGGGAAGGGGCCAGGTCTCAGCTTCCCGCGCCTTCTCTATAGCGATGGGATCAAGATTGGCGAGCTGCGACAGTCGCTTGTCCGCCATGTCGTCATCGTTCAGCAGTCTAAAGTCTTTGTCGTACATGGAGCCGACCCTCCCCTCGTTTTCCCATTGCTCTTGCTGCATACGCTTGGCATGCGTAGGGATGATCTGTTGATCCGGAGGCAACCGTGGGTCGGGCTTGTACATGGAAGCTATCCACGGGGCCTCACCTTCTGGTCGGTTGCTTGTAGTGGGCCTTGTTGTAGTAGACCCACCGCTGGTACGCGGACGGTTCGGAGGGGAGTTATTGGAGGTCACGCGAGACCTAGGCTTCGTCTGAGCACTAGCTTTACGTGGTCCAGAGGTAGTGTTCGGTTTGCCGGGCGTTTTGGCCTTCATAGGAGATTTTTGGGGTGACTTTGGCGGACTCCAGCTTCCGGTGGAAGTATTGCGCCTATGGCCACTACCATACGGTGGAGTCCTTTGTCGACCATCGTCTGCATCATCGAGCAACGCTTGGCTGCCTACACTGCCACTTCGCACTCGTGCACCCATGGTAGCGATGGCATCACCGTTCCAGTTTCCACTACCTGCTCTAGATCTCGGCAGCGGCGCGTCACGCTCTGCCATTGAAGCAGGTACAGGTATACCGCTAGTCTTAGGCAGGGGAATGCGAGACGTACTAGGCCTCACAGTGTGATTCGTTCGCTGAGAACTTGGTTGAAATTCAGTCGTGCCGTCAGCCGGGAATGTTGGGCTCCAAGCATGGTAGCCCTCTATCGGCTCTTCATCCTCAGCTGGTATTGTGGATATGCGCTTTCGGGGCTCGGTTCGCTCTTCGCCGTTCTGTGTCCGTTCGGTCGATGCGGAGTTTGTGCGGTCTCGCGCACGTCGTGTGGCGCTTTGCGAGCGGCTGTTGGATCTGCTCGACCGGCCAACCCTGAAACCTGCCTCTTCGAGTTCTCGTGTTTCAATCTCCTTGAGCTTGTCTCTGTGTATCCAGTGATTCTCGTCATACTCGGGTTCTGTTGCACCAGACTTTGTCGTCTTCTTCTTGGGCTTTCCCTTGACGGCGACGGGACCTTTCTTGTTGTTGGTGTGGCTCTTGTAGTACTCCAACACGCTATCCTGGTCGATGTTGTTCGCAATCATGTCTCCACTCTTCTTCTTGTGCAGCTCATTCATGCGGTCGGGAGCCTGGTTGAGATCCTGCGAGTCCCACGTGGGCGAGCGTACAGGCTTGACGAAACCGTTGGCTTGCGATGTGAGGGGTTGGCGAGAACCGTGGGCGGAAGCACCGTATTCAGACATGTAGGGCTCCTGTTCATATGATTGCCTCTGGGATGGTTGTCAGCACACTATCGCTCGTAGCTTGACATGATTGCAGGCGAGTTTGTTAATCAGGATGTGAGTGGGTGAAGTTGGCGGTCAGATGCGCCATGGGGACAGGCGCAGTAGTGCACTTAGTGCAAAGGCAAAGTCGAGCCGGACCCATATGACGCAGCTTCACAGGGACTGAACTTGGTACGTACCGAATCGTTGACAGGCACAGCAAAGTCCCACGACCCTCCTGCGCCGTGGGAACTGCTAGGGGGCGTCAGTTGCTGGATCGAAGCTGGGGTTTGGCGGGATGCCGCGAAAGTCGCCATGGAAGGAGCTGCGAGATGGCTGGGGGTCCGTCCGATGACGTGCCGCCCGAGACTACGAGGCGGTAGGAAAAGTTGGTTTGGGAGCGCGAGACCCGTCGACGTCGGCTGGACGGCGCAATGTAGGGTTTCGAGGGCGGAGAAGGAAGGGGCGATGCCGGGCAGACCACGGCCGCTGGCAGGCTGTCGTGTACAAGTAGCCTCACGGTAGAAACCTCCCTATTATGGAGCACTGCAGCTATAAAAACAATGCCATGGGCGAGAAGGAGGCAAGACGTAGGTGTGGGGACGCAGGCCAGAAGTTGTGAGGGGTGGTTTGCATGCGCGTGCAAGCAACTTCCCTGCTTGGTGAAGGGTGTGGTCAACTGGTACCGGCGCGTGCTATCAGAAGGAAAGAGAAGGAGAATTACTACAACGAAAGACAAGCAGAAGTCGGCGATCCGAGACACGGCCGCACACAATGGGTCCAGCAGCCGCAATGATTCGTGAGAGAGTCGCGACGGGATGAAGGAGCCCTTGGAGAAGAGGATTTGGGAGCGTTGCTCTGATTGCCGGGGAAGATGGTGATTCGCGCTTGGCTGCAGTCTGCTCGGGCCTCGTCTAATCTGCGCCGCGACCAAAGGGGAATGGGGACTTCATGGGTCCAACTCCTTAAACCTGAACGGCTTTGCGACAGCTATGTGCAAAAAGCAAATACTACTTGGGCACATGGTTCGCAGTTCCAGACACGCGCTTCCTTTTACTGTTTGACCATCCCCCTTCCCATCGCTGACGAGCACCAAAAACACCACACGCCGGGTAAACATCGCAGGCACCCATGAACCAAGTTTGATTGTTTCCGTGTTATGCACACAGACTGCTCAGTGCACAACTGTCTGGACAAGCTTCCGTCTCCCTACGCCTTTCCCGTTCCTGACAAGATGGCCTCCGGCAACGGCCCACAGCCCGACGTTGCGATGATCGAGCGAGTCTAGAGGCCGTCAGTAGTTTAGAGTTTGGTCCATCGTGTAGCCTCAAAGTTTCAAAGCCTCCATGCAATGTCCATGTCTTCACCTTCGCAGTTCCAAGTGGGAGGCCCAGAGTTTCGGGAGCATGCATGATCGATGTGACCCACTGCGAGTACCCAATTGCCGGGTTGGCGGCAGGTATAACGCTGTTCACCATTTCAATATCACACCGACTATGAACTTCAATTCATTATCACCAGCCAAACGTTTCGTCGTACCAAAATACGTCGTGCCCTTTCTTCACCCACACTTCAACGTTTCTCTTCAGATCATCTGTCAGCCTCTTCGGCCCGCAGCAGATTACCGCCGTTCTCATACCCTTGCTAAACACCTCATCTACCACGTTGCTAAGATCCGGCCTCCCGCTCTTGACAAGCATCCCCTTTTGCGACTTCTCCATTTGCTCTTCCATGTCCAACAGCTGCTCATTCTCCTGCATTTCGATCACCTCCCCCACGTCGTCGTCCGGATCGATAGCGAAAACACCGGTCGCGCTCGCATCGGCTCGTGATCTCGGCCCTGAAGGTCGTGTAACATAAACTTCTACGCTGCGCGAGCCATGTAACAATCCAGTCTCATTCGTGTCGGCTACTGCGTCGTCTTCGTGTTCGTCATCAGATGCGGAACTCGCAGGGAATGCCCACTGTGTTTCGGCCAACTTCTGAACCGCCCAAATGCATCGGATCTGCGTACCTACAGGCGCAGGGTCGTGTAATTCGATAATGCTCCGATAGATGGGTACGATAAACGTTGCACCAACGCCCCCTGCAACCAAAAGTACCTTGTCAAAGTCTGAAAAATCCGGTAGGCGACTTGACGCCCCATATGGTCCTTCGAGGGAAAATGGCAAGATGGGAATATCGCCGCCAGCTGTAGGCAGCATTGGCACATTACCTCCTCCTTGCGACAAAGAGCGCGCTAGCTCTCCCAGATACTTTGTGTTGCCGTTAAGCGTTCTCGCAATAAGGAGCAGTTCCTTGTCCTTCGATGGGAGAGAAGCAACGGTGAAAGGATTCGTCTTGTTTGTCATAAGCCATTGGTCGTACCATGTGGGAGTCTTCCCCCTGATATGCGGCCTGCTAAGATACACATGCTGCCCAGGCTTCCAAACAAGCGCAGTACTCTCTGCTGGTAACGGGATGCGGATCTGGACAAGATTGGTGCCAGGAAGAAGTCGGAGGGTGCCTTGGTACATGTTCAAACGCAAAGCCCGGGAAATGACATGAAATGCTTCTATCGCGAGGACCTCGTACACGTATATGCGGATATGCGATACGTGTAGGTACAGAGGCACAACGATGAAGTTCGCAATGGCGATGTGCGAGATGTAGAACACCCGGTAGTTCTTTCTTCGTACGAATCCCAGGGCGGTCGTCGAGATAGTGGAGAAGAGGATGATGCTGACAAGGCCCCAAATGACATCCCAGTCTTTGATGCGCTTTGCCAGGAAACCGGAAAGAATGAAGAAGTTCAGATAGAGGGCTGTATGTAGTAGGAAAAGTAAGAATGTGATGCGTCCCAGTATCTGATGCGAGGCCTTGATTTGCTCATGGGAGAGTCGCGTCAAATACTGTACGGGGCTGTAGGGCGCTCGCACCGCAAGTAGGTAATGGATCGGTAACTGTGATGCGCCAACTTGTCCGAAACGTTTTGTGAGATGGAGATAGTCTGTGTACGGTCAGTCTAAGTCACAAAGGGCAAATATTCAGAATCCATACCATTGCCAGTATGAGCAATGCAAAGGTACCCCAGCCATACGGTCCAGATACTTGCACCAATCCATTCTCCTCTTGTACCCCAACCCCACCCTCCAACCACATCCTTTTTCATCCACCATGTCACCCTGTTACAGCCACTCTGGATACTTCGCAGCCATCCTAATCTATCCTTTGGCCGTTTGGTGAACGATGGCGATTTGGGCTGATCATACCTCAAACTAGTCCTCATCACCCAAGACAAGGCGAAGCCAATCTGGAAAAGCGCAAATATTACCAAGACCGACCACTGTGCGATAAACCCATACCACTCCAGATACTCCCGGCGTTGATGTTTCTGCTCGTCATTCAGGCTTTCAAAGTAATACCCAAGTGCCCAGTATCGATCTGTCTTCACCTCGTGGTGTCCCTTGTGACGCCGAAGGAGATCCATCTCGAAGTTCGCTCAACGCAACCAACGTTGCGTATCGCACATGTGAACAGCTCCTGGATCAGCCCGGCTTTACGGCGGATAGGTCCTCGACTGAAGAACCTACAGAGATGGCTTGCGGCCTCGAAGTGTACGCCTAACAACCGGCGCGTCGCGACTGAAATGAATGAAGCCAGGTGTAGGACAGCGATGTGGAGCAGTAGCGTTGTGTACGTGTGCTTGTCACGAATCCGTGTCTAGCATGACCTAGGCTCGGACTTGGATGCAGGGCTGACGGTGCCGGAGAAACCAGCCAATCGAAATTTGCTCAAAGCACCCGGATGAGCGAGCTCCTTCTTCCTCTCACCGCTATGTTTCGGAGCAGGCCAGTGGTGTCCTCTAAGGCCTTTGGGTGAGAGCCGAGCATCAATAGAACGGACGTCGATAGAGACCCGCGTTCCTGGTTCTCCAGCCAGTAGGGGTGCGGCACCCCGTGGACCCCACCAAGCATCCCGCTTACGACCCTGCATGTGCATACGGTGCATGTGGTACGTATCTGCAGTCGAAGCTGCACGTAGAATAAACACGGTTCCCGGGGCCATATAATATACTATGAGCGCTCCTTCTTCCAAGACTCCAATTTGGCTCGACTGCGTGTGTATTTGCTTGTGCCTTCTTCATGTGCAATGCTGACCAAGTAAGGATACCGGGCATGATGTGAGTCTCAGATAAGCTCTCCCCGACACGCTGCTCATCGTGACTCCAGGATGCCTATGCCCTCCTGCTCTGCGCGCACGATCCAAAAGTCGAGCTGCTCGGCGTAAGCACTGTCCACGGCAATGCTGCGCTCGAGCAGACCACGTACAACACAAGGGCAATCTTGGAGGCAGTTGGAAAGCGCCATGTGAAGGTCTATACTGGCGCTTCGAAGCCTCTCGTACGCGATGCTGTACATGCTGCCGACATCCATGGTACAGGCGCCTCCCCGAACAACTGATGGTTATGCGCTAATTGTCGCAGGCGAGTCCGGCTTGGATGGTGTCACCTTGCTACCGAGTCCCGTCGAACCAGCAGCGACCGACGTCGACCACCTCGAAGCCATGTACCGAGCGCTCATGGCTACACCACCAAACACCGCTTGGTTGGTCTCCACGGGCACATTGACCAACATCGGCATGCTATTTCAGAAGTACACCCATCTAGCGGCTCATCTCAAAGGTCTCAGTATAATGGGTGGTGCGGTGGGTGGAGGTTTTACGGATGCGCCAATGGGTACGGTTGAGGGAGAGGGCGAAAGATTTGGCAACTGGACGCCATATGCTGAGTTCAACGTATGCTACAATCTTCATATCTGGCGCCAATAGACAAGGCTGACCTACTCCAACAGATCTACGTAAGAAAACCGATTGCTCCAAAACACGGGGGGAACGCTGACATGTCTAGTGTGATCCTGAAGCATCTCACTTCATCTTCTCGCACCCTGTTCTTAAGCCCAAGACGACACTTGTACCTCTTGATCTGACGCATCAAGTTCTCGGTACGAAGAAAGTTCGCCAGACACAGCTATACGGAGATGCGATATGGAACTCGCCAGGCTCGAAGAGTGACCACACACCTTCGGCTGTGCGGGCCTTGTTCACTCAAATCATGTCTTTTTTCGCAGGGACATACGCTGAGGTTTTCTCTATAACAGAAGGGCCACCGTTACATGATCCGCTCGCTGTCGCAGCTGCTTATAATCCCGAAATATTCGATGACAGGGGCGGCGAACGCTTCCAAGTTGATGTAGTCACCGAAGGCCTTCATTCGTCCGACAAGTCGAAAGTTGGTGAGCTTGGTAGAACAAAGGTCACCAAGCTTCCAATCGGTGAAGGTGGCTGTCGCATACCCAGAAGCGTTAACCTTGATGCATTCTGGGGCAGCATCGAAAGTGCGCTCAAGTGTGCAGATGCAGTCAGTCCAATGCCCAAGGTTTCTATCCAAGAGCTGGAAGAAGCTGGTGTCTTCAACGGTATCGAAAAATTACAATGAAGGTGTCACTGGAGCGGAGCATGATAGATACAATGATAGAAGGGATAGAGTAATACAAACTCCTCAACAAAAGGAGTGCTGAGCACAGCCAAGCTTCAAAGGGGGGTGGTAGCCGTAACTGATGAACCTCGATTTAGCCTATTTCCGTCCTGCCGCATACCTTGCAACGCCGAAGCTGTTAGCGAATGACCACAATATGTGCCTTGGCCTGGAAGAAAGCAACTGCCTTAAATAACAGACTCGAGAGTACTACTCTGTGGTCCCACCAATTAGCGTTTGTTGGCTAAGGTATTCGAGCCCAGGCTGCTGTGTTAGGATACCCGCTTTGATAGCATGTAAACACCTCTCTCTGCAATCGTCTTGTTTCCAGATGAACATTATAAAGCTTTACATATTGTTGCACGGGATTCATATCATGAATGTCCTTCAGAGCTCACGGTATACCTAGCTCTAAATTATATCATATTGCAGTACGGGTTTGATCTCGAGGCCTTACGCCATGCTCTCCAAATCGGGGTTGGCTATCACAACAACAGTAGATACTAAGCATTTTACCGACACTTTCACCGTCACCAACGATAGGGAGACTATATTTTATCATACCTTTGTAAGACCGGACTGTATATTGGGTTACACTGTACTTCCGGTGGCGGGTAATCGACGAACAGGGTTGATAGGAATTCGGATATCGTACAACAAGTGCCATGTCTGAGATTTCTTCCTTTCTTCGGTCACCTCGAGGACTTCAGAATGAAGCTTTCTGTCATTTGCTCTGTCTTCCCGCTTGTACTTGCTTCTCCAACACCTGCCCCCATACATCCACGCTCCAGCTTTGTCTCTCACCTGAACTCAGCTCCAGGTCTCAGCGATCTCGCAAAGAAAGCTGGGCTCAAGTACTTTGGTACGGCTGTTGACAACGTAGTCCTCGACAACGATGGATACACTTCCATAGCCTTCAAGCGCTCCGAGTTCAACCAAGTAACCGCCTCCAACGGCCAGAAATGGGTACACACAGAGCCGCAACGCGACTTTTTCAACTACACTTTGGGAGACCAAATCGTCGACGCCAGCAAAGAGGCCGATCAGATCCGCCGCTGTCACACATTTCTCTGGCACAATCAACTCCCCACCTGGCTCACAACAGGTACCTGGACCAAAGCCAGTCTGCTTACGGTCCTAGAAAACCACATCAAAAACGTCGCAGAGTATTACTGGGACGATTGTTACGCATGGGACGTAGTAAACGAAGCTTTTAACGACGACGGCACACTGCGAAAGACAATCTGGTTGGATGCCATCGGTCCAGAATACATTGAACATGCATTCCGTCTAGCAAGACAATATGCAAGTCCAGGCACCAAACTGTACTATAATGACTACGGAATTGAGAGAGTGAACAACAAGAGTTTGGCTATTGCGCGTATGATCAGAGAGTACCAAGGCGTCGGTGTGCCCATTGATGGTGTGGGGCTACAAGCACATTTTACAGTGGGCAGAGCACCGTTGTATACTGATATTCGTGCTTCGCAGCAGCTCTTTTCTAGCCTGGGTCTGGAAACAGCGTTGACTGAACTTGATGTTCGAATGACACTGCCAGACAATGCAAACAAGACAGCTGCCCAGGCTACCATCTATGCTGACTCGGTTCGCGCATGTGCGGATGAGGAAAGTTGCGTTGGAGTCACAGTTTGGGACTTTTGGGACACGGTTAGCTGGGTGCCTGAGACCTTTATAGGGGAGGGCAATGCCTGTCTCTGGAATCAGAACCTGCAGAGAAAGCCAGCATATTATGCTGTTGCTGATGTGTTGAGAAAGGCGGGTGAGAAGAGAGGATAGGCTGAGATTGGGGGACAGGAAACGGGCCAAGCTCTAGGCCTGGAAGGTTGTTTGTTGGTGGGTATGTCGCTATCGATGACGTTTTGTTATAGCAATGAAAAGCTGTAGACGTGTTTAAGCCTCCGTTGCGAATCTTATTCTGCGTGTTATCTAGTATGCTTGTGTTTGGGCAACGCCAGCGGGGTGACGCATGCCACATAGAGTCTCGGTCAGTGTGCTTTCAGGGAGGTCTTGCATGTCATACTCTCTAACGTGTCAATGGTATGTTTTCTGTTCTAGACTGGACGATGGGGAGCATCACGTATTTGCACGATGATGCCGCCAGCCATACATATGCGACAAAGCTTAAATCTGCAGAGTTTGAGCTGATCCTAACCAGCCGTTTGGGCATCGATCTCTGGCAGGACCTAGTAGATGATCCTGTGTTTCGACCAAGGGCCGCCCCCATGCGGATGTCGTTTAGATTTATGCTGACAGCAAGACGGCGCTCAAAACCCTACGACGGGTTTCGCAACGGGTTGGTCAATAAAGAGTTGATGTGACGATGTTCTGCGGAGAAAGTACATGTTGTTGCTTGGCGGCTCAAAATCAAGAATTCCGCTCTGCCGTACTCTTGGTGTTCGTGCGGGACGAGGAAGCGGATGCATCGGCAGACAGGAACAGAGCGTGATGGGCACTAAGACCTGCCCCAATCTTCCAAGCCCCTCCGCTGATCTTGGACGACGGAGTAGTGGCAAGGCGTCCGTCATGGTGCAGATAGGAGGTATATGTGGCGGTGCTGTGGCTCGTTCGTCCGTCCACTACGCTTGCGCGTTGGCTGCCCGAGTGGGTGCTACAGGTGGCTGGTTGCATGCATTGTATGTACACGCGTCTTTTGCTCGGTAGATATAGCAGAGAGATCGAAACTAAGTCATTTGAGGTCGCGATGTGTCCATGATCAGGTACCCTAATTCATTAGAAACGAAGAAGGCCCGTCGCAAATGTGTCCCTGAAGATAACAAGGTACGCGGGGAAACAGCTTCTTTGCTAGAAATTCATCATGGAATTGTGACACTTATGCTTTGGTTCAGAGTGCGCCTTGCTTGTCGAATGCAGCGATGTTGGACACAAGAAGTGCCGATTTTGGGGTGCTGAGACATGATCTAAGCCATACCCACGTTCGGGCGGTAGCTCTCGCTGCCCCTGAAGTATGGAGATCGAACTTCGGCTACGTTTAAAAAAGAAATCTGTTGGGCCTCTGGTAGAGAGTAAATAGCGCAACGCTGATATAGTTGGCCGTCAGGAACCCGTACAACTTACCATTTGCAAGGCTATACTTGCGGCAAATGACATTGTTCCGTACGGCCATACCTCCTGCCTCGTAAGCGTGCATAGCCTCAATGTAATAATCGCTCAATTCTTGGCCTACATTGCTGGGCACTTGGCGAAAAGCCAAGAGTGGAAACGTGGATGCGTGGACATCCCGCTCAAAGTTGGCGATCGTTTGAGATTTCGAAACCCCGAGCTGTTCATAGGATCTTGTCGAGGGGCTGAGCGTCCTAGGTGTGTACCAAATACTTGAGGAGTTGTAAGACTAAGGTCGATCGTGACAGAATCCATCCTTGTACGGACGCAGCGTGATCGCGATAGTAAAAAACATTGTTATTGAACCATCTCTCAAGCGTCGAGAGCATGTTGACTGGTGTTAAGAGCGCATACATTTCCTGGAGTACCATTAAAGTACTCGCCAGGATAAGGGATGCTGGACAAGCATCGATGTCCCACTGGCGCAAAATGCGAATGCGACGAGCCATTAGTCCGAGACGGGAAATTAAGAGGCCATGCGATGCGCAACTCGGTGTCTCTTTGTTCCAAGGTATGTACTCTGTAGCATAACCAGCCCGCGAGCCACAGCTGCCCAGTGGCGACGATGCGATGGCGTGACAAGAGTGTGGGAACGCAGCAAAAACTGGAGCAGATTGGATGCCAATACTTCCCGCTGTTGCTGATGAGCCAAGGGCACCAAGAGTTCCGCATTTTGATTGCTGTTTCGGTTGTGTCGCTTCAGTGTGAGGGGTCGAGGGTGTGGCAACGTATCCCATCCACCCACCGCACACAACAACGCCCATGACCCTCCTCGTCCGTAGCGCCTCTCGATACGCGCACCAAGTGCCCCGCGAAAACAGGGAGCGGTTACTTGATTGTGGTTCGCATGTGGTCATCTGCGACTGACGGATGTCGGCGAAGCAATCGCGTCTGGCCAAGATGAGGGCCAAGGCGCCAGTGAGTAAGAGAGTGGGGCAGCTGGGATGACAAGGCCGAATCACATTGAGGCTTTGCCCACCATCCCCGGACCTTTCCAAGCTCGGCTTAGCAGGGCTGTGCCTCGTTCTTCGACCGCGCCAGTTTCTCTTTCTCTGGGCGAATCTTCGCCCGCTCCGTTCCGCTGGTAAAAGCTGCCAACTGCCCGCGAAAACCTCTGGGCGTTCTCTCCTCTGACTTTGCTCCACGACCCCAGGCTGCTCTTTCCACCCCGCGGCTTAACTTTGCGATATCTGTCATCACGTTGAGCTGTTCTGACTCTTTTGCACACCACCAACCTTCATCATCATTGGCAACTAACATTCGACTTCGCCAAGACGATGAGCGAAGTCCAGAGTACAGTGCCCGCAGCGGCCACAACTCCTCAACAACAACCCCAAGGCACTCCCATCCAGCAGAATGCCCCAACGCCCGCCTCAGTTGCTGGTGGCTCAGGCGACCAGCTTGTTTGTCAATGGCAAAACTGTGGTGACCGTCTGCCCTCTGCCGAGCAGCTATATGTAAGTTGACCGCCAAGTATTTCTAGCGACTGCATATCGCGCCGCGACGCGTTCGATCTTGTCGCTTTGTCGTTCTAGTCCGCTGACTCGATTGCAGGATCACGTTTGTGAGCGCCATGTTGGTCGCAAGAGCACCAACAACCTGAATTTGACCTGCCAGTGGGGCAACTGCCGCACCACCACGGTCAAACGCGATCACATCACTTCTCACATTCGCGTACACGTCCCGTTGAAGCCGCATAAGTGCGATTTCTGCGGTAAGGCGTTCAAGCGCCCTCAGGATCTCAAGAAGCACGTAAAGACGCACGCCGACGATTCCGTATTGCTCCGTTCTCCAGAGCCCAACCGAGGCGGTCCCCATGGCGCCCAAGGCTACCCGGGCCAGAACGGCAAACGTAAGTACTCCTCACATGACTTCGTCGATCTCAACGTCGGCTCTCACGTCTGCCCTTCACTCTCTTTCAATATCTAACAGACTACTGCAGTGGTCGCTGACTTGCAGGCACTTGCCGCTACAGCAAGTGGATACCAGTATCCCGATAGTGCCCTTGGCCCCAACGGAGGTTACGGCCAGCAACACCCAGGTGGTGCTCCAGCTGGTTTCTATGGAGGCCCACCCCAAAACTCTGCTTACGGTCCAGTCTACTATGCTGTCAACCAATCTCAACAGCTCAACAACGACTACGAGATCAGGAAGCGTGCTGCATACGATGCGCTAAATGAGTTCTTCGGAGACGCCAAGCGTCGCGCAATCGACCCTACCACCTACTATGATGTCGGTCAACGACTCATGGGTCTCCAGGGTGTGCAGCTTCCAGTACTTGGAGGTGGCGGAGGCGGCTACCAAGGCGCCGGTATGTCTGAGTATGGCCACGGAGGCTCAATGGTTGCTCAAGCGCAGCACCCGCCCATGCACCACCCCTACTCCTTGCCGCTTCCTAATTTGAGGACCAAGAGCGATCTTCTAAACATCGACCAATTCTTGGAGCAATTGCAAAGCACCGTCTATGAGAACCCCAACCACGCTGCAGCCGCTGGGGTGGCTCATCCTAGCCATTACGTTCACACTGGCGCTGGCTACCGCTCCAGTAACTCACCGCCTGGCCTATCTTCTAGCCACTCCCAGTCATCTCACGCTACTGCTATTGGGTCAACCAGTGCCGAAACCCCGGCTCTGACTCCTGCATCGAGCGTGCTATCGTACGGATCTCAGCACTCCCCCGGCGCGCAACACTCCTCAAACAACGGTGTATCCCCCACGTCAAGGACTTCAATTGGTAGCATGTACCCTACTCTTCCATCTGTCAGCGCCATGTCGGATATGTCAGCTGCAGCTCCATCATCTGGGCTTGCACCTGCGTTTGATACTGATGGCCGTCGACGATTCTCCGGGAACCTTCTGCAGAAGGCTGCCCCAGATCGATCAGAGAATGACATGGATACTTCGAGCGATGGTGCTTCACCCAAAGACCGCCGGGATTCCGAGCAAAATAGTCTCCACCATGACGTTAACCAGCTGGCTATTCACTCGCCTAAGGTTGACCCTGCTCTTCGCTCTCCAAGCGTTGCTTCATCAACCCCCACAGAGCAAGGTGACTCATCTCAGCAATCGTGGGTTGAGAACATCCGGGTTATTGAAAGACTTAGGGCATACCTCAAGGACAGGCTGGATTCCCACGACTTCTCTGACGATGAGGAAGACGTCAAGCACGTGCATGAGCGCCGCATGAGCGATGATGATGCGCACAACCTTTACCCAGTATTGCGTGCTGTACAAGAGGGTCGAGAGTAGTGCCCGTGCTGTTTGTGGGTTCGTGAGGTTTCGTGGAGTTTAGCTCGGTGGGATGGTGTTCAGGCGTTCGCCAAATCTGGTGGCATTATCCGGGCTGACGGTCAATGGTTGTTTTATCGAGATAGCGATGTCTTCCTTCTGTTTGTTTCATGGCCACTACCAGGGATTAGGCCTTCCTGTAGCATGTTTAGCTTCACACTTGTTAGTCACAATGTGCGAATATTACGATTTTTTAGCTCTTCAGCTTTTCAACTTGATGCTCTACGCGTTACACGTGGCAATAACTGCCCATGCTTGAGACATGTAGAGAAGTCCCTCTTACCTGGTTTGCACCCGTACTTGTTGACTGCGGAACCTGCTTGGCAACCCGCGTTATCAGTTTGCCAAGCTTATGACCAATTCAGACCCCACATTGAGTCTCGTTGATCGTCGTTTAGACAAGCCTTTCCCCACGTTGCTATCAGTCCAGAACGTCGGGCACGGATTGATATGAGTTCAGACGACCCACTCGGAGCCGCGTACAATGTAATTACGCTCAGCCTCCTCGTCGTTCTTTTGTGAACATCATTCATCCCTCTTGTGACATACCGACAGCTCCTGTGCATCTTTGCGACACACAGCAATATATCCAACAGCAAACCTGAGTCATCTTGGTGAGCACTGTTTTGCGATGGCGTACGGGCGCGGTGGTGCAGGTAATTACTACGCGGCGCAGGAGCAAAGCAAGAAGGCAGTTGAGGCGAGTTAATGCATCTCTTGCATTGTCAACCGTATAGACTTTCAAGAAAGCTGACAGTCTATACAGGACGTCGAAGCCAACCGTTCCACTACCGATACACAACCTATCCACTCTTCGACCCCAGTGCAACCTTCAAATTCCTCTCAAGACTACGCACACATGGGTCGCGGCGGTGCTGGCAACTGGTATCAGCCCACTGAGCTTCAGAAAGAAGGTACCTTCACACAGGCTGTTGACGCAACCGCAATCCCTACGTCATCGAAGCCACAGATCAGCACACCTTGGCATCCTGAGGGTCAGGAAATGCCTGTCGCCAGAAGCGGGAGAGGTGGCGCGGGTAACTTCGTCTGGAAGAGTGAAGAGCAGAAGAAGGGGCAGAGGGATGATGAGGAGAGAAGAATAGAGGGGCTGAGGGATGAGGTAGAGAGGAGTGTCGAAGCTGGATTGGCGAAACCGCCTTTCGCGCTGCTTGGGAGGGAGACGCAGAAGGGCCGGTGAACGAATCGACAGAATTCAACATTCGGCGGCTATGCGAAGACCCAATAGGTGGGCAGATTTTCAGGCTCAATGAACCAGTTTAGCAGGGATCGATAGAATCACGCTCAGACTCCTTTGTATCCGTGTTACAATGTACGTCGTTGCACGTTATCGCATGCTGTCTGCGAAGGAGCTCGCTTCTGATTAGATGTACTTGGGATCACTGGAGTGTATCTTGAAGGTGTACGTAGTGATGTGCCTGGCGACTCTACATATAAGATAACAGTGTATAATTTCATGATTCGTTTTAGGGTTTGTCTAAGCGGAGTTTGACCTTGGAACTTTTGGTCTTCTTCTCTCAGAAACGAGCACACTTGCTCAAGTCACTGCATATGCAGGCAAACATACGCAAATTAGCAGTCCAGAACCCAAAACCTAAGCCTTGAGCCTGTGCTTTCGAAGAGCTTCTTCGTACGCGTCTCTTGAGATGGCTCATGACGTCGCTTCCTCTTTGGGACAACAACGTCCGTGCACTTTGTTTATCGACGCCCTAGCCGATAACTCCCCCGTCTTGGTCTCTCCCCACCCACAGACCAGCCCCAATCTCCGCTCATCTTCGTGTCGCAACCTAGTTGTGGATCATTCTTCGACACTTCGTGACAACATGGCGCGTCGATCAGCTCGTTTGCTCAAGGTATGCGCGCGTATTGCTTTTCTATCATTTGTTTACATCTACTAATGCGTCTTCTGTAGCGTGAGACCACGCCCGACACCTCCATGCGATCCGAAGATAGTTGGCATACCGCCTCGTCGCCAAACCTAGGACTCCCGGATCTTCCAGAGTTGCCAGAGCCCGGTATGGAGCAGAAGAAGCCCTCGAAAGCCTCTGAAGGTACCAAGGCCGAGTCAAAGCTACCGCATGCGACCGCTACACCCACATCACACAAGAACAAATCGACCAAGTTGCCCATTGATGCCGCCAAAAGCCAGACTCCCAAGGATCGCACCCCGATCAAGCCAGCAGGGCAGGAGATGCATCCCGCGCACCATCATGCGAGTACAGCTAAGATTCTAGATGAGGCGCGCTGGCTCGGGTTTCAATCACTCGGTGCGCATACCGCGCCGTCCAAAGCGGCTGGCTTAGCAGGCCAGGCGACGCCGTCGAAGACCCCAGTACCTGCTGCTTCGACGGCCCAGCTTGACTCGTCGCCCAACTTCCGCTTCCGCTTCAAATCGCCCTTGTCCAAAGATGAGGCTACACTGAGCCCAAGCTCGCGCAACATCTTGAAAGACGCTGGGATTACAGGCACTCCCGGCGGCGGGAGCCGTGCTCTGTTTGGTCGGTTATAGCCCGCTCAACCTGTTTTGCTTTTTCCCGAGTACTGATTTTGATATAGGCACGAGTGAATGGTCTTCCAAGGCCGACGTATCTCCCCAGCGCAAGAAGGCCGAAGCTAAAGGCAAGATGGCTCGCTTCAGTGACGTGCACATGAAGCAGTTCAAGAGCATGGATTCCATCGCGAATCACCCTTCAGCTTTCCGCGCCGACCCTACCCGATTCAAGCCTGTCGTGGGCCATCCTCTAAAGAAGTCGCCCTCGAAGCCAGACTTGGCAAACCCGGAGACGAACAAGCTCAAGCGTACACAATCCAAGGTGGATCTGGCAGATTCAAGCGCGAGTTCTGCTAGTGGTCTCAAGCACACACAGTCGAAGATGGAACTGGCAGCGTCTGGAAGCAAAATTCCTTCAACTCCGTTGAAACGTACCCAGTCCAAGATGGACAATGTCGGATCTAGTCTGCCACGCTCTCATTCAACAGCCCGCATGGCTCCTCCTACACGGGACGGACGACCAGCCCCCCGCGATAACGATGGTGACCACAACGCGGCGGCAAAGCGTATCAAGCGTACCGAGTCAGACGATGCTGCTACCACTCGTCCTGCGTCTCGGGAGAAGACGACTGACGTCCCAGCACGTGTAACTGCTACCTCGGCACGTAAGAAGACCTCTCAGACCGCGCTTCCTCGCCTAGCTGCGCGATTGATGACACCTACAAAGTCGTCTATCGCGCGTTCGCAGAGTGTGAAGACTCTGAAGACTACGTCGATGATTCCAACCTTGGGAGGCTCACCTTCCACAAATAACCTGGGAGTCTCACCATCCATTAACCGCAGCGTCAAGTTGCCTTCAACGGGTACTTCATTCCCTCCCACTAGCAACATTGGTCATTTGCAGGCTATGAGGGATGGAGCACGTGACAGTATGCTCAAGGTATGCGTATTCTTCGATATCCATTCAAGCGTTTACTAACAGCAGTAGGCAAGCCAGAACCTTCAGCGTGTCCGGTCGATCCTCCGCACGCCAAACCGCAAATTCTCAGACGACCCTAGTAAAATCGCGGCAGGCACTCACGTGTCACCTCCAGCTTCAGACTCCGATAGCACTCTGCCTGTGATTCCTGCTACAGCTCCTGTCAAGAAACAAGTCAACTTCAGCAGTAGTACTTTGGAGCGTGCATCACACGACGAGCTGGGCAAATCACCGTCACCGATGAAGTTTAGAGCAGGCAGCGAAGTTCCTGCTGGTGCTGTAATCTACCCTAACCTGGGCTCAGGTGCACAACACCTAGACCTTTCACAAGAGACTGAGACTCCTCTCAGCCCGTCACGACGTCTCACCTTCGGTGGCGAAACTCCCAACCACCCTCGTTCCTTCTCCTTCGAGTCTAGCAAGACTGTCAACTTTGGTACGTACACACTATGGGTTCTGTTCTCTTTGCATGCACTAACTTTCTCAGGACCGACGTCTTCTGGTACGATCCGCATGGTCCGTGAGAGCAATGTGTCCTCTGCTATTGACGGTACAAAGCGCAAGCTGGAGACGCTCCAAGAGACGTCTGACAAAGAGAACGACGGCCCCCATCAAGATGATACACGATCCAACAAGAAGATGAAGCGCACGCCTGCGCCTGTTGCGAAAACTCCTGCCAGCACGAGCAAGCTGCCTCGCCACACTCCAGCAGTACGTTCAGGTGCCATCAGCAAGTCGAGGCTTGCTTTCCTTGCTACACCCAAGCGAAACAAAGCTTGAGCTTGTTTGCCTTGGGCCTTGAGCGTAGCTCTATTGGGATGTATCGTCGTTGCAAGCTATAGCTGGCGTACATTGTCTTGTGATACAGCGAACATTGTTCTCAGTTCACGTATTCTGTTTGCCATTCGCTGGCGTATCGGTTATGATGCCTGTGCATCATCTTACGACTCACGCCATTTTGTTTCTGCCACATCTTCTTTCCTTTCATTCAAGTTTATAATTGCTTCGGAGCGTAATGGTTGGTAAAGCGTGAACCTCAAAATCTTCTCCTTTGTTTCTGGATCTCAGGTGTCCAATGGACAATGAACATTACGAAAACGGTCCTCATGATTAAGCTTAGCTTGTGTATAATACACTAAATGAATGGCATACGACAGTCGAACACAGTGACAGATAATCCGATATAACTCTAAATATGTTGTATGATGCGGTACAATGATATTCTTTTAGTTGTACAACTAAGATCGATCAAGCATTATGAATGTTGCAGTGTGTATGACTAAGCCGAGGGACATGAGCAATGAAGTGGGTCGAGTTCCGCGTGCAGCGGTCGGAGATTCCGAACCGACGTCGGGTCTCATAAATTCACACCGCTTACAGAAGCCCCCACTACACACAAAAGGGCTTTTCTAGCAAGTTACTACGTCATTCGAGTACGCGCGGACAGCTTACGGCCTTGCTACACTGGCAGGGCGACTTTCACTCCACCACCGTGGCGTCGCTAAGCAACCTTGTCGACGAATTGAAGAATTCCTTCAACTTCTTCAACTCCCACTCACTACTCAGCTCAACGACGCCCTCATCGATACACGATAAAGAGAATCAGCCCACAGACGCGCTCTCGAGGTTTGTGCGATTCTTGCAACATCCACGTCTCCACGACATCACCGAGTTTCTCACGAACCCCCACCTCGACGATCCAACCTACCTTACTACCCTTGCTATCGCACTAGCATCCGTCGTCGTAACCATGTCCTGGTTCTCTCGCAGCACCGGCGGAAACTGGGGAGGGCGCTTCTCACCCTTCGGGCGACCAGGCAACTCACCAAATGCCGGGGTCGTCAATGACTCGGATTTCTCATACATTACGAACGAAGATCTGCGAAGGAACGGTCAGGCGCAAGCGCCTGAAATCGTAGATTGGGACGACAAGAACCCAGAGCGAGAGACAGACGTTCTCATCTTCAAGAATGGGCGCACAAACTATCCCACACACTTCCCGGCGCACAGCATACGGGATGGAGATCTGAAGATTGGCACGGTGCGCCAAGCGGCTGCGAAGAAGCTAGGCGTCGATGACCATCGGCGCATACGCATGTTCTACAAGGGCAGAAACTTGAAGCACGATGAACGCACCGGACGAGAGGAAGGCCTTCGCGGCGATGGGAGTGGTAGTGAGATTCTAGTCACAGTCGGCGAGACCCCGGCAGGCGGTCTGGCACCCGGCGCAGGAGAGACACAACGCGCATACGGTAGCGAAGGTGAGGATGAAGATGACGACGATGAAGATGATGTCGACTCGGGTGCGAATACCACAAGCAAGAAGAAGTCCCGCAAGCGCGGCGGTAGGAAGGGTAAGAAGAAGAACGCTTCATCCGCAAACGCATCTGGCACTTCAACGCCTGGCTACACCACTGCCGGCGCGGGCGCGGAATACCTCCCCATCCCCTCGCACATCAACGCAACCCCGCGCCCAACCTCCGCTCCTCCCTTGAATACCAAACCCGCCGAACCCCAGACCCCGATCGGCAAACTCGATGCCATCGCTAGCAAGTTTCACACCGAATTTGTCCCCATGTGCGTACAGTTCATGGCTGGACCACCAGAGGACAAGGCGAAGAGGACGTTCGAGTACAAGAAGCTAAGTGAGACTATCTTGACACAGATTATCTTCAAGCTGGATGGTGTCGAGACTGAGGGTGATCCAGACGCGAGGCTCAAGCGCAAGGCCCTCGTCAAAGAGGTCCAGGGCATGCTAACCAGGCTGGACGAGGTTGGAAAGGCTGGTTAAGCTGTCACAGGAGATGAGAGAGATGGGAGCATGGGATAGAACAGGTCTGCGCACCATTCTATGATGTAGTGAAGCAAGAAACCGAGTTCGCTAATGGAGGCACGAACATGTATGGTCACCTTGCTGTCGCTGTACTTCCTGGTCGAAATTGCATTGAAAGATCATGATCCAATGGACAGCTCTGATGAAGGGCCAGCAATCGAGTCGCGTACCAATGTCAACGAACATCTTTGATCTATGCCTCTCTACTGTGCCTTTGGTGTACTCTTGTAGTCTTGCCTCGTTCTCCCCCTGACCTGCTGTATCCTTGCTTCGTGCTTGGTCAGGTGAGCCGAGAGCGTAAAGATATCATCTCTTTCGTTGTCCTTTTATCAATGTTGTTCCATCAAGCTCTCTTACTCACAAAGGCCCCAAAAAAAACACGTCGACATGTCAAGAGAACATAGCAACTCCCGTATGCGAACAGTCTGCCTTCTCCGTTGTAATGTATGGGATATATCTTACGTTCGAGAGCAGCCTATTACATACGGCAGGGATCAACTGTGTCAGTGGCACGACTACCGACAATCTATGTTCTTGCACCGTTCGAAATAGCCAAAGCAGTCTCAGCTGTTACGCGACTGACACCTGATATGTCATCAATCGATATGGAGATCGCAACTTTGCGAAAAACGACTGCATCAGTCTTGACGTACCTTTGGACTACTACCAGCACAGAAATCATGATTCAGTAGAGGCGCGTAAGCCAACCCAGAACTAGATATTGAAAGAGCTGAAGACGAGTTAATTGTTGAATTGCGACTCGGCATAGAAGAATTGCATGGATGGTAGAGTGCTGGACGGGGGGATAGCATGACTGTGTGGCAACCGTGGTCAAAGGAGAAGAGGTTGGATGAATAGGTTGTTTGGGATGCGTATCAGCGCCTCGGTTTGGGTAACCAGTAAGGTTGATTGATTAACACCCTAAGACTTCTATTCTTCTCAGGTAGAATATTACTCATCTGTTTTTTCGTTGCTTTCTACATTGGAACCTCAAACATCAATATTCGTGTGCTTGTCCTTACTTCAAGTCGCTTCTATGCAAAGACTACAATTTCGTGACTCAGATGTCAGTAAGGAGGAGTGAGCAATGAAACTACACCGTAAAATTGCTCAACCAATATTCAAGCTCTCTAGTCAGAAGCGGAAAATCCCAAATGTAATGCAAGTTTAGCTAGTAACTCCAGAGCCGTGTCTATCATCCTGTAAGATTCCCAGGCTGTGGCAGTACGTCAAGTCATGTGGATGTCATATTCATTCAGTGTCTTGTACGATATTCAATGTCGATTACTGTGCGAATGACATCTCTGTTGGTGACGAAAATGTTTCTGGCGAAAATCGTACTTGAGAAGGCAGTTCCGTAATTTTTACACTCGGAGGTCCTTCTTAGCAGATCGAAAATATGCCAATACTTTGATATTGCAGCCATGTCGATGCTTCTGTTTCGGCAATGGTTTGGTAAGCTTTATTGCTGGTGGAGACATTAGACTTTAGATTTACCGAGAGCGAGACTTCCTGCTATGAACCCCTTCATATATATCAAAGCCTCCACTTGTTGGGGTCGTTATTACGCAAGAGTTCGATGAATTCAGAGCGTGGAACAACAAGATTAATCTCAGACCCCAGGAAGAATTTGTCACGGTTCGTTCCTAGCTCGTTATTCGTGATTTTCTGATTCAGAACAAGCACTGGGATGTCCGTTAGCCCTGACATCTTCCATCACGTTGATGCTGGAGACTGTCACCAATCAATTGGCTGGCTGTCCAGTTTACGCAAATTTCCAAGATTGAGCGAAGAACATTTGGAAAGGTTCGTCCAACATTAGCTTTGCTCTACCTAAGTAGCCTGATCCACCCGTGTTCATTGTGATGATGAAAAGGGGCTGTGGAGTCGAACTTTAAGGAATGGATTTCAAGAGACGTTCATCATGGAAGATTATGAATTCTATGGGAATAATACGCCACGATCGAACGGCTTGAACGAGCTGTCAAGCTCGAAGATTTAGGTGAGATAGAGGTGTAACGTCCTTGCAAACCAGGCAAAGCGAAGAGCACCGTGCTGACCTGCCCGATATCTTCCAATTTCTTGTCCTAGAAGCGACTCTATGGCACTGCAATATCGAATCCTTAGTGATGTATTCCGTGCTATAGAGTCGATATAACCCGACAAAAGGACGATATCAAGATTATGAAGAATTGAATACGATTTAGTGTTACTATTACGGTGTGAACACCGTTCGAGTATCTGGGGGTGGCCTCATAGTTGTGCGAGAATGCTGACGGTCGAATGTCGGCCTTGACGGAGGTTGTTCGCTGGCCCACATAATACCTAGCTAACACCGATCGATCGCACCTCAATTTTGTGGAAACCTCTGCATCATTCTGGTACGAAGGCTTTCGAGGTTGGAAGTGAGAAGGTTTGAGATGGTGGCAGTGATCTGGCGTCTCTGATGCCACCTGCTTATCTTAGCTGAGTACCTACGTCATGACAGTAGGCCTGCTAGGACTAATGAAAGCCCGCCTTTCCTGGGTTCTATGGCCAGTATTACGCAAAGTCAGCCAGTAGGGTGGTGTCAACATCAGCATGCCTCTTAAGCGCTTGGCATCTTCTTTACCTTCAGCAACCAACTGGACAACATCTTTTGCGAAAGCCAATATGAAAGATCCACAAGCTCCCGCAGCATCAACTACACATTGGTTATCACAGATCCTGTTTGAGGTTCGATCCTCCAGAATGATGTTACCTAGCCTCAAGCGTTTGTTATGGCTGTGGTCCGGTCGTAGTTGTTCGTAGACGCTGCTGAATGCTAAGAGAACCAGCTTAGCGGCAGCCAAGCTTCTCATCTTAATGCCAGAGTTGTTCGAGTCGTAGTGTCGTGCGTGGATGATGGACTGTTAGCAGTCGATGATCAAGGTAGTCCAGTGCGTGTCAAGCGATATGCCAATTTCAAAAATTATGTTCCACTCGCCGCTTGTGGAGGGCATAAAAATGAACTTCGTCTTTTCCAACCTCTCCTATGGTTCTTTGGTGGGTTGCAAAGTTCCTGAATCGCTACAGCCGATGAATTACAGCTCACAAGCAAACTCCCCTTTGACATTAGCGATGTCGTGCTGTTCACATTGGAAAACACAGCTGATAGCATCGAAGCCTGCATTTAGAATTTCGTCTAGGACCTATACGTTAATCATATCGAGCTAAGTGAAGGCAATGTTGCGAAGTGAGGCTATCTTACTCACTACTATTATCCTTATGCCCCAACATAATGCGGTCTATTCTTTTACATCCATCTCTCGCGTCAGCGTCGTCCTTGCTGAAGAGAAGGTCATGTTCCTCCGCCTGAGCTGTCGTTGGAGTCAAGTCAAACGACCAACCAAGAAGAAATTCAGTAGCTCTTGTTCGATAGTGACAAGCGTCGTCAACCAGTTCTCAACATTCTGTAGCTATTGTACGCGTTCAATGTTCATCACAGTATCTGTACCGGCCAGACAACCGAGATGGGTTCGTAATAAACTCATGAAGGTCGAACTTGTGATGTATACGTCAACCATCTGTCATCCTGCGCGTGAATGTAAAAGACTATTTCGAAGAGTCACCGAAGATGTTGCATCAATGAAGCAGTTCTTTGTGTGGCTGTGGTGGCTCTGTGGCTGCAAAGGCCCCTTGATCACTAAACAAAGATACATGAAGTGGCAACATCTTGTATAAACTGATGAAAAATCACAATGGGTAGGTAACAAGCGTGTTTCACTATGTGCTTGCGTACGTCTCCCTGCTGAGTAATGACAACCGCATAGTCTTACGCAAAGGGTAACCACGACGTTGGATTTGAGTTGACGTCTTCGACGTCAAATTAGAGTTCGAAACAACGACGAAAAGCCTTCCACAGATCTGAGCTAGGATAGCCAGCCATCGGCCTGTGCTACACTAAGGAAGAGAGTCAGTAATTAGGGAGACAGAGTGTCGGAGTCGGAGTGGGCATTCTCGGTCTCGGGTCCTCCCTAGCCTGCCTGCTCGGTGGGTGTTCGCCCGAACCCGTCGCAGAAACTGACTAGAGCACCCGATGATCTCCCGGTTTTCAGAAGGCCCTTGTTTTTACCTATGCCACTTTGTGGAGACCCTTGACCTTGTCACGACCTTGTTTCTGGGTATGACTATCTGGTAACCTGGCGTTGTGGGGGTGGAGCCCAGCAACGGCGTGTCAGTCACCACGTGGAACCGCGCCATCACGGATGCGACGATCACATCAGGCTAGCGATCCGTGGCTGATGAGTAAACAATGACTGTGTAACTCAGGGTAAAGGTAAGCAAGGCATATTCAAGCAAGACACTAACTAGAAAGCATGTGGGATTCGCGTCCAATTGAGCAGTGACATATCGCTTTTGGTTAGAAAGTGAACTACTTCAGAGACCAGACACCGTTCTCCTCGATGATATCAATAGGTCGGTTCTCGTCGAGCGATCTTCTGCCAGCCTCGAGGATTGCGGTTGTCGCGATAGTGTTCTTCAAAGTTGGTAGCGGCCGCGCGTCTAGCTGGTCAAGTGTGACCTCGCCTGCGTTGAGCTTGTTGACAGCATCAACAAACTTCTCAAACGAGATGTACCCGTAACCGATCTGGCCGGCGAAATTACCCTCCTCGTCAGGAGCGTACTTCATGTAGAATCTGAAGATTGTTAGCACGCGAAGTGGCAATGTTTTGGTGCTTGAACTTACGGGTTGTACCAAAGGAGGCCACCCTCATCGTCGGTAACATCGTAGCCGCGCTTTGCCTGGTTGACGCGGATCTCTCCTGTTGACGCCATGTAGTGGAAATATTGATTTGAGTGTACACCAGCCTTTTGTGGTGCTGCCCAGCCAGCTGTGTAAACACCGGTCCCAACCTTGCTTGGGTCATCTTTCTTCACCCAGTTTGTGAGTAGTGTAATAGTGTCCTCGGTAGCAGGATCACATCCCAATCCCGTCGCAATACCTTTAGCGGCACTAGCCATGACGCGTACCGGCTTCCAATCAGGAATCATAGACTCGTTGATATCGATGTGGTGAGAATTGAGGTAGTAAGAGATGTCAGAGTCGATACCTGCCCACGCTTTGAACGTTTCCAGTTGGCTCCTAGTTGTCCTGTCAGCTACTGTTATTTCCGCTTTCACAAGTTCAAACGTACTTTGGCTGGCTCATGTAAGAGTAAAAGTAGTTGAAGTCGCCCAGCTTCTGTGCCCTGAAACGCGCGTCCGCGTAAGCGGGATCGTACCGCTTGTGATGCTCAATGTAGACGAAGACATTGTGTTTCTTTGCTGCGGCCAAAAGCTCCTGGTGATGCTCTAGTAACTTTACTGCAGGCTTTGTGATGAGGACGTGAATTCCGCGTTCGATGGCGTACAAAGCGATTGGGTAGTGGGTGGTGTCAGGTGTGAAGATGGTGACTAAGAGATATCAGAGGAAGTACACAATAGAGCCGATATGCGCTGTAACTTACTGGCACTCCCTTTGGGAAGCGCGTCAATCGCGGCCTTGTACGCATTCGGGTCGGTCTTCCCTTCTTTGGGAAATTCCTCAAATGACACATCCAAGTTGTTGTATGCTTCGGAGATGTTCTTTTGGAGATGCTCGCCTGGCAGAGATTAGCATGCCACATGGGGAGAGCAATTCAGACGCCGTGCAACTCACGGATTGCGGGGAATTTGCCGCCCGATGTGCCCACCATAGATAGTTTGCCAACCTTGCCGCGTCTTCGGAGGTCGAACAGCGTCAGTCCTACAACTCCAACCTTCTTATCCGACTTGGATGCGCCTCCTCCTACGAATCCCGTCGTATACTCTCCAGTACCAACCTAGATTTGCAATCAGCTTTGTAAACGCATTGTAACGGAAGAGCATGAATGCATGCATGCGAGACAGCTGCAGTTAGGTGGCCGATGAGGGGCAACATACCATGAGGACTTCTACTGGCGCCATGATGACCGTTTCCTTTGAGATCTGGACGTTTGCGAAGATGAATTGAGACGTTCCTTAGCTACTGTCGGATTTCCGAGGGAGATGAGACGACACAAGAGCTGAATTCAAGGGGATGCGCTCGCTCAATACCCGACATAGCTTCGTCGGCCTTTGACTACTTATCGATAGCGACGGAAAATATATGGCCCAGCAACGCGATGAGGGGCACGAGGCCCTCACGCGTTCTGCCGGCAGCCGCGGCCGGATGACGTTACATCATTCGAGGCCTTTGGTCGTGGTGGGGGCGGAGTCTTGCTGAGGGCGATTGTTTTGCGCCCGTTTTCGATGGCTGTGGCGTCTCCAAGCCATCTATAAGGCAGCCGGGCTGGTCTCAGCACGCCAGAAGTGTCTTGGAGGAATCTCTTGGGGTGTGCGCGGTTGCTGGAGTTTATTGTCTCCGAGGGGTAGCGAACTTCCCCAGGGCCAAGCAAAGAGGGACAGTCGCAGCCCCCCCACGCGCCGCCCCATGTCTCATTGGTGGAAGAATGCCACCCGTCCAACACGTCCATGCTGTGCCACTATGTTCGACAGCTAACCCTGCCTCAGATGCAGCTCTATCCCATCACACAACCGCCGATTTTAGTCACTCCCATAGAAAAGGCCGCACAATGTCCCGCATTTCGCGCAGTGGTGTCCCGAACTCGCCAGATGGCCCACAGCCCTGCACCCAAACTCCAGTCTAGCCCTCACTGTCGCTGCCCTTGGCGAATCACCGAGGCGCATTTGACGAGATCTCGACAACGGTAGAGCCACTGAGACACGCCAGTCAATGTGGGATGAGACGTGAGCTCTGCCGAACTTAGCTCCTCTGACCTACTTTGCGCCGATTGCCTCCATCTCGCTGCTATATTAAAGCTGACCCAACCCGTACTTGAATCATCGATATTGTTCTCCCTTTCCTCTCTCCCGAAATTTGCATTCTCGTATATAGCCTGCCTTCTTCATCGACACTCTCTAGTCTTTCTTGACCAGACATATAGCAAACATGGCAGCAAATGGTAATGGGGCCAATGGCCACTCCAAGGAACGCACCCCTCTCCGACCGGGTATCTACTCACCCACCATGACTTTCTTCGACCCAGAGACTGAGGAGCTGGATATTCCCACAATCAAGAAGCATGCAGTACGACTAGCCGAGGCTGGTCTTGTTGGTCTTGTTACTATGGGATCCAACGGAGAGGCTGTCCACCTGTCACGGGCCGAGAAAACCGCTGTCACGCGAGCAACTCGCGAAGCCCTCGATGAGGCTGGCTACCAAAACGTTCCGGTCATCGTTGGAGCTTCTGAACACGGTATCAAGCTCACAATTGAGCTTTGCAAAGAAGCAGAGGCAGCGGGCGGCGAGTACGTTCTTACCGTTCCTCCAAGCTACTACCGCTATGCCATGGATGAAGAGGCCATCTACGAGTACTTCACCAAGGTTGCAGACGGCTCACCACTCCCAATTATCCTATACAACTATCCAGGAGCCGTTGCCGGTATCGATATGGACAGCGACCTCATCATCAAGCTTGGCAAACACCCTAACATTGTCGGTACTAAATTCACATGCGGCAACACTGGAAAGCTCACTCGTGTCGCCCTTGCTACCAATGCCTGCACACAGAAGAGCAATGGTAGTGGCTACATGGCCTTTGGTGGTATGGCCGATTTCACAGCTCAGACTGCTGCCAGTGGCGGATCAGGAATCATCGCTGGCGGTGCTAATGTCCTGCCAAAGACATGCGTCAAGGTCTGGAACTTATGGGCGGAAGGAAAGTACGACGAGGCAATTGAGTTACAAAAGGTGCTCAGCAAAGGCGACTGGGTCCTCACAAAGGCCGCCATCCCTGGAACTAAGTCAGCAATTCAGTCATATTACGGCTACGGTGGCTACCCCCGCAAGCCACTCAAGAGACTACCACAAGAGAAGGTCGACGCTGTCGCGGAAGGTATCAGAGAGGTCATGGAGGTAGAGAAGAAGTTATAGTTAGTTTACGTCATGTTTTCTTACGTTCATGATGGGTTGTGCTACGTTTTCTACACATACTTTGTTGAAAGTCTGGGGCAAAAGCACGTGTCTGCATTTATGGTGCTTTCGTCGTTGTATATAACCGTTCTATGATAGATATCCTATTTGGTTGTTTTCATTGCGGAGCTTAGTTCGAGTAAGCGCACTACGTCAGAATTGGCAGCGCCTAAGGAGGAACCTCGGAGGGTCGCAACTGCCATTGCAGCATCATCACAAACTAGCGCAAGACGGCCGCACCTTCCTTGTGACTCTCACACAGCAGAAACAGTTTCTCGCTCCACCTTCATTTGATTTGTATCTCATAGCCTTGTCTCGGGCGGCTGCTTGCTGCCACCCCGATAATCGCGTCGCATCTAGAACCTGGCTACCCTAGCGACAAGCAGAGCAGCATCCTTGTCTCGGCGATCGCAGGACCAAGCGTAAAATCTAGGTCGAACGCCAACGTTTCGCCGTCATTATTCCTTTTCTGCCCGAGCGGCAGTCGCGGCAGCTGCCACAGACGGCGCAATTCACGACAGGCTTGCACTTCCCAGTTTGCCTGTGATCGTGACGCAGCATATACGCGCAATGGTGGTTGAACAGCGATTGAGTTTACGTTGATACTTTGAATGATATTTACGGGCTGCTGATCATGCAGCATAGCCAATCGCTCCAATAAAAGAGGCCAGATGCAGCCGCACGAAGCCGAAATTATGCGCCCGTTCACGTGTTTTCATAACCACGCATAGAAAAGGAAACCATAGTTGTACAACGATCCAGCCACATATACAGCCCGCAGGCTTGTGCGAGTCGCGCCAGACGCCGATGGCCACCACCGGCTTCTAAATGTCCTCCAATTCACTTAGATAGCCAGCCCGTTCCCCAAACTCGTCCAGCGGTATAAGGATAGTACTTCTCGCCTCTTCGCAGGCGTCATCTCTCTTGCGTGCCCGTGGCCTTTGATTTGCGCTAATGTTGAAATCATCACTTTGCGGAAGTTTCTCTGCGTCAAGTTAGCGGTGTAATGGCAACAAACATGAAAGGAACAGCCTACCTGATACTCCGTATTGAGAGTTACGACCGCAGCCTCATGCGCCCTAACAATCGTTTCGCATGCGCGAATGACCCCGTCGTTAGTCTCAGTAGACAACTTGTCGGCTAAGAGAAGCAGGATAAGGCTTCCTTGCAAGAGATACATGCCGAACAAGTAGGGCATAAACGACAAATCCGGATCCACGTCTAATATTACCTCGACAGCGTGGGCAGCCGATATCGCGTTGGATGTTGCCGCAAGGAAGGACTGTGAGCATATCCACATATTGTCATCCTCCAGAAGTGCCACGGGATCCCATTTGCCGTGCAACAGGATATGCAACACATGCATTATATGAGTAGCATAGGCTGCGACTTTCCTGGTCTGGTGAATCCATTCGCTGCGGACTGGGTCGGGTGTACTGTTCGATTGAGCTTCCTCGTTCGAGCCGCAGCCGTGTTGTGCCTTGAAGTCTTCGATGCTGTACGCGTACCGTTCCAACTGGCGGGTGATTTCTGCTTCGTGAAGCTCCCAGGATGTCCGCTGACCGAATCTGGGGTGGTTTTTCTGGGCGTTTAGATCGACAATGTCTCCAAGAATTGTCATTAATGGCAGAAAGAAACCGAATATATCATGCCTGTCTAGATTAGCATAGTCCTCAGGCGCATCAGAATGCGCTAAAAGATCACCTGGAAGCGGCGTCTTTCAGTTGCGGGCTATACATACGATGTACACTCGAAGTTGAGTCCCCGTTTTCGCGCTCCAGGATGGCCTGTATAGAATTCGCCCGCTTGCCAGAGCGTGTCCGGAACTGGCTGGAACAGATCCTCGCATTCGTTATCAAGCATGGCCAAGGGTCGGTTATAACATAGTCCAAGGTGCCTATCGACCATGTAAAGTAACCACCACAGTCGACGCCTCTCCTCTTTCATTTCCTCCACGACTGCCGCGGCTGGGGTGCCCACAGGCGCTTGCGCACTAGAGCAATCCGACATGCTCACTTCTATCTCCCCATCTGTTGCGGTTGTCTCTCGCTCTTTAACAGGTCCTTGTGGTAATTCTCGGCCTAATTTGAGCTCTCGGGCTAGCGACCACGCCGCGTTCCACCACCGTAGGGAAGCCGCCTTGTACTCGCTTGCAGAAGTGACTACGCCAAGATTGATATATGTGGCGACATCGTCCAATGTACTTGTGGGTGGCATGGCTCCGTCAGGTCTTCCATCGTAGCGTCCTATTGCTCGATCAACTCCAAAGGCGTCGTGTGCGGCGGATGTCAGTCCAGGTCCTGGTGCGAACCCATGCGAGGATGGAGAATGAACGAGGGGTTTGAGTAGATCCACAGTCAGTTTCCACAACTTCTGGCTGATAATAGCTCTTGCAGACGGCGATGAGGTCAGGTAGCTCGCTTCGCTGGTCTGCGCAGCGACCCAAAGCATACTCGAAAGCAGAGCGGGACTACATTTTCTCGGCTTGTGTTGTCGTAGAAAACTTCGCTTCCTAAAGACAGACCCGAGAATATACGGCGAAACTGGTTCCATAAATACCGACGAGGAACTTTGGAAGTAGAATTCGAGCAGGTCGCATGCGGTGGTGACATTCAGTATTGGTCCTAGATGGGGAAGCAGTGGTCCCAAGACTGGGTATCTACAGGCGGCTATGGCAGGGGCGTTTTGCGAAGAGTTTACGCTAACTCCCGATTGTGGCGATCCTGTGTCGACGGAACCATAACTACGGGGTGATGATTGCCTTCCAGCTTGCTGGTACTGCATTGGGTAGGCCATGTTGGCGTACTCAGGGGGGATCGAAACCGGTGTTCCGTTAGGGCCGGGGATGAGATGCATGCCTATGGCTGTCAGCAACTCTTCCGATTCAACACGTATCGCAATACGCAAGAGGCATTTTGAGTAACATACGAGACAAACGAGACATGTACACAGACTGCGAGTGGTGCGAAGTACTCCGGGCTCGTCCATCGTACGTACCATTCATGGCATACATGAGCTCTTCGCGAGGCATCTCGGCGTGCATCGTCGGGTACGCAGCGTTTGAACCAAGGAGTAATGGATCGATCATCATGTGGTTGACAGGTGGATCGAATGTTGTGCCAGGGTTCAGAGCTTGCCAATCGCCCGCAGGTAGACCACCTTTACCAGCTGGAAAGTGCTGTACGACTGGCGTCGCTTCTGATTGCGACCAAACATCTTCATCCATCTCGGCCATGACACCAGGCCTCTCGTAATAACTAGAAATGCCATTAGGGGTTTGTGGGCTACCACCAGCAGCAGCCTCTTCTCTCTGCTTCTGAATGTGCCGTGGAACCTGTAATGCGTCAGCTCCTCGATGCACCAGACAGTCGCAATGCATGCGCGTACCGACGTCCACGCGGTTGGGGCTGATGGTCATCGATAGTTGGGAGTTGCTTACTTTTCCACGTCGTTTCTTTTCACGGTTGTACTGGCAAACGTATTCGAGCTCTATGCAGCGCGAGCACGGAGCTTGGCCGTTGCATCTTGTTCGCATTCGATGGCAATGATCGCATGCTCGGCTAACTCTCCGCTTTACTGGTGCTGAGCTCCGACGCTCGAGCTTGGGTGTTTCTGCTGTCGTGGTCTCCATGGCTGCGTCTGTTGGTTGCGGTGACGATTATGACTTCAACTGGTCCCTACATGAGATTAGCACCAACCGGCCCCCGCCAAACATGGCCGACATACTGCTTCCTGCAATGTGGCAACCCAATTCGAGACCTGCGAACTCGAAAGGAACGGCAGTTGGTGCACGCGGGTGACGTCGCGGGAGTACTTGAAGACGAAGGAGTCGGTAGCCGGAAATCTGGGGACGACCACGGGTCATGCGATACTTGGGGAGCATATGTGGGCCTCCGACAAAGCTTTAGGTGCCGAGGGTACACCCCGACTGTAAGATGTCCTAAGGTGCAAAGACGATTCCAAGGGTCAGTGTGACGATCTGTGGCTTGAAGATTCCATGCGTCCACGCGGGCTTCGAGAAGCGAGATCAACTGGAGTGCAATATCAGAAGACGCAGTGTTTAATTCGAGCATTCATGGATGTATGAAAGCTACGACCCATTGGCTACGGCAACCAGGCTCTGGGGCAAGACGTGGCAAGGGTCAGGAACGCCGTAGCAGGGGACCGTGGCAAGGGTCAGAAAATCCTAGCGCATGATTCGAGCATGGCTAAATGCAGATTAACCGGTGGGAGATGCACTTCTCAAAGTCGGCGCTAGGAGCGAACCGCAAAGAGCCCCGCTTCTTCGAAGTTCACACCGCACGTCAGCTTCCCGCCAATCCTTGCCTGCTCCCAGTACCAATAACTGCTGGCAGCTTCTCCAGGTTGTGGCTTGTAGCGCCTGACCATAATAACACTCCCGAGGCACTCTTGCGCAACATCAGCGTCGGAGATATCGTCTTAAAGCGCCTGATATACCTCCCCTTCGCCGATATTTGGCGCGCCACGATTGGAGCTCTGCTGGTTTGGAATGCCATCATCTGCTGAAACAGCGTCCGTCCCGTTTCACGGTACCTGGCCGTCATTGGCGTACCCATAGTGATCAAGGACCAGACGTCAGAACGTCAAAATATGCACGCCGCCATAGCACCTGAAACCCGATACCTGATACCGACAACGATCTTCTCGTGAAGGCATGGCACGACCTTCGCGCTACACCCAATGATATCCACACCAGGTCCCACTCACCCAGGGACCGAGCGTGAGTCTCGACCCGAAGACAAGCTTGTATTTCGGTATCCACAAAGGAGTCATTAGTACTGAACATGGTCTATCTGCTAACTCAAGTATATACACCGATACATACGTTGGTTGAAGCGTGAGCTAATTGTGTCGGCGGATTTTGGTCAAACTTTGTTCTGTGGCATCGCTGTCCCCGCCATGCAGGAGAAGCCGAGAAATCCTGCGCCTCTAAGCGAGCTTGTAGTGGCTGTGAACCCACCTCCGATATGTGGTCGGCCCAACGTCACCGTTTCTCGTCTATATGCGGAACACCGCAAACTGGCCGTGTAGTCCCTTGCCAGCACACCAACAATGCGAACGGTCTATATACTAACAAGATGGCCGTAATGGTTCTGCAACAGAACATAACATTGGATCCGCTTAAATCTTCTTGGGACGGAGAATTCTTAGGCATCCCACGCTTATCTCAGGTACGCGCTACAACAGGAGTTCTAGAAGACGCAGAATTGGGAGCTTCATTTCGTGACTTGACCGGATCATCAGAATCTTCAAGCTGAGTTTTCAGCCCCACGTGGGCACCATATGTTGAACAAAACTCTCTTCAACTGAAACATGTTGGCCGATGGAAAGGGATGGCACTGCTTCATGGCTCTGTCAACGATCTTCATAAATCTATCCAGTTTAGTCGTCACATGCTAAGAACTTGGTCCACACCCACACGAGAGCAGCGCCTGCCGGGCCGTTGAACTAGCTCACAGCCTTGCAAATGCTAGGTGCTGCATCACTACCGAAGTGATAGCTTGGCCGGTGCTACCGGTATACAATGAAATTGCTTCATCTTGAGAGGCTGCGTATTGCGACCGAGGAGGGGGGTCCGCAATACGCTGCAGGTTCTAGCACGAGGGCCCGCACAATGAGCATGCATAACGACAAGGCCCCTTTGCTCTTGCCTCGAAAAGATGACCAATCTGTGCCTTCTGGGTCCCGTTGCATGCATACGGGCGCCAGAGTTCACCCACTTTGTATCAAGCCCCGAAATGTGTGACCATACAGCTTTGGCCTTCCTATCTCTGTAGGAGTCAAGCTGATACAGAATCCCACTCACAGAAGAGTCATGAATCACTGAATGTCAGACTCTCTAGCGACGCTGAGCTAGCGAAGGCTATACTTCTTCCTGAAGGTCAGTGAGGCTTGGGGCTTCCACATACATTTGCGCATGCTGTTTGGGGCGAGAGGCGAAGAGGCTTGTTGTGAGCTTGCGACGCTTCCAAGGTTCACTCGTACTGAGATCCTCACCACTCACAGGCCGGGTCCCCGCACAAGTTTGCTAAGTTTTCGTTCTCTTGAAGCAATATGGGACGACATTATTCCAGCCACACATGGAGGCTGTTCAATATGGGCATGACACATTTGCTGTGCACCCTACACTGGCTGCAAGCTCGAGCAACTATCATTGAACTACTCACGATCAAACATAGCTGAATTTAATTGGGGCGAGTCTTGCATGTTATACATTTGGACATTACAGTATAGAAGACTTTGATTCATTCATTGGATACTATGGTATGCACTAGAACTTGCTTCCCTCATGCACCCCAGATTCCCTGACCAGTGAAGCCGGGATCGTGGCATACACCAAAACCTGGGGAAGTGACAGCGTCGGGTGTGCGGACGGCTACTCCGCTTCGCAAACACGATGCTTGCCTGCCCTGTCAATCTTATGACCCGCTTCGATCAACTATGTTCTACGATGTTCACCGTTGACATCGAGCCGTGGCAGGTTTGCGGGGGCGCCGCCTACCGTGGCGGCTATGGCAGAGGCGAAATAGCCGTAGTATAACAGCTACGGCTCGAAACCTCACAGCTGGGGGATCACGCTCCCTCGACCCCTTGAGGCTTAACCGGCTCATTTGAAGCGAGCCCAACCGTCGCTGCCGCCGTCGCAGAGCTCCTTGCGATCATGCAACCTGCATCTCATCAAGCATTAATGCGGGGAGAGTATGATACTGGGGGCGTGGGTAAGTGTGGGTGTTGCGGGACGCAAGTCGCTGCCAGACTGACGGATAGAGGGTGAACTGGTCAGAGGGGCACGCCCTTTGGTGGCTTAGAATAGTCCGTCCTGCTGATACAGGTGCAGATACCACTGTGGGTGTGCTGCAGGTGCTCTGCACAAACCAGGAGCGATATACCTGATCCCCTGAAGTGATAAACACCGCGTGTCCGCCCTTCATCAAACCAGTAAGCAGCCCACGCACTCTTTTCAGGGACACGACTAATCCTTCCTTGAGCCCCTGTGAAAGGAGATCGGGAGAGAACGCCTTCCGTATCCGTGAGTACATTCTTCCCTTCCCGGATTCGCCGGATGAGCTGATTCTCACGATGATCAGGCAACTGTGGTGTCTCTGAGACTGACATAATCCAACCATGTACACCCTTTCAGTGAAGCAATCTCTTGATTGATGGCTAGGTCGATGGCTGAGCCTTCTGAGTTTCGAACGGGTGTCACCGCATGCCCACCGTCACGGCAACAGGCGATGCCGTCCGCGTTCCCTCAGCCACCTGAGTGGTGGGCATTAGCCCATGCGCCTGGGAGGATACAGTCACCGGAGCTTCGTCCCTTCAGCAGGCACTGGTCAACAAATCTCTGTCTATTGAATCCAGATTCACGATACACGCGTGTACGTCAGTCATAAGTTATCGTTAGGTTCTTTTTTTTTTCAAGTTTGGAAGTGCATTTAGTTGGTTCGGCACTTCGCCGTAGCGTACTCTGGGGGCCGCCGACTCACCTCCAGGCTTCCTAGCACTATTATCGCTAGCATGTAAGCGCTCCTCAGCCCCGACATCGTACGGACGATTTCCCGGCCTCTCACAAAACCTTCCAAGGTTGGATGTTGCTTCTCGAACGTTTCAGACAGACAAATGCGCAACTTGATGGCAATCGGAGCGTCCGCGGTGGTATATAGGATCATCACCGGGCCTTACTTCGCAATCAACGACTAATATTGTGCTAGTGCAGTGTCCCGTGAACCGTGATGAGCCCACTTCCCATCGATCATTTCTGAGTCGCACCCCTGATGACTGAGTATTACGCAACCAAGCTTGCCAGCCTGGATATCCCCTACTTTATTGACAGGCTTGGCAAGCCGCATGTACTTGACCGTTTGGGTTTAAAGCTTTGTGCAGTTTTGTCACTAGGTGAAATGATGATGGTCTTGAAACTCACCCGAGCTCGCGCGAGAAAATGCCAAGACGTAAAAGTTCCAAGTGGGTCATCGTTACGAACGAGCATTGGAAATGATACAGGTTATCCTGACTAGATTTGCGTTTCGCAAACTGGTACCTGCAGTGTTGCGCCGGTGCTGCGATGGTGGCGCAATGTAATTTATAGTCTGGAACTTGGGGGGGTTAGTTGGCACGGACGAATTTGATGCCTAAGATAACCGCTGTTACAAACTCGGATTCGGATTCAAGGAGCACTAAGAGCAAAGCTAGAGATGCGATTGGCTCAACAATTACAACTGTGCCATGCGATTGGCCGGACGATGTCCTGATAACTCTCACATGTCTTGCCAGCATCCTTACTTACACTGCGACGGGGCGTCCTTTGGGAAAGTAAAAGCACTTACTTTTGCTTCTCAGCATCCTGCTTCATGCCTCCCTGGATCCATTTGCGGCTTTCGGCAGCGTACTTTTCCATCTTGTCTTTGTCTTGGAGAAGTTCTTTAATGGAGTGAGGGTCAGGAACGTGACGACCCTTCTCGACACCAGAACGGGATGTCATGCGCTCCTCCCAGGCTTTGAGCGAAGGGAATTCGTCAATATCGACGCCTGCCCAACCTGCAGAAGAGACCCATCCATAGTGGGCGATATCTAGTAGGTGTTATTGTGTGTCACCATAATCATCCTCAAGTGTGCTGAATGTCTACGTGTATCGGAGAAGGCATGGAAAGTACGATGGAACTGGAGATGACTGGGCACATATTCCAAATATCGCTGCAGTTCATGGACGAAGAAGACAAATAGGTCGACCAATGAGGATCCATGAAAGAAGTGCTTACCAGCAATCGTGCATCTTTCACCACATATGTAAGCCTTGTTGTCTGAGGCAAGATGCTTGTCTAGCACGGAGTAGAGACGACGAGTTTCGTTCTGGTATCGCTTGACACCGTAATCAATGTGTTCGGGTGCATACCGCGTAAAATGGTCTGCAGTCGACGTTAGCTCACTGCACCGACAAGCATCATCATTATATTCCAGTGGTAGCACTATAGAGTAATTTGATGCTGAAGAGAACGTGTTCTCTGTCTTCAGGCAGATCGTGTCTCAACGGAAAACGTCTTCCAGTAATCTCCCCCGCATCGGGATGAGAGCCTCCACATCGGAATCGACAGCCAGGAAATGATCCTGGCGAGCCGACACAGTTTCCCAAAAGATGCAGGTTGCTCGTTTTGTACGGATGAGATCAACGTAATTCTCGAAGCCAAAGAGACATGAGCTGTGGTGAAATCACAATGTACTCCACGGCATTCTTGTGAAGACTTCATCTCGCCATTTACCGCGGTCATCCAGTGCCGTACCTGACACGAAGTGCAATGACGACACCATTTCAAGAGCGGGAGAAAATCGTCATTGCATCGGGTGACACACTGACATGATCTCGGGATGGCCGCAAAAAGCAAAGAGTTGAGAGCAGAAGAAAGTGTACTCACTAGCTTGACCTTGCATGGGCCCAACGCCAGCATTTTGAAAGTAGAGCCAGTTTTTCATTGTGTACCATTCGCGTGTGCCCTTGGGGAAGCTGATCTTGTGATCCGTATCGTAGCGGTCGACAAGATATTCCATAATACTTCCAGACTCGAAGAGGTTGATAGTCTGGCCATCAGTGAAGGTATCTGTGAGCGCAGGAATTCGTCCATTGGGGTTAATTTCCAGGAACTATCTCTCGTCAGCCTAGAACGATCAAGTAGAAGGCTGATTAGACTTACCCATTCTTCTTTTTGTGTATTCTTAGAGATGTCGATCTTGTGGACTGTGTAAGGAAGGCTGCAGATCTCAGCTAACTGAATCAACAAAGTATGACTACTTCGTTGTGTATGCTAAATTCCAGCATATGAAAGGTGTGAATTCAAGAAAACTAGTGGAATGACATGTAACTGGCCACAAACACCGAAATCTGGATTGCTAAAAAGAACTGGACGAAGATAAGCACTTGAGGTGCGTGTTTCAAAATATGTCAAAGTAGAGCAATTAAACCCAGCAAAGAATTTCGCCCTTTCGTTATGCATTGCGAGCCACTTAGGAAACATCTTGGGATATTGCAAGTTCTTGCTTCCTTGCAGGAGGAGGGACGCGAGAAGGAGTCGCCATGACCTCGAATGACATTGGACGAGAAAGAACAGTGTAAGCTACTACGGGCTGGAAATCATAACTATGATAAAAGGTGCATTGCAACTTTTGTGTAAAGAAAAAGTACATACCCTAGCTCTTCCAAAGTTATCGAAATCTTTATGCCGTTAGGCGTCTGTGTGGTGTACAAGTTGATGTCCGATTGTTGAGACATGTTCGCGGTGAGTTGAAGCTACGAGTCGACACGGCAAGAAGAAACGGAAGTTCGTTGTCTGTGGCTATATATGTCGTTGAAGGGCGCAGTGGAGCTCTATGGCCTGGCAGCTTTAATGATGTAGTAGTGGGGGGTGATGAGGGGCAGCTTCGGACGAAAATCGAGCTTGGTGGTTGGTTAATCGTGCCGACACCAAATACTGCGATGATTCGTAAGCGGCTCCAGGCGTGGAATTCTGGATAGTTTCGCTATGGTAGGTAGAAATGCTGGCACCTAAGAGTTGCTAGTGAGTAACAGAAATCATAGCCTCAGTGGCACCGCGGAAGCTTGCATTTCGCGGGACGAAGAGTGCCCATAACACCTAGCATGCGATCAAGGCATTACCTTATTTCTTAAGATAATAGAACGAGTACTGCCAATGATGCATACAGATGGCTTTTTTTTTTATAGATGTACATGCGAAAGCGGTGGTAGTGAATATTCAATTGAATTACCTAGGTATTTAGGCAAGCGAACCTGTGTAGATTTCAGCAAGTGAGTATGCGGTACGCCGACGCGAGAAATTGCCAGCACATGGGCACCAATGTGTTTCTGCAGTCTTGAGCGTGGAACATCGGTGACACATCTGCTTTGCACTACCGCCATCGAGTAACAATTTGTGAAGTCTTCATGCCTGACGCTTTTGGGATAGTGTAAAGAGCATGCGGCCTTGAATATAGGAAAGGCGGTACCTCCGTAATCCTATCATGCAGAGGAGCTCTAGGATGATTACAGAAGGAACCCAGCTCCTCAGCCACGGCACCATTTATTAAGTAAGAGGGAGGTTCGCGCCAAGAGAGAGGTCAAGATCACGTGATCAACAGGCTGCAGCCCAAAGCAGCCAAGCGCGCTCCCTACTAGCCTAAACGTTTGCCTCGTCGCGACAGCCCTCCACTTTCTCAACTCGCCCTACACTTTCATCGAAATCGCAACCCTTTTGTCAACTGCAATCATGTCGTGGCGCAACCAGGGCATCACGGGTTCTAACAACATACCTCTAGGTACTCGCCGTCGTTTCGGCGGTGGTGATGATGATGGCGGTTACAACCCGTCTGCGCCCGCCGAGGGTTTGTCGGAGTTGAAGCGCGGCCGCAGCCCTGAGCGCAGTAAGTCAAATCCTCGCATGTTTTCATGTTTCATTACTGACAACCGTGGCGCAGACTCTTCCGACGGTCCGCGACAACGCAAGAAGCGCAATCGATGGGGTGATGCGAGCGAGAACAAGGCGGCTGGCTTGATGGGCCTGCCTACTGCTATCTACGCGGCCATGACTACCGAGCAGCTTGACGCGTATACCCTGCATCTGCGTATCGAGGAGATCACCCAGAAGTTGAAGATTAACGATGTCGTCCCAGCGGACGGCGACAGGTACGTACCTTGATTTTCTGAATGCCAAAGATGCTAACATGGACAGGTCTCCCTCGCCCCCACCCCAGTATGACAACTTTGGTCGCCGTGTCAACACTCGCGAGTTCCGCTACCGCAAGCGCCTCGAAGACGAGCGCCACAAGCTCGTTGAGAAGGCGATGAAGACGCTTCCTAACTACCACCCACCTGCCGATTACAGGCGGCCCACTAAGACACAGGAGAAAGTCTACGTTCCGGTCAATGATTACCCGGAGATTAACTTCAGTACGGAACTAACCCCTCTAACTCCCCTCCCCTTGTTTTGCGCTGCCCTAGCCTTTGTCTTGACCGGCCTGCTCAGACTGCTGGATGTTTATGTGCATCTAGTGGCACCTGTAGTACAGCTATGTCACTAACCCTAACCCTTTTGCTCCAATATTTTTGATCATACACTAACCACAGCTCTTTGCACTAACAGTTGGTCTACTTATTGGCCCCCGTGGAAATACCCTCAAGAAGATGGAGACGGAATCCCAGGCAAAGATTGCCATTCGTGGCAAAGGCTCTGTCAAGGAGGGTAAAGGACGCTCTGACGCAGCTCATACCAGCAATCAGGAAGAAGACCTTCATTGCTTGATCATGGCCGATACCGAGGAGAAGGTCAACAAGGCCAAGAAGCTTATCCATAACGTCATTGAGACTGTAAGTCACTTCCCATACTATTCCATGCGCGGATGCTAATCTTGCAGGCTGCTTCTATCCCTGAAGGCCAGAACGAACTCAAGCGCAACCAGCTTCGTGAGCTTGCCGCCCTCAACGGTACCCTTCGTGACGACGAGAACCAGGCCTGCCAGAACTGTGGTGAGATTGGTCATCGCAAGTACGATTGTCCACAGAAGCAAAACTTCACGGCCAGCATCATCTGCCGTGTCTGTGGTCAAGCTGGTCACATGGCTCGCGATTGTCCCGACCGCAAAGTCGGTCAGCCCTGGCGCAACGACAACCGTTTCGGCGACCGCGGTCAGCCAGCTCGTATTGGCGGTGCCCCAGAGAACGAGCTCGACGCATTTATGGCCGAGATGGGAGGCGCTGGTGGCCAGCCTCGCGCGGCGATCGAATACAACGGCAACGGCGCTGCTGGCGGAGACAACTACGGTGGAGGCGAGCGCACCCTCAAGCCATGGGAGCGTGGTCCCACTGGAGGCTCTGCACCTTGGGCGCGTGACGGCGACGACCGTGGTCGAGGCGACAGTAGCTCGGCCGCTCCTCCGCCTTGGGCTGGTGGCGGCGGCCGTGGTGGTCAATCCTACGATCAAGGCTACGGTGCTGGTAATGGTGCGGCTCCCTGGGCTTCTGCTGCTCCCACTGCTCCTGCAGCAGGAGCTGGCTATGGATATGGTGGTTATGGCTACGACCAGAACGCTGGTATGGGTGCTCCTGGTGCCTATGGTGCTCCTGGTTACGGTGCTCCCCCACCTCCTGCTGGTCCTCCTCCTGGCCTTGGTCCTCTCTTCCAGACGTACGGATCTGCCGGCAGCCCGCCACCACCTCCACCACCACCGTCTGGTTCCGTGCCGCCACCGCCCCCTCCAGGCGAGGCCCCTCCACCTCCGCCGCCTAGCGATGTCCCTCCGCCGCCGCCACCGCCTCCGGCTTAGGTGTGTACATGTGACAGTGTAGAACCTGGGTCGGCGCATAGCCAGCCTATATGTCTATGCTCACATGGTTTTTAGGGTTATTGATGGAGGTAGCGATTTCTTTGTCTGGGAAAGCACTCGCGGTAATTTCGTGAGAGTTTTTGTACATGTAATTCAAGCAGCTGCCAGTATAAATGGCTCCAGGTAAGCTTATTGGCCAAGCCAAGTAAGTATGTAGCATGTTGCCTGTTTTGCTTGTGTACCTGAGCTCTAGATGTGCTCTGCACTGGTAGTAAACGAGGTTTTGTTCTCGCGGTTGAACGAAAGCATTTTCTCTTGGATCAGTTTTTTTCCATGCACTTGGCTGTGTTGTTGTGGTGTTGATGGAAGCGTTTTGAGAGTCAGGTCAAGTGCAACTGCGACGTGCAAGTGAATGTTGATGGATAGAGGTGACGACTGCGTGCTAAAAGCGGACACCCAGATGACGCTGATCGCCAAGATGCTAAACACAAGCGGCGGGACGAGGCATGAGCATGACAGGGCAGGCACATGCCGACAAGCTCATGTTGACCATGCGCGCTGGACAAGGCGACGCTCTCATCTGCCTTTATCCTTCTTTCTAGATGCTTGTCTTGTGTGTCGGGTCATATTTATAGCGATTTCACACCCCGCTCCGGGCCACCCGCACTCATTGTCGCATGCCCTTTAGTCGCCATGGAGCGGATACGCGTGAGCAAGGTAAGAAACGCCGCTGAGACGTGCAGCTCTGCTGGAGCACTGCTTTGAGTACGCTGACACTGCCTGCAGGTAGAGGACGTCTACCTCCTCCGCAGAGGCACGCGCTTCGACGGCACACTGCACCTCATGCCCCACCATCTCGTCTTCAGCTACCTCCCCAGCCTGCCCGCCGACGCTCCCGCCAACGCGAAACCACCGCGGCAGAAAGAAGTATGGATTACCTATCCCATGATCAACTACTGCTCCCTCAAATCGTGTCCGCCCGTCTTGCGCCAGGAGCCCTCGATCCGCATACGATGTCGCGACTTTACCTTCTTCGCCTTCTTCTTCCCGAATGACAAGAAGGCGCGAGACGTGTACGATAGCATACGGGCGCTCTCATGCAAGATAGGCAGACTAGACAAGCTACTGGCCTTCAGCTACCAGCCAAAACCACCAGAAGACCAACAGAATGGCTGGAACATCTACGACGCGCGCCGCGAATGGAAGCGACTGGGCATCAGCCCAAAGGACTCGGAAAAGGGCTGGCGGATATCAGAAGTCAACTTGGAGTACAAGGTACATGGTATGCCACATGTAACGTTGAGGAAGGTCTTGACGAGTGGAACAGTATGCGCCGACGTATCCCGCCCTTCTTGTCGTTCCCACCAACGTCTCGGACAGCGTTCTCAGGTACGCAGGTGAATACCGATCGCGACAGCGGATACCAGCCCTCGTTTACCGCCATCCTGTCAACAACTGCTCCATAACGCGAAGCTCACAGCCCACACCAGGTCTGCGTGGGAATCGAAACCCTCAAGATGAGCGGCTCGTTGCAGCCATCTGGGCGACTAACCGCGGGTGGAAACCTGCAAATATCTCCTCCTCCAATTCTGCAGAGCTCACTCCTGATACAAGCGTTGTGAACCTGAACGATTCCAGTGCTAATAGCTCTTTTGTCGGTGCAGTGGAAGGGAGTATCGATGCCGGAAGGACCACTGCAGACGACCTGACAGCGTCTTCGGAAACAGACGCCGACGCGCCAAAAGTCTACGGGGCCCAGCAGCGGAACCTCATTGTTGATGCTAGGCCTACAGTAAATGCGTACGCGATGCAAGCTGTTGGGCTTGGTTCAGAGAAGATGGACTATTATCCAGGAGCGGAGAAAGCATACCTCGGAATTGATAATATTCACGTCATGCGGAAGTCGCTTGATACTGTCATTGAGGCCCTGAAAGAATCGGATCTAGTGCCTTTTCCCCCAAACAGGCAGCTTCTGGCCAAGAGTAATTGGATCAAGCACATTGCTAACATACTGGATGGAACTGCGCTGATAGCCCGCACGGTTGGCATCATGCACTCGCATGTCCTCATTCACTGTTCCGATGGCTGGGATCGCACGAGCCAGTTGAGTGCACTCAGTCAAATCTTGCTAGATCCCTATTACCGGACGCTGGAAGGTTTCATCGTCCTCGTTGAGAAGGATTGGCTTTCCTTTGGACACATGTTTCGACATCGATCAGGGTTTCTGAGCCATGAGAAGTGGTTCACCATAGAGAACGAAAAGATTGAGCGCAAGCACGACGGCACTGGAGGCAGCAATGCCTTCGAGAATGCTCTTCGTGGTGCGCGAGGGCTGTTCAACCGCCACAACGAATCGAACGAATCTCTCAATCAGCTCCCGGAAACGAACATGCCAGAAAATGTCACAGATGTTGCCGATACTCCCTCGTCGAAGCCTGTTCAGATTGGAGCTGCGGAGGAGCATCGTGTCACCAAGGTGAACGAGCTGTCACCCGTGTTCCATCAATTTCTCGATTGTGTATACCAACTACATTATCAGCACCCAACCCGATTTGAGTTTAGCGAGCGCTTCCTGAGGCGCTTGCTCTACCATCTCTATTCCTGTCAGTACGGAACGTTCCTGTTCGACAATGAAAAGGAGCGCGTAGACACCAGGGCTAAGGAGCGAACAAGGAGCGTATGGGACTATTTCCTTTGCCGCAAGCAAGAATTTATGAACCCAAAGTACGAACCAGAGATTGATGACGCTATCCGAGGCAAGGAGCGCATGATCTTCCCTCGAAAGGGCGAGGCGAGGTGGTGGGCTGAATGTTTTGGTCGTACTGACGAGGAGATGAACGTTTTTGGCCCTCAAGCGCCACCAAATCTCACACCCCAGACCAGTAACCAGAGTACTGGAAGGAGTGGGACGAGCACTCCAATCGTCCAGGAGCCCATTGTCACAGGTACAGAGTCCGCGGACGGAGCGACTGGAGCAGGTACAACTGTCCAGCTTCCTCCTACACACGCTGTTGGCGATCGCTCCCCAAGAGTCTCCAACACACCAAAACCTCTTGATGCTGCAGCTGCGCTAGGGCAGGATCTAAGGCAAGGAGTAATGGCGGGTTTCGAGAAGCTGGGCATCACTAGCAACACGAACAGGGCAGTAAGTCCAGCTGCAGCAACCAGTAGGCCGAGCGAAGACGTAGCACGAGAAGTCGTCAAGCCAAGCTCGGATCTGAGTACCGGTACAGAAACGGGGGAAAATGCCGAGGATGTCACTCATGAGACCGCTGAAGAGGATGTGAAAAAGTCGTTGGAGGACAGCAACAGGCTGAGTTCCGAGGCGAGTACGGAACAATCCTTGGAGCCTGCGTCGACTCAGATCGCCGATTTGGGACTGGGGGCGGACATAGTGGAGAAGAAAGCAGAGAACAGGAGTAGAAGTCGGAAACCCACCCAGGCGGCGGAGGCAAAAAAGGAGGTTGAAATGGAGATGCAATAACTGTATGTGCTACTTTCTTAGTAGCAAGTTGATTGTTCCTGCGAGGTTTGGGGTGGTGATAGAGATTTGATGAGACATGATAATGCACAATCACGATGAATGCAACAAAGATACCCCTGGCAAGTACTTTTTTTCCTGTTGATATTCATGATGATCTCCGCATGTAAGTTGTGAGGACTATTACAGTGCGAAGCCGACAAGCAAGGGCTGATGGAGCTACTGGAATCTCGTGCTTTGGTACGCCACATACGCTGAAATCAGACTCGTCAAATCTTCTGCTGCATGTCAAGAAAAGGCACCTACTAAGCGACATGTGCATGGCATGAACCAAGACTACAAAAGCACCTCCGCGTTCGTGTTGTCAAGAACTCACAGCGATGAAACAAAAAAGTTTCGTCCGGTCTCATTGGACACAGCGACTGTAACCCTCGGGTTGGTGGGAGATTTCGCAGTTGAAGGACTAGTCTAGTGTGACCTAAATCGAAGCATCTTACCTGTAGCGTCGTGGTGCTTCATACGTATATGTAAGTATCCGGAGCACTGTCGATCTTTTGCGGAGACATAGTTCTTCTCAGTACCCCGAAAGGCAAGACTACCGCCGCTACGGCCAGTATTTGAGCTTTAACTTGGTCAAATGTACGTCGGCTGATCACACGACTCCGTACCTAACTTCAGAGAGTGAAGCTGCGGTATGGCTGACTTTCTTCATACTCCATCATTACGTTGGAAAATATCGCCTGATTGGAATCTTGTTTACAAGGCTCCCATCGAGACACCCGAAAGGTTGTTCTTCTAGTAGCCAGCGATACCTACTAATTACCAAGCCCTGGCCATGGAGAAAGCAAACTAGGTCACCGAGCGAACAACAACTGGACTGGTCTTTCAGTACCTCCGGATGAAGAAGGTAAATTGTGTTGGACAGATGGGATGTCTGAGGGCTCCAAGGCACTTGTACATAACCACCATGCCTCAAACGGAGTGAATAGATGCCAACTACCGTTCTGGAGATGCTTCTTCGGTGTGTCTAATAGATGCGAGCGATCTGTTTGGGGATCTATCTGCGGCTAGCCAGTTGCATTCGATGAATGAAAGGTAGTGAAGTTGCCTGTACTCTTCGAGTACAGGGCTAACAGCTTCATAGATCCTATAATAATCGTTTGGCATCCGATGGTCCGTCGTAGCATCGTACCGAAATCCAATCATAAGATAAGCCTGTATCACGCAACGGTGTTGTCTACGAAAGTTATCGCGAGACTGATGGTACTTTACCGCTGCATAGTTGCACTCTTACTGAACTTGAACATCGGGAATTTTATCCAGTTATTGGTGTGATACTGCCACTTCCGCCACGCACAGCACCTGTCAGAGACAACATTCGGGATAGCAGATGCCGATGAGATAGAAGTAACTATGTTCAAATGCCAGTGGGAAGAGTGTGTTGGTACGACCTTTGATCGCGTGCAAGAGCTGAAGAGGCACGGTAAGACAAAACATGTCAATTTTTATGTTTGACGCCCAATGCTGATGGCGATCGTAGCGAAAGCGCTGCGGGCAGTCCATTCCCTACGAAACAGAAAGGCAAACTGGAGGGGCATGCTAGACTAGTCCACAGAGGTGAGTTTGAGGACTGGGTATAAAACTTTACGTACATGTCCATGAGCGTCGTGCTACTACATACTATGCATATAACCATGGCCGACGTGTGAATAAAGCAAAAAAGTATTGGTTACTTCCGATTCTCATTTACTGCGTTTGTCCAAGGCCCCACGAAGGGTCTAATATATCAGCGTTGAACCAGTCAAGAGAAGGTTGCGATTGGAACAACTGCCACATCATGTCGTCATTCCACGATGAAGGCATCATGCTAGGGGTTACATCACTTCCGCCGCTGTTTAAAATATCAGGACCATTGCCGAAACCTGCTGGTAGAGGACAGGTCCCCAACGGTGCAGCCGATCCTCCATTCGGTTGTGGTACTTGCTCGTGAAGGTCCGAAGTCCGTACGAGAGGTTTACAAAGACCCAGCAGTGTAGCGCACAGCCGATGCAATCGGTGAACATATTTGTTTTCCGTAACGAGCCCGGAAAGGCCGTCAGTAACATCTTGGAGGAGCTGGAAATCTCGAGCGCTAGACGTGCCGACCACGTTGCAAAAAACGACGAAGAAGGGGCAGAGTGGATAAGAGAGCATACTCCTGATGGTCATTAGTTACGGATCCTTCACTGGAACAGCTTTACGCTCACCAAGCGAGATAAGGGTCATAGCCTTCGATGAAGTGATCCAACGATCTTCCAAGTTCTTCTATATCCTTGGCGCACTCCAATGCCTTCCGGGCACTTTGAAGACACTCCTCTCGTTCTGATGGATTTGTCGTAACGGTAGGGCTTAGACGGTGGACTGAAGTTAGGGTAGAAAAGTACCTAAACTCCATACCTTTCCAGTGTATGAGAGCGTCAGTTCTGCTATCTAGGAGATGCAGTTGTCGTTCCTAGCAAAGTATGAGCGTCTGCTAAAGTCTTAATTAGGAAGGGGTAGGTCTGCATACCTTCTCCATAAGCTCGTAGATGCCCTGCATCTTTGTTCGCAATTGCGCCACCTCTTCGTTCAGTATAGCTGGCGACGGCTTGGTTTCCAACGATAGATCCAAGATCTTGTCGAGTATAGGAAGTAGTTCTAGAACACTCATGGGGCTGGCTGGATCGGCTCGCAACAGGTACGAAGCCTTTACCTGGAGTTGAGGAAGAGATCGTGGCCGAAGTAGCAAGAGGCTCATCACGCTATCAAAATAGGCACATTGACCGACTATGGCATATATCTCGCTCTCGGTGTCAGTTTTTGGTATCGGTTCGTCAATATGATGATAGCCAAGAGCCACGATAGTGCGCGATGCATGGGCAGTAAGTTCCCAGCAGCTCACAGGGTTGCCCATGATCTGCATCATGGTAGCCTGCTCTTAATTAGTCCATCGTTCCAAGTAATACGACTATGGATACCTTACTCCGGTAACCAATGCCTGCGCGAGTAAAAGAGAAGGCGCAGTTAAGAAGCTGACTTTATCTAGAGCAGTAAGCGCTGCTATCAGGTGATTAAACTCCATTCGTTGGATGTGTCGTTGGACAGCTGCACTCTTAGGGCCTTGCAACTGGCTCGCATATAGTACAACAGCTGCCTGAAAGTGAACGATGACTCGATACAGATTGAGAGTCTTCTCATCAGCAGTACCTTCCATAAGGGCAAGTGCAATCTTCTCGAACGCCTTTGGTGGCACATGATCGACAGTATGGTAGCGAACGGCGGCGTTGCCTCGTTCCTTGAATTCAGCTGACCTCACTATCAGCTTCACGTCAAAGATTTCATAGAGGCATACTTACTACCGAGGATGACATGAAAGATCTCGTGCTTAGTCATATCAGTAGAGACATGCATCGACTGATCAAATGTGCTGCGGTCTGGCATGGTTGGTGTGGGCGTGTGGGACAATTGGTCAACAAATGATATGGCGGTTTCGAGGACTGAGCGTTGATGGCTCGACAGTAAGCCATTGGTAGAGAGCTCTTTGCTGATGTGGATGCGAGCCTCATTTGCTGTCTGTGGGCTATTGTCGACATCTTGAGCTGGGGCTGGGGCTGGCACATCTAGCGAGCTGGATGTCCTCTGTCTCTTTGCTGGTCGATCTGAAGTCGCTTCAATAGTTGGCACAGCAAAGCTATTTACGGTCTCCTGCTCCTGTGCCGAACTTGGGCTACGATGGACACTTTGAACAGAATGTTCGAGATTTGAGAGCCGTTCTACTAGAGCTTTTATTTTCTCGTCCCTACACATGATCAGAGCCGAAGGGTAATGATAGACTGGAGCACCTGGACAAAAGCAAAGCCTCTACACAGCCTAATTTGGTCGCGGGACAGATGATTGCTTACGTTCGAACTTTGGGTCGCGGGACGCGCTTGTGCCGATTGCGCAGACATTCAGCCTTGGCCGCTACACAGTTTGCGCATGGCTCTTTGCGATCGCATTTCACCTGGTGTTTGTCAATGCTTGTGTACAAATGCAGGTACCCACATTTAGGGCAGACCTTCCGAGCATGGCATAAGTCACATGCGGGCACACCTCCGTGGGCAATCCAGTTCTCTTCCGGCATTTGGTAATCGTCGAAGTAGCACAGTGGAGTATGCAACAAAGAGAGTAACCTCCGACTCTAGACTCGCTGGTGAGGATGGTCCGGAGAGCTTGATGTTCGGAGCTCTTGGCAGGATTCGGAAAGGGTACGGCCCGAGGTCCGAACGTGAAGGACGCCATCGTCGCATGTTGCCCAACCTACCCAGGTTTGCCTTGTGCATGGGAAATTCCGCGGGAAGTTACGCATTCTCATCAAGACCAGACTGGATGGCTAATAAGTTGGGGGTTCGGGAGGTGCAATAATAGTGCCGAACCGCTCTGTCCGTAAGCAATGGTGACGACGGTTGTCAAAAGGCCCTATTTCTCGCTGACGCTGACGTTGTTGATACGAAGGTAAGCGTGTCCGTGTTATCGCAAAAACAATTCATCAAACAAGCTTCGTAGACTGCGCGTACTTTGGGGCCTAGGACGTTGCCCTATCACGAAAACAGAGCTCGCGAAGAGCTGGATAAACCCGACCTAAAGCATGGTAACCTTGAAAGACGAGGATTTCTTCGACCTGGCGTCTCAGCACACGGAAACATGCAACTCTTTGAAAAACAAGTGCGACAACCACGCCAATGACTTGCAGCGAGTCCACAGCGCGTGGCATAACATGTGTGCAACAGTCTCCAGCCGCTTCAGGAAGGGATCGATACACATTCCACCGCTTCCCCACGGATGCTCCCGCAGTGAGACTAACTTTCTTGGGGCGGAATTGTTGGGTTGGCCAGAATTTGGATAAAACGCCAGAAAACGATTGAGAGCACAAGCCGCGACAGAGCAACCGTCAGCGATGCGATGTCATTGGGCGAGCGCACAGTTGCAGCGCCGAGGGAGGAGGATGGTACAAGGTTGCTGTGTAGGCGTGGGATAAGGCGGTTGTGCAACACGACTGAAAGAATTGGCAAGTTGCACGAATGTCATAGGAGTTCTCGAAGGAGCAAAAGTGCAGTCAAAGTTTTGAAGGATTCGGTATCTATTACCCCATCGGTTCCACCACAATGGAAACGAAGCCATGAAAATTGATGAACCTGCCGCGCCGTGGGATGAATTAGAATGGCAAACATCGTTCACGTTTTGCCTATGGTAGTTGACTGGAGGCGACTTGGACCATCGGTGTGCACTGCATGTGTAACGTCTTTACGTGGCGTGGGATGTCGTGGTTGAGCTTGGTACGCGTCCTGCAGCACCATTTGACATACCGTCTCATGTGACAGCGCGTTGGACTAGGGCGCGTGCGATGCAAGTATCGTGAATGGGCAGCGCGAAACTAATGCCTTGTTCACGCACCGGGCTCACATGAAGACAGTTGAAGGTGATTAGGTAGGGCGAGGGAGAGGGTTTGTCGCACGAACAGAGGGTGGCGTATGTGGCGTACTCGGGTCAGCATCGACCTCAAAGTTGAGGTGAGAAAGCGTCGCGGTGGTCATGCATCAGGGAAGAATCACAGACGGAGAGATGGAAAAGGATGCGGGTGAGGCTGGCACTCAAATACCAATGAGGCAGTTGCGTCTTCCCACATCGAAGACGTCGTGCAGAAGGAACGACGGGCATTGGGTCGGTTCTGGTAGCAACACATGCTGTGAAGCACAAGTGCCGGGTGGATGAGTGCAGCCATGGATTATACATGGCCGCCGGCTGGCTTCGCATTGAGTGAGTTTGCCACAATCGGGCGACAATCTGGCTACTCAGCGCGCTGGCAAAAGAAGGCGGTTCCAAAGTTGTTCTGCGTTGATGCGATGGCCCTGAGCAGGCCAATCAGATAAGCGAACCCCAGGCTGCGTGGGGTGTATCAGGAAGTCGCGATAAGGAGCGGAGGATCACAGCTATTATCGTGCATGGACGTCTACAAAGCTTCTGGTACGGGCTATCGAAGGGTGACGGTCGTGTCCACGGCAGAGTGCACGCGTGCCGACCTTGGACGAGCAGATGCTATGACGAAGAAGTGTTACAAATGGCCTCAGGCCTGGTGGCTCGGCTCGTGTGGGGTTTCGCTCACCGTCAAAGGGCGTGGAGACGCGCGCATATGTGGTGCTGGGCAGCGCTGCCAGCAACAATGCTCGGTCCGTGGCCGCGATAAAGCGTGGTGAGCAGGTGTCGAGAGGGCTGCAGGGCATTGCGGCTGCAGCAGCTCAGGCACGCAATAAGAGAGCAGATGGGCCTGCGGCGAATCCAAGGCCGTCTCGGGGCTCCCACGCTGGCCGTGTCATTGGCGCGTTTTCTGGCTGAAGGCGTGAGTCTTATCTCTTACTCCTGGCTCGGCGGCCACCACACACACCCCAAACTCCAGCTTCAACCGCACCCGCAACAGCACAGCACTGTCCCCGCCGAGGACAGGGCTGGCCACGCCCGGCGCGGGAGCTAGTTCCAATGCCAAAAACAAAGAGTACCTGCACATCCCATGGGCCCCAAAACCTGAGCACCACCGCCCTCACGCTCCCTACCGCTGCCCCAAAACTCCCTCCCCACCCACGGGTGCACAGGTCCTGCCCGTCCTTTTGATTGTGCCACCTTCCATTCGGATGCTCCCGCGTGCACCGCCTGTCTGGCACGGAATCTAGGTATGCCTTGATTGCTTATCTTGTGCACTGTATATTGCTAGAGCCTTGCCCCAGCTAACCCTCGTACCCAAGGCTCTTGGCTCCTGGCTCCGTCCCTACTGCAGTGCAGTCCGCATCCATATCCACAGTCGTTCTTTCCCAATACACAAAGACCCTCGAGACCCCCTCTCTCGGCCTTCCATGAGCCACCCGTCACCCATACAGCAACCACGCTACGACCACCACCTCGGGTCGACTCCTGATGTTCCATAGCAGCACTCAGGCCCCCGTCCATCTGCCTGCAGAGCCCGCGCCTGGCGACGAGGCACAGCTCCCGCGCGGAGAATGCGGCTTCATCATCCCACCGTCTGAGGGCAATGGCGCCCGCCAGCGTTGCCCTTGCCGTAGCTTCTATCCAGATTCCCTCATCCGCTCTCGCTGTGGGTGCGGACACCAGGCCTGGAACCATGAGGCTCAGCCAATCTCGACCGTGTCAATGGAGGCATACCTACATGCCGTAGAACAAATGAAGCGACTGAAGCAAGAGGTGCAGCGTTTCGAGACGCTCGAGCAACATTTAAAGCAGGAGCTGTTCAGAGAGCGTCTGGCTCGAGAAGAGCTGGTACGGACAAACCATGCAGTACAAGCGCGCATGTACGAGAACATGCAACTTCTCAAACTCTCCATCGACGACAGGGTCGAGGCCGTGGTAGACAGAACAACGGAGCTCAGCGACCAGATCAAGGTGCAGGGCGAGCGCCTGACCATGGTCGACGAATTCAGCATGGATTTGGAGAACCGGGTCGACCGAGTGGAGCAGTTTAGTGGTATGTCGCGAGACGTAACACCCGCTGCTTCCACGCCAAAAGCACATCTGTCAACCCCAAAGGCCTCTCCTGCCCCACCAATGCCGCTCATGATGCAGTCACAGCATACTCTTGGTCAACTTCCGATCCGAACTGATAAGAAATACCCTCTGTCGTGGAGTGTTCGCGTTGTTTTCATTCCGCGCAAGTCGCAAAGGTTCGCATACGATCCTGACAGCAATGGCTACCGGCGATGTGCCTCACGCAAGCTGTTGCAAAACCTCGAGTTCCCCAGCCAGGACAGCTCCTGTTTTGCGAATGGCATCGAGACTGCCTTCAAGGGCGTCTTCCGCGGTAGACCCTGGATGCCCATGACCGGCCATCGCCCAGCTGACGAACCTTTCGGTCGCATGGCGCTGACGCTTCTACCACCCGATCTCGTTCACCGCGGCGTATGGGACTATCCTTTCCTAGAGGATCACTGTATTGCGCACGACAAGATGCAGGGAGACATTCTCTACATCACCCTGCAGTATGAAGACGTCACCTGGAACGAGATTCGATTTCTACCCCCAGTTACTGGTGTCGACGAGACTTGCTGGGAACACGACGATGAACTCGACGGTACTGCTAAATACAAGAGCTTGGACTCAGAGATTATGTACGATTACCAGGATCCTCCTCCTACTTATTCATCTCGAACTCACTCGATGGCGACTAGGGCGCCCTCGGGACTGGACGTCCTTGCCAACTCCGCTGCTATGCTGAGTCCGATCGAGCGCGCTCAAACGGCATCATCTGTTCATTCCTCCAGACTGAGTCCTCTTAGTCCTCTGCAGCGCGCGCCAACCCAGTCATCGAGCCATTCTAGCCACCCACGTTTCTCTTCCGAGCGTAGCAGCCTTCGCAGCTTCGATACGGAAACCACTGATGATGAGCATCGTGACAAGAAACCCAAGCTACGGTCGAAGCAAAGCATGCCCAACGTGAATGGCAACGGTCATGCACAGCAGCCAATGTATGTCTCGGGCCGGTCCAAGCGTAAGATGCCAGTGAGGGAAAAGGGCCCCAAGGAGCCCCTACACTTCAACGTTGCTGGTGTTGCAAAGGGCGGACTCAATTTTCTGCATCCTCGTTCTTCCAAGGGGAAAGAAGCGGCCCACAATCCATGAGGCAATAACGTTCGGTTTCATATTTCCCATATGTACAAGGTTTCTTATTCATACTTGGTACAGGCGTTCACGAGTAAAACCTCGCTTCTTTCTTTCTTTTAACCAGGATACCCATTGGCGTTGTATAGTGCGATTGGATGCGTCAGCTTCACAGCGCAAATTTCTCAAGTGCGTTCTAGGTCTAACGTTCGTCCCATGTTACCAACAGCCACAAGACGTAGTTAAGAATCTCGGGTTACGCAATTTCTCTTCTCGACCATAGACGATTCCGAAGATAAAATGCTAGCTCCCATGTCAAAAATATGCAATCTTTTAGTAACCCGAGCAACGAAAGCAATAACCTTTCCCCTACAGGGATGACGCTTACTAGCCTCTGTTTCCGGAAAATCGTCGTGCGCTCAGACGCAAGAAGTCTGTTAAAAGAGATGCTTGGTTGTGAGTACTCCGATACCGTATCGCTTCGTACCACCCGGCATTGATAACCCCCATTCGGTATCCACCAGCCAAGACGGCGTGCAGGGAAAAACATGTAACGCAGGGCCTTGAAGAGTAATATGTGTGTCCGACTTATTACTGCTTAGCTTTGAGCTTGATACATCCGGAAAGTACCATTGTTAATTAATGGCGAAGAAACACCACAACTATAACGCCATGATTGTCGAATTCGGGGCATCTATAATTGCCGCTCAATGCACGAAAGCATGACAGACTTATATGTGACCAGCGACCTGCCAAAATGCCAAATCGGTTGAGTTTTGCGCCCTATACCCTCAAGGATGTCTTCGACCTTACATGGCGACTTACAGTCGATTACTTGTAGGTAGATTCTTTTTCCATCTTGTATAATGAGCTCAATGCTTGGTGCCACAGAGGCAGCAATATGACTTTCATCTATCCGAATTCTTTCGTTCCGCTTGTCGTAATTGAATCCGGCAATACCAATGAGCGCTCCTACATGCTCCCAGACCGCAACAGTTTTACGAAGCCGCTTAAGATAAGCCATAAAAGCGAAGCACTACGTACGGTTCATAATCGAAGGTCATTAGAACAAAGAGTATCCTGTCAAGTAAATTTGCCTCGACTGACTCGGGCTCTGGCTTTTCAGAAGCGCTTGCTGTCACCCCAAACAATATAACTTCCTGATGCAGAACTTCTTTTGTGTGAAATTAAGTGCGACAGGAATTTGTGGATACGAGATCAGCAGTTAAGCTTCTATCACGGCTTCACTAAGAGTAGGTGGTCTGGAAACAACTCCGATAGACATGCCGTTCTTGCCTGTATCATAGTAGATGGAAAGGGTAGTGGCCAAAACAGGCACAAGATGGTAGACTCTCACGCTACGCTTAATCTCACATTCTAGACAGATGCTCTGTCTGCTTATGGGTGAGTGATTAAGCGAATACAGCTCGCACGGAATAGCTCATACTACGCTGGACTATGAAGACACAAAACACCGATGGATTTATCTTAATACTTCAAGAGCCTAAACACAGCAAAGATTCCTGTGTGCCAACATTCTAGGTAGTCTAGGGTAGCAAGAAGTGATAGCATGAAATGATACTCTGGCATAGGAGGAAATGCAAGAAAGGCCCAAATCTTTCAATCTTGGTTCTACTAGGGGAGCTGGACCCGGTTAAGGAGGTTGTCGTGGAAGTTTTGGTAGTCCGTGCCGGACATACGAACCCCACCTCATTCCTACAAATGAGGAGAGTTCGACTTCAACTATGAGAGACACCATGCAAGACAGTGGTTGTGCGGTCTTTGTTTTTAACGATCAGGAAGCACCGTGCCTAAATACTACAATCGACCAGATCATTGGATTGGAGCTTCACAAATCCAATCTCCATGTTCGTAGTGACACTATCTTTCCATATCTCCGCTTAATCAAAGATTTTATGATTGAGAACGATCGTTGTACTGTGAACCAAATTCCAGCGTTGGAAAGGATCGGTATTGGTTTCTGCAGCTCCGGCACGAGGGCTATATGATTGTTGTCAGAGACCAGTACGGTCAGACTGACTTGAAGTCACCGAGGTATTCAGCGTTCAAAATTTCATGTTTCGTGTGGTTCCGTAGAAGAATCGTGCACTTGGGTTATCTTTGATGCTCGTTCTCTGACAGTGCCGGATACGATAGGGGTATTGCCGACACTACAGTCAACAAAATTCCTCTGGGTTACTCAGGTAGTAATTACTACATGAGAGAGACGAGCTTCTTCGTACCTAGGTATGCATGGCAGTGGATCAGGCAATCCGCCCCTGATTAGGTCGTTACCAAGTGCGGGGGACTTCCCCCGAACTTCACTCCACTTTCCCTACCCACGCGCAGAAACTTTCCAAGTTTTCTAGCATCGCGATTAATGCTACTTGTACAGAAAAACTAGATGGTAGAAGCTCACCGATAAATTATCGCAGGTTTGATGTCAACTGCCATCTTCACGGATCCTTCCGATATCGCATGGCGACGGGCCTTTTCTTATCATGTCGTATCTCGGATGAACCCCTCCAATCCTCCAATCCTCCAATCCTCCATGCCGATCCCTCTTTTGGGGTCGCTGCCGAACCACTAAAGACCCCAGCTTCTGCGCGCGACACGAGGCGACATAATCGGTATTGGTCAGAAAGAGCAGGGAGTTTATCAGAAGGACCATGCGCAACGTGAGATAGACAGCGGAGGATGTTACCTTGCACTCGCTACCGCCATGTAACGCCTGGGATATCCGGCTGCGTTAGCGTGTAGCCTGAGGTTGCACGTAACTCCACGGGATGAATGCAGTTTCTATTGGTTTTATAATCGCAGTTACTAGCTCATGGTGATCGTACATAAGACAGAGCAAGCAATCGGATTCTTCGACGTCGAGTCGCATCGCACCTTCTTCCACGACCTTCCTAGAAGCGCATACAGATTGCGTCGCTCCCGAGTTCGACATCTCATCTAGGTTCTTCAATATCTGAACGCGTTCTCGACATCTCGAATTATCAATATGTCGACGAACAAAGATCCTGAGCTCGCGAAAGACGGCCTCGAAGTCACGGCCTCCCTATCCTCGTCCAAAGATGCCAACGCACCTGTACCAGTCGAAGGAACGACCGAGCATCTGCCTACATACGAGCACGAGAAGGCTCTGACGTGGAAGTTTGATCTCAGGATTCTGCCCATGCTGGCTGTCATGTATCTCTTCAACGCGCTCGACAAGGGCAATCTGGGCAACGCAAAGACGGACGGCATGGACAAAGATCTTGGTTTCGTGGGCAACCAATACAACATCATGCTGAGTATCTTCTACGTACCATATGTCATCTTTGCGCCACCGATTGGTATGCTGGGAAAGAAATACGGGCCGCATCGTGTGCTGCCGATCATGATGTTCTGCTTCGGTAGTGCGACGCTGCTCGCTGCTAGCGTGCAGAATTGGAGTGGTATGATGGCTCTACGATGGTTTTTGGGTGAGTATTCGATTTGAAAGTGTGCATGGATGTACAACTAACGTTACACAGGTATGGCTGAGTCTGCATTCTTCCCATTGGTCATCTACTACTTGACCACCTTCTACCGTCGAGGAGAGCTTGCCAGACGACTGGCATTATTCTATGCCGCTTCCAATATTGCAAACGCATTCAGTGGACTGCTCGCTTTCGGTGTATTCCAGATCGAGTCAAAGCTTGACTCGTGGCGTTACCTGTTTATTATTGAGGGAGCACTCACAGTCTGCTTCTCCTTCTTCGCCTACTGGTACCTCCCCAAGAACGCCTTCGAAGCCAAATTCCTCAATGAGTCAGAGAAGCAACTCGCATACACGCGTATCCAGATCGACTCTTCATCGGTCGTTGACCAAAAGTTTAATCTAAAAGACGCTCTTGGTATTTTCAAAGAGGCATCAACCTATGGCTTCCTAGCCATTGAAATTTGTCTCGGTGTACCGCTGCAGTCCGTATCGCTATTTCTGCCACAGATTGTCGCGCGACTAGGATACGATCACATCAAGACGAACCTTTATACTGTAGCGCCCAACATCGTTGGAGCAATTGTTCTTCTCATCTTGGCTTTTGCCTCGGACTTTACTCGTCTCCGCTTCCCGTTCATCGCTCTCGGCTTTCTGCTCACATTCATCGGCTTCATCATCTACGCCACCATTGACGTAGAACAATCCCTTACCGTTGCCTACTTCGCCTGCTTCATGATGACATGGGGTACATCTGCACCTTCCGTTCTCCTCTCCACATGGTACAACAACAACGTCGCCGACGAGAACCGGCGTGTAACCCTTACCTCGGTTGGTGTGCCGCTGGCAAACTTGATGGGTGTCGTTAGTTCGAACATCTTCAGGCCACAGGATGCGCCAGAGTACATCCCTGCGCTGGCGACTACTGCAGCTTTCGGAGCGACTGGATGTTTGTGTGCAGCGCTGCTGGGTGCCTACATGGTTGTAGACAATAAGAGGAGGAACGCGAAACAGGGCGTCAACCACACTGCTAGGGATGTTTCAACCGAGAAACTGAGAGATGGACCCAAGAACCCAGACTTTAGGTGGTTCTTGTAATTTGGATTGGAGAGTCTCGTCGCACCCGATATGTCGTTATTTTAGTTCAAAAGTACTTTGCCATTTCAGGTACAGAGCGCGAACTATCGCATAGACCTAGATACCCATTGAATCTCATAGTTGTATCTTCAAAAAGGAACACAGGCGATGTGCACTGATCCGATTGCGGAAATGCTCCTTAGGCACCGTGACTGACCAGGTCACGCGTCCCCATCACCCGAACGGGCAGTGAGACAGTTTGGAATAGCGACGGCGATTCCGACAGGCTAGGCATGCTTTCCGTTGCAAGAACCACAGATGTGTCGGACTACAGGTAGAGTATGCGCGAGGAGTATTGAATGAATGAAAAGAAGCAAGAGTGAATAGAAGCTGGGGAACAGAGACGCAGCTGCAAGGATGCTTCTATTGCAGAGACGGTCGGGAACGCAGCCGGACGTTAGCGCCATCTCTTATCGCCGAGGCGCATCAGTCGTCACGCAGCCTCACGCGCCTCACTCGGCCATCAACCGTCACGGGTCGCAGCTCAGAGCTGCCTAGTACCTTGCCGTCGCTGCCTCGATCTCGACTCTGTTATCCCTCCACCTCATCCCCTCCGCATTCCATCTGGACATAGCTTGCGTTCTTGTCCACAACCCATCACTTTGCGCTACCGCGTCCGATAAGCGTTGCTGAGCTCCGGAAGCTCGACTCATCTCCATCATGGCGGTCAAAGCTGCAGTGCCCTTCTTGGTGGCTATGATGCTGTTGACGGGTGTGTGTAACACACTGCTAACCAAGTACCAAGTACGTAAAGCCCTCCGTGCAGCTCCCCTGCAGCCAAATGCTGACTGCGCGCAACTAGGACATGCAATGCGTCAACAACTGCGACTCCCCTTCGCCGAAACATCGCGACCATTTCGAACAACCTGTCCTGCAGACCCTTCAGATGTTTATGGGTGAAATGGGTTGTTGGCTGGTGATTGGTGTCTTCCAACTCTACCAGCGGTATGCCAGCGCAAAGGCTGGCTACGAGGCCATTCCAGATAATGAAGGGTCAGATGACAGTGAAACGGGTGCTGTCGCCAACCTGTTGAGGCCCGCACATCCTGATGACGAGGGCAGAATACCGCTCGAGGGACGCAGCATCTTCTTGTTGGCGCTTCCGGCCTGCTGCGATATTGCCGGAACCACGCTCATGAACGTTGGCCTGCTGTTTGTCGCTGCTAGTATCTATCAGATGACCAGAGGCGCATTGGTCCTTTTTGTCGGTTTGTTCAGCGTGTGGTTCCTCAAGCGCCATCTTGGTCTCTACAAGTGGTTCTCGCTCTTTGTTGTCGTAGCTGGTGTCGCTGTTGTCGGACTCGCAGGTGCTATCACCAAAGATGACAAAGCATCGCCCGGTCATCAATCGATTCATGATGAGGCAACCGGCTCGGTTGGTGTCGACGCGGCGACTTCGCAGGCCGCCATGACCATTATCGGTGTCCTGCTTATTGCTGGTGCGCAAATCTTCACTGCGACACAGTTCGTGCTTGAAGAGAGGATCATGGAGAAGTATGCTATGGAGCCAATCAAGGTTGTAGGCTGGGAGGGTATTTTTGGCTTCTTGGTTACGCTCATTGGCATGATCATCCTACATTTCGCCATCGGAACTGGATACTTCAACGCCAGAGAGGGACTGTACCAGATGACGCACTACCGTGCCATCGCAGTGTCCTCGCTGTTGATCATGGTCAGCATTGGGTATGTCTTCTTCCATTCATATCCTCAATCCTCGCTAACATGTTGCAGTGGCTTCAACTTCTTCGGTCTATCCGTAACTCGGACCGTCTCCGCTACTTCGCGCTCCACGATTGATACTTGCCGCACACTCTTTATCTGGATCGTGTCGCTTGGCCTTGGCTGGGAGACGTTCAAGTGGCTTCAGGTTGCGGGTTTCGCTCTGCTAGTGTACGGTACCTTCTTGTTCAATGACCTCATTCGTCCGCCGATCAAGGCATGTGTGGAAAGGAAGAACGAGCCCCTGCTACCTGAGGGCCCCATCGAGCATCTCTAGCATGTGAAGGGAGGAGATGATGGCGCGGCGGCGCTTTGGGAATACTGAGACTGGGCTTGGCATTGACCGGCGTTTGGGAAACTCTTGCATGCAGTTACCGAATATTATATTTTGTACCAGGTGAAATTATTATGTGTACTGCTTGACGCTTTCATGATTGGGGGACCAGATGCGGCCATCTATGAGCCTCTTCGTATGATGAATGGGTGTGGTCCGAGCTTTAGCGCCCACTTGCTTCGCTTAGCATTTTGGTCGCTCTCTCACGGAAATCAACTACGACTTCAATAACAACGGCTCGACTTTTCTGAACACCCACGCCCGGAGTTCAGATACGCCCTTCCACAGTTCGACAAAATGGCCACCACTCAAACCGCAATGTGAGTTTACCTGCACGCCATCGCATGGCAAAGACGCGCAACTGGGAATGAGTACTGACGGCCTGCAGCTCCAAGAGGAGAAAGTTCGTTGCTGGTACGATATACCCTCCCTACAAGTAGAAGACGGAGCATGCAAGAGATGGGCATCTTGGGTCATTGCAGCGTGGCATAGAACCCACGAGGCTCAAGACGTCGAATGCGAGATATGAGGGGCATTGCGCACACAGACAGACCGGTCGCTAACATCACCTCCTACAGACGGTGTCTTCTACGCCGAGCTGAACGAGTTCTTCCAGCGCGAGCTGGCCGAGGAGGGCTACTCCGGCGTCGAGGTCCGCGTCACCCCCACTGTCACCGACATCATCATCCGCGCCACACACACCCAGGAGGTTCTTGGAGAGCAGGGTCGCCGCATCCGTGAGCTCACCTCGCTCATCCAGAAGCGATTCAAGTTCCCCGAGAACTCCGTCTCCCTCTACGCCGCCAAGGTTCAGAACCGTGGTCTCTCCGCCGTCGCCCAGTGCGAGTCCCTCCGATACAAGCTTCTCAATGGTCTGGCCGTCCGAAGGGCTTGCTACGGTGTCCTGAGGTTCATCATGGAGTCTGGCGCTAAGGGTTGCGAGGTTGTTGTTTCCGGAAAGCTCAGGGCCGCCCGTGCCAAGAGCATGAAGTTCACTGTAGGCATACGCACATGGGATGCAGTAGGAATTGGCATACTAACGTCATACAGGACGGTTTCATGATCCACTCCGGTCAGCCCGCCAAGGACTTCATTGACCACGCTACCCGCCACGTCCTGCTCCGCCAGGGTGTCCTCGGTATCAAGGTTAAGATCATGCGCGGCTCCGACCCCGAGGGCAAGGCCGGCCCATCCAAGACTCTGCCCGACTCCGTCACCATCATCGAGCCCAAGGAGGAGCAGCCCGTTGTCCAGCCCATGTCGCAAGACTACGGCGCCAAGGCCATCGCTGCTCAGCAAGCCGCAGAGCAGGCCAGGCAGGCCGAGCAGGGCGAGGGCGAGGCCCAGCCAGCTGGTGGTGAGGGTTACTCTGAGGAGCAGTAGGTTGATCATTTGCTGCGGGCGCAATGAGGTTACGAAAAGGCATTTAGCGGAAGGATATGATGCCATCACGAACCCTGACACATCTTCCTTTGCACATTCGGAATGGACTGGGCTGCTTTTTTGACTAGGGAGGGAAAGGAGTCTGCACTGCTTCACTGCTATGTACTCAATGAAACCACCCAAACATCAAAGATGGCTTGACCACTCGAAATGTGTTCTGACCATTGTCATTGCTTTTTAATACTTTTCACTTTCACGTGTTTTTTGTTCAACTCGTTCATATTGATACGTGGGTGAGTTGCGATCACACGCGAACACTTGGGAGTTTGTTTAATGTTTCTGATATAGCCTTGCTGATGTGCTAACGCGTGCAATATTTACAGTTTTGAAGCGACAGAGAATGGTCACTCAGATGCTGCCGAAAACGGCCAGACTACTCATGACCTTGCCGTCATCCCCAACCATGAGGTTCCACCCACAACTGCTACCCAGCCCCGGGTTCTCAATCCAAGCTGGCTCCCAGTAGAAAAGACCTGTACCCTTACCGTTTGGAACAGCAGCCACACGCTTCGCAACCTCCTTCATCCACTGCGTCTGGCCATCTACACTGATTGGAATGCTCTTCACATCCGCAGGGAAAGCAGTTGATGGGTTGGGGCAGTAACTCGGCCAATTCGTCTCAACAACCATGACCTCCTTGCCATACTTTTTCGCCATATTGTTCAAGCTTGTGCTGAGCGCAGATAGCGTGGCAGCGCTGTTGTAGAAGGGGTAGTAGGATACACCCTGGACATCATAGTCTGCGGCCGACAGCCCACCACCTGATCCTAGCACGAGGTCGTACCACCACTGCTGTGTCTCCCAGTTCCAGCCATTGTCTAGATGGATCATGATCTTGGGCTTGGGGCTCATGGAGGACTCTTTGATGGCTTTGGATGCTGATTTAAGTAGCGCGGCAACGTTCTTCGGTCCATCGGTGCCAGAGAGTTGGCCAATAGGGAACAAGAGGCCGGGTGTGATTTCATTGCCGATGCTAACGAGATTGAGGGCGATGCCGTTGGTGGAGAAGGTATTGATCACGTTCTTGGTGTAGTCGTATACCTGCTTGATGAGGGCCTCGCGATTTAGCGATTTCCACGCTGCTGGTACGACTTGTTTGCCTGGGTCGGCCCAGTTGTCGCTGTAGTGGAAGTCGAGGTAAATGCCTAAACCGGCCGCTTTCGCGCGTTTGGCAAGTTTGAGGTTGTAATCGAGGTTGTAGTTCCCATCTGAGGGGTTTACCCATATGCGTTGGCGAACAGTATTTACGCCGCTGTTTTTGAGAATGGTCTCAAAGGGCTGGACCGTACCAGCCGCGTTTTTGTACTTTTTGCCGGCTGCTTCCTCGATAAGAAGGGAAGACCAATCTGCGCCTTTGTAGGGCAGGGCGGCGAGTGCCGCACTGGCAAAGAGGAGAAGAGACGTAAACCGCATCGCGAACGAGGATGATCGATGCTGAAGATGGGATGCCTCTCAACCACCCAAGAACCAGCAGCTATATACCAGCACTCATCATATAACCCGTCACTGAAGAGCAACGTTTGAGAATGGCGGACAGACCTCTACATGCGGCAACACATCCCCTTCAATTTACACCGTCAGCCATTTGCATTTGAACGTGACACCGAATGATCAGTCTAGAAGAGTGAGAAATAGTACTTCCTCCAATAATAGCCGGTGCCGGTATACCAGGCGTAGTTTCGAAACATATGAAATGCCGAAGCGAGCTTTGCCGTGTGGGGCAATTGAACCGGGGTAATGACATAAAGCTCCGGGGAAATCTAACTAGAATTGCCGCAGAACACGTGGGAGTTGGTGCGGAAATGCGTAAACGGAGGAAATGAGTTCCGGATCAAGTAACTCAAGAGGAAATACAGGCTAGTAATTATGTGGTGTCTCGTTTGCGCAATGTACGTTGTGGTAAGAAAAAAAAAGAGAGCATGACAGCAAGGATCCCGGAAGAAGTGCAGAGATGGCCTGTGGGTGAAACAGTTGAGAGATATACAGGACATGAAAGGACGGTTAAGAGTATTATCTATACAGTAAACCTACAGGACAAGGTGAACAAAAGTGAGATGGTTGCTTTACTGATCGAAGTTCTTGATCTCGGGCATCATGCCCAGACCCTTGCCTTCCTGTTGTGTTTTACCCTCGCCCTCGATGACACCTCCTGCCTTACGCTCGTTGACATGCCTCCGGAGCAAGCTCAGAATTTCACTGCCCTTCCACCTGCTAGGCACAGGCCTATACGCAGGCTTGAAAGTGCCGACCGTCTGCGCCCATTCACCCTCTCCAGGTTGTCTCTTACGCTCGTCCTTCTCAGGCAACTTCGTCTGTGCCGTTGCATCCATGCCCTGTGCGTTGGCGGTAGACATTGCAGAGCCACCGCCCTCGGCTGTCTCGTGGGACGTGGGTGTGGGCTCTTGAGTTGCCCAGTAGTAAATGTCCCAGTCGTTTTCGTCGAGGAAAGTGTCGTACTGCTGCATCAATGAAGGAGACATGGTGCTTAGGTGGGCGTCGGCGAAGGTGCTGAGAAGGAGATCACTTTCTAGGGTTCCCCTCTTGCGGCTCTGATCTAATTACTCGTTAGCCATGCTTCGCCCAGGTACAGATGTTGTATATGCGGTGAGGAATAGGAGATGGGCAATGTATGAACGGACATAATAACCTCGCACGCATAGTGTTGGGGTCTTCTCCAGTCCTGCGAATAGGCTCGACCTTGAACTTGGCGCCTTCCATCTCGCCAACACCTAGTTCGCTGTTTGCCCCGCTGACGTCCTGGTCCTTGCTGCCCTGTGTTCCGCCCGTCATGCGCTTAGTGTTCTCAGGCACAGAGTCTTTAGGTGTGAATTTGCTGTCGGCATTGGTGATCAATTCGGGCGGGGCAGCGTCTTCGCCAATCGAAGGCATCTCATTGGCAATAGTAGAGGTGGTGTTGGTAAGGTGAGGGTTCAGCGGCCTCTCGATTTGGTATTTGCGGTACGTCTCGGAGGTGTCGTTGGTGCGCTTGTTGAGGGCTTCAAACTCATTGTGGCGGATAGTGGAAATGCTGAAAGTACGGCATTGGGTGCGCTGGAGGGAGAAGAGGGCGCGCGTCGAGCGAGCAACTAGTCTTGAAGATGCCATGGTGCAAACAGTCCGTCGTGAGGCCTCAATTGACGTTTAGACAGATTGTACAAGGTGGGCGATACCGAGGGCTGTGGAAAACGTCACCGGGCCAAAGCTCCTGGATTACTAAGCCGAAAATGAACCCTGTGATCGGCTCGTGAAGTCTATTACTCCTACACATCACCCAATAGTATTTCAGCCGTTCCATGTGTAAAATTTCGCACCATAATCGATGCAATTCAACACAACATGTGACATGCAAAGCTGCCATGTTGTCGCTCTACTTTTACATGATAGGCTCTCATAGCAATGCTTTCGCCGCTACTGTACAACGTCGCCAGAAGAAGCCAGTCGAGCTTGCATGTAGCGAGCTTTCGCTATACTACTCGGGTGTGAAATAATGTAGTGAGAGATTTTAGGACCGTGCTTTAGGCAGTGTATAGCCGCCCAGGTCGTTGAAGAACTTGCCGCCTCTCGTCATAATATCAAATATCTCCACTCCTAGCCAATCTTTCGTTGCGCTTGTTCTTGCCACTTCAATCTCTCTCACCAAGTTGCCTGCGACCTGGAAACTGATATCAGCACTACTTCTTCCAAAGGGCAACTTCCTACGACGTTGTTGTAGACTCACCATCATGCTATGGCCCTGTCTCTCAGGGTGCATACTTGTGGTCACAATAGCATTAGCTACATCTGCAGTTGTATTTGCTGGCAAACCATAGTCCTTCCACTTCTCTGAGTAACCTGAGGTAATGTGCGTAGGGGTGAAGAAGGGTGCTACGACATTGACTCGAATACTGAGCTGCTGGGCAACAGTCTGTGAGGCTCGCGCTAAACCTATTACGCCATGCTTGGAAGAGACATATGAGACTACGCCAGTTCCACCGAAGTACCCAGACGTTGAGGCTATAAGTACGATCGAGCCTCGTGCACCGTCCAAGTCTAGTGGGTTCGATTTCATCGAGTGCATAGCCATCCGGAGAGCTACTTAGTATCAGAGACAGGCCTGGAAGGAATGCGTGATTCAATGGCTTACTATTCATAGTGCCTTTCAGATTAACATCGATGATCTTGCCAGCTTCAACCGCCTCCATTAGTTCTCCTTGCTCGTCCTCTTCAAAGTCGAAGAAACCTTTGCTTTCCATCAGCCCTGCATTCGCAACGACGATATCCACTTGACCAAATGTCTTCTTTGTCTCCCGAAACAGGTTTTGCATGTCGCTCCAACTAACAATGTTAGTGGGGTGATAAATGGCTCGTGATGGTTCAGGTAGAGATGAGACAAGAGCATTGGCTGCCTTGCTGGAGGAAGCAAGATCGGCTACGACGATATTACAACCATGTTCATGGTAGGTACGAGCTGTTTTCGCACCGATGCCATTGGCGCTGCCTGTGATTATGACGGTTTTGGGCTTGCCATTAGGCAGGTAGTGGCACGAATTGGTACTAGACATGCTTCCTGGTCGTACTCAGGCTTTTGCTTCTGCTTTCAAATGAGTAATCGTATGTAAAAGAGGAGAAAAACTTTTGACAATTGGAGTCGATGGAGACGGTGCTCCGTGATGGTGCTCTGGATCAACTCCAAGTAGACTCTCCCAGGTTGCTGCTTACATGCTGCATCTACCTAGAAACCCAGTTGAGTGTTGTAAGCGGACATGCCAGTTTCGGGGAGAGAGGAGCCTCTCCGTAAAGTATGGTGATGGTGGAGGGTGCCTGGGTATGTCTACCCCGCATGCCTGCTTTAGAGCGACGCGCGCCGAAGCTTGAAGACGCGTCGCAGCCGCGATCGGTCCTTGTACGTGCTTCACCATCCCGACAATCGGAAGACGCAATGCCGACAGTCAGCAGATGTCCCGAGAAGTGCGTTGTTGTGCCGCTACTCCAGACTCCTCCGTGATAGTAAGAGAGTCATTATGTCGACTAGTACGATCCCAATACCCCGCGACCCAACCGATGACGAGGCTCTTGCCCTGTTCAAGACGGTAGAGGAGAAGTTTCCTTCAAGGTCGCTTGGAGGTGACAAGTGGTATGTCCTTCTGGTATGGGATCATCCTCTTTACACATACAAGAGCAGTGATTAACTCTTTGTAGCTTGCGTCGATCGTTGGCGGCGGACAGCCCGGCTTCGCGCCCCTGCTCTACAAGGAGCTTATCAAGCGACCTGAATACCAGACACCCGAACACCGCCAGGCTTTGATGCGAAGAATACGCGAGACACTGTTCAAGCTCATCGTCATTGTGGGTGTGTGCAAGCCACTGGAAGCCATCTTCGACATCGATGCAATTACCAAGCCAGAGGACAAGGACTATACATTCTCAAGGTATAGGATCAGAAATCATCAGCACGCAAATGTGAAAACTGACAGCAGGGCAGAGAAGGATGGCAATGTGATGAGGCAAACTCAAAACGTGGTGCAGCATGGCAAGGTCGCTTGTACCAGCACAACCAAGAAGGCATCGATAATGTGTTAGCTTCACAGAAGGATTTTGGCATGTGAATGTCTAGTCATTCTGTAGTCTTATGCTGACGAAGCGTAGATTGGACGAGCAAGCAAATTACCTACGGACTCTATCTGTCCGATCACAGCATTCTCAATGACGTTGAGACCGAGCTCACTGTACTCAGCGGCATCATGATTCAGAATCTGCCTAGAGAAACCGCCTGGCATTTGCGCGGCACCAGGCGCATTGGCGTTAGCAGAGATGACGTTGAGACGATCCAACAATGCGTAAGACAGCAATTAATTCGTGCTTCATAGGCCATACTGACCCGGCACAGATCGAGCTTGTCGCCAATTTCTGTGGCTTACGACTGCACAAGGTACCAAGGGTCGCGGATATTGAGCATGAAGTCTAAGTCGACAGTCGAAGCAAACGAAACGTGCTATAACAGAGGAACAGAAGCTACTTCCCAGCCATCACTGGCCTGCCTAAACTTCCGATACCTGAGATTAAGCACTAATGCAATCTTCATTCGCGCAAGATAACGACTTTGTGGCAGCCAGACGCAGTGAATTGTTCTTTCCAAGAGAATTGTGCTTAGCCACGGCATACGAAAAACGTTCAGAGACGGTCAGGTGGAAAGGAAACAATAAGTACTGCTCTAATTCCATCGTGTTATCAACCAATATGTCGATGTCTCTCCGAATTTCTTTACTCATCCTGATTTTGAAAACTTTGGGGAAGCAGTTGCGATAGCCTCTTTCTGATCTGTATCCTTTGTATATAGCTGTACCAGCGCGGCAAAGTCGTTGACTAGAGCTTATCTTATAACCTATACTTTCTGCATCACTTTCTCCTCTGAGAGTTTCATCTTCGCTGTTGCTGCTTCGCTAGCATTGATTGCCATGGTAGCTTAGTCTCACTTTGTTTGGTCGGTCATGCTGATGTGCTTTCACTACGAATGCAAGAGTAGAAGGTGCGCTCGATTCGAAAATGTGAAGAATTGGTATTTAGATCGGCTAATCGTGCCTAAAGACGCTCCTACATGAATCAAGGAACCCCTCTTTTGAGTCCGTCCCACCCAAGTCTAATATGACGATAAAACATGCTGAAGAGGTTTTCTATACAAGAACGTAATGATAAGACATGAGACGCCGATGGACGCCGACATGAGAGACCCGCCTGATACAAAATTGGCGTAGATGACGGCTATATGAGGATCGTGCATGGGATGGTTCCGAGATTGGTGAAGCAGGTTGAGATGCGCGTGCGCCGAACGTAGGTATCTTGGGTAAGGCCTAGAGACTCTCGCTTAATTCGAAGTTGCCCTACCACCCTTCGTCCTTCTGGTTCTTGCCCTTCCCTTTCTTGGCAGCGGCCTTTTCCTCTTCGGTCATCTCAATCAGCTCCGCACCTTCAAGCTTGAACCCCTTTGCATCCACGATGTGCTCACTCGCTGAGCCCAGGTACGCCTCGTGCAATCGCGGTAGGAAGTACTGCATGACGCTGTCCGCCAGGTTCTTAGCTACAAGGCCTTTGTCGACCCAGAAATGTCGTACAAACACGCCCTTGCAACCACCCCGGTTCGCAGCCTCGGGTGCGCCATTGGCTTCGACGCAAGGGAGAACACGGATATCGTCCGGTCGGTCGTAGTCATATCGAAGATAGTTTCCAAAGGCGGCTTGTTCGTGCGCCCAATCTGTCTTCCAATGCGCGCAGCCCTTGTACTTGGTCTCAGAAGGGCATTCCGCCCAGGCCTTGTACATCTCTTGTGTCCTCTTGCTCTGTCGTGCGATGACGAATCCGGTGTTGAGGTATCGGTTGCCCTTCGCATCGTAGTTCTGCGGCTCGTTCGGGTCGATAGACATCATGGCAAGGGTATCGTCGGTCATGTTCCAGTAGTTGAGCAGCCACTCGAGAGGCAGGTGAGGGTAGTGGAACATGACGTCTGAGTCCATGAAGACAATGTATTCATGGGTCTTGAGCGCTTCCTTCATCATTGGAACCTTGACCCATGTGCCCCACCGGTCGGCGTAATCGGGTGCGCGAATGAACTTGTAATCGTAACCGTGTATTTGTGCTGCTGCATGTTAGCCGAGTCGCTCCACATGCCAGAACTGTCGTTGGCGACCTGCCATGCGTCGTGGCAACGTACCGAACATGTAATGCCCCAGCATGCCCGCACTCAACGAGCGCATGCCTTTCCACTTCAAATGCGGGTCCATAAGCTGACCCTTATCCGTCAACGGTCGGCTATCAATGTCCAATATAAGCACCTTCTTGCCTAGCTTGCTCTTGAATTTTGGTTCCCCGGATAGTCTGTATATGTCTCCATCTTCGTCGGTAAAGTTGGCGGCGTCGATGGGGTGTAATATCGGACCGTAGAGGGCTTTTATTATTGTCGCCATCGAGACGTCATCTTTGGGTAGAGAGACATTTTGCGTGTGCGGGTACCTGTGGTGATTTTGTTAGGCACGCCTTTATGCGAGGGTAATTCAAACGTACTGTGACCGAAGGCTGCTCGGGACGTATGCAGAAGGATAGCTGAAGTAAACCAAAGCCAGCGCCATGGGTATCATAGCGGTCAATAAAACACGTCGCCATCGCCCTTGTGGCCCCATGTTGGCCAGCGATTGGTATGTGTAGTCGGCCATTGTCGCGGTTCACGCTCTGGGGTTCAGAAGCCTAGGATGACCCAAGTTCGCCTGCGCGTACGAGTCCAGAATCGCAGTCCTCGGTCTTCTGCATCCAAGTTCAGTCTTCTCCAGCGAGTCCCCCAGAAATCGTGAATCCCAACAACTGGAGCGTGCGTCGCAGAGTCTACCGCACAAAAACAAGGTGGCGTGAACAGAAGACGACAACGTATGCGAATAGCCAAAAAGCGCTGCGCCAGGTGCTAAAAAGGAGCAAGAAGAAAGGTAAGATGGCAAGTTAAGTGTCCCTCTCCCTCAAAGGAGGTGGCCGACGCCCCCAGTTTAGTGGCAGTTGTGTCAGACCCGAGTTGGTAGATCCTTGTTTCCATCCCTAAGCAATGCAGGGGCCATCACCGACTGCATACGGTTTAGCTGCCGCGCCGGAAGGGGCTGAAAGTCTGAAACGCGATCTGGGATGCGCAACCTGTGGCTGTGCCATGTCATCCAGCGATCCACATGGAATTGCGATGGACAAAAATTGGGATGCGAATGGCAAGAGCACTGGAAAACTGCACGCTCAACTGACCATCTGTTGAGTGTTGATTCGAGCTAGATTAGATCAGTCGACATCGCATGCGCCTTTGTGGTAGTCAGCTTATTAGCTACTTTGTACACGCAAGCCTCTCGTACTCGGCTATAGATGGCAGGATCGACGCTGAAGCGGCGGTGCGGAAACATCACCATCACTCGAAACACAAGAAAGGTGCATGCTTGAAAATGCCTTATCGTATCTTTCTTCGTCTCGTGTTGCCCGCTCTTGGCTCTTTACTAAATGAGTGATTAGTCGTCTCTTGATTGCGGAAACTTGGTCATGACATGTGTGTTGGGAGCAAGGCTCGAGAATCTGTGGTACTGTGTTACGTATGGCAGGGTAATGCAGGGTCTCATCCAAACTTGTGTTAGATTGTAATAACAGGGCCTGTATACCTTCAGAGTACTCTAGCGTCGCCGTCGCAATCTGTAGGGCGTCGCAAAGGTGTTCAAGCTGCACTCGGAAGGTTAGGCATCCAGCAAGCGCAATAGCTCGTAGTCTTTTGCGATACCAGGACTATTCCTCGCACAACTCTCGATAAGTGTCATCATGATGCTTACCCACTCGCGCCATCCCTCCGGCAGCGTTTCTCGCAACTTTGGGTCTGGCGACCGCGCTACGGCGTGAAACAATAGCACCTGTCCGAAGCACTGACAACACCATCCAAATTTTATTGGTAGAGCCGACAACATCTGGGTGCAAAGCCCCATGGTAGTCGGCCAGTACATGCCCCCTCGAAGGCCCTCGCGCACCTCGTCGTACTCTGCATCACTGGTGTATGCTGGCGCGTGCAGCGCTTTGTAGAGAAATGGGCGGCCGATGTGGAATTTTGCGACGAGGTAGCGGCTTCGTAGCATGGCTTTTGCGATAACATGTGCAGGGCTGGGAGAGTCACTGGCGTTGTCATTGTCCAAGAATTGAAGAGACGGTGGGAGGTTTGCGCGCCATTGCTCGAGTTGGTGATGCATTTCGGCTGTTAAGCTGGCGCTGGGGTAGCTATCCTTCTCAGCAAACGTGTACAAACTCTGCTTCACGCGTGTCAGAATAATGCGATGAGCGGCCTGAGCGAGGAAGTGGAAATTGAAGAAAGAGTCGTCTTCATCAGTGAGCAATCCCGATATAGAAGTCTTTGGCCGTGGGCATTGGGTGAACTTTGGTAGAGGCGTATCTGGCTCATAGTCCAATAGTCCACTGTGTGGAAGTAAGTCGAGTTCCTGTATAATGACAGTTTCGTACATCAGAGTACACCAGAAGAGGCGCGATAGCATGTCACCTTCCCATGTATCGTAGTCGACTGCCCCCGAACGGGTAAGAATGCTAGCGCAGCAGAGGGCTGCCCGATTCACGGTAGTCCATGAATCGAGAGGTCGCAGGATCTGGGCATAGTAGAGCGTCGAAAGCATGTAGAATTGGCCCGCTTGTATATCATTCTCGCACATGAGAAAACCGAATCGGTGTCTCGCTTCGTTGAAAAACTTGAGGCCCGGTGGGTCATCTGCAACAAGTTCGTACCAGTCTGGGTGTTCAAAGCCAGGTCTGGCTGCAGAGTGACGCGAAGGAAGAGCGAAGTCCCCTTCCTCATGAGCTTTGACAGCTAGGCAACCCAATGCGAGCACGTTGAGCACTAGCGCAGTTTCAACATCATACCCGAATTCGTTCTCCATAGCTGTGCCTAGCGTACTTGAGAAGAAATGATACTTGTCAAGGATTGGCATGTTGCGATGAAAAACGGCAAAGTACGCATCCGCAAGTCCTTTCACTGCCGACTGTGGAAGGCTCATCAACCAACTTTCCGGGGCGGTGCCGTATGGACGATCGATGTGTATCGGTAACTGCGCTCTTCGATTCTCGATGTCGACTATGTAGTCCTCTGGAAGCTCTGCTCGAACAGAGACAAATCCAGTGGGGAGAATCTGTTGTATGGCGGGCCAGAGCGCGACACGATGCTGACTGAAGGAAAGATCCACAGCACCTTGGACTTCTATGACCGGGAAAGGACTTTTGACAGGAGTTCCCACAACTTGTGGCGACATTGCCAACTCATGTATACTCAATTTACCGTTCTGGGAGTGATGAGATGGTATTGTTGAGACATGATATCCTGGACTGGGTTGTGAGAACAGGGTATGAGGTGATTGGTGGTCATTGATAGGTCCTGCTGGTGAGAGTGGAATAGCAGACGAAGGCTTGGGAGTATTAATTGCCGTCGTCAGATCTTCGATCTTTGCTTCCAGCCTCCGAATGGCATTGATGGCTAATGTTAAAGACTGATCTTTCTTCGTATTTCGCGGTGCCTGATAAGTGCACTCCAAATTCATGTTCCTGCAGTAACCGCATCTTGGTCGATCTTCATCACAGCGAGTCTTTCTTGATCTGCAAATGTCGCAAGCCTATTCTAGTCAGAAAATCGCTCTCGTATCTCCTTTTTTTTATAGCCACATACCAGTGTAGCCATGAATGACCGTGGCTTTTTCAGAAAAGAGCCGTCCCCGTCCTCATGGCTTCCGCTGCGCTCACCATCATAGGATGCCTGTCGTTCCGAGTGCTCTGCTTGCGAGGAGGCTATACTGGCATGGGACCTCTTGGTCATAGCACATCAAGATGTATCTGTCGAATTCGTGCATGGAAAGCGATGAATCGTTGCCAAGGTTGTATGAGATGGCTGGGAACAATGGATTATGACTGGCAACGGAGATGAACATGCTAGCGTGCACAGACGCTACGAAGAATCCGAGCTCGGAACTTTCGTAGACTCTACATCCTTTACCAAGACCTCCTCATGGTGCAACCACTCCATCAAGAGAGTCACATAACCTATTCACACGAACTCTGTAGGGTTTTGCAAGAGTCAAACCGCGTTGTGAAATCGCGATGGCAGCACTTATGTGCACGGGCCTACGCAGAATTACCCACTTGCGCGGCCTGTTTCCCATCGTAGCTGCCCTTCGATCGTTCCTACGCCAACATGTCCATACTTCGCAACCCTCAGCTTACTACTCTGTCTCTCACAGTATCGTATCACAGTATCGTCGTGCTCCATCGGCATGCGGTACGAACTATGCTATTTACTGATGCTTTTCCATAGCAACCGGCACAGGCCGCTGCATTTTCCTGCGCCGCTATTCTTGCAATACTTGGGAATATACGGCTCACTAGACCCAATCCCTAGCACATCGGCTTACCGTTCATGTGTGACTTCTCTTGCTCGTGTTATCATTGGCAACCAATAATCTGTTCTTAGATCTCTTTTACCTCTCACGCTCTCATTGTATTGCTCATCTACTTCGCCAAATGCAGTCTTTATTAGGCTGACTATGCACTTGCCCAGAGCTGGACATGGTGTGTATCAAGCTGGCGAGCGAAGCATGGCCTTGCTTGGTTGCTGCTTGGTCCCAGTTGCTTATCTGAAGACTCACGTGTAATATGGCTGAACGATTGTCTCCACACGGTCGCTACATCTTTATCCAAGATCTTGCGTGCTCGTATGCGAGCGTTGACGGTCCGTTGTGATATTTCCGTGCGTCAGGTTCGAGTAGGGCCAGGCGCGGCACGCCATGGACCTTGAATTACTCGCATCGTCGATGCCAAGCGACGACGAAGGTATCAAAAGCTTCTAGAGCTCGTAGTGCAGAGCATCAGAGGAGAATTCCAAGGTTGATCTCTGGGCTGCCGCAACATGACTCGCGGGAACTTTCCCCACGCCATCCTCCACACGCCAGCTTTCCCCACCATATCGCTCTTTCTTTCTCCGCTGAGTCACGTCTTGTACGATGCTCCCCAGCATGCGCTCCTTTCGTTGTGATCCTCCTCCCCAGCGGCGACAATGTCCTCTCCAGCACCGCCTGCCTCCCTGACGCGCGCCTCGGTCGAAGCCGCCCACGCCCTTATCAAACCGCACATCCACGACACGCCCGTCTTGACCAACACCACCTTGACCAACCTCGCCAATACTCGTCAAGCACCCGAAGCCCTGCAAAGAACACAATGGGAGGGCCAAGAGCCCGCGCACCCGAGGGTGAAGCTCTTCTTCAAGTGCGAGAATTTGCAGCGCATTGGCGCGTTCAAAGTACGCGGAGCCTTCCATGCCGTAACGCGATTGATTGAGAAAGAGGGGCTGGAGCAAGTGCAGAGGAAGGGAGTAGTCACACATAGCAGTGGTACATCTACAACCACGTCCCAAGGGGGCTCGGCGGCATGGCTAACATCAACACCAGGAAACCACGCGCAGGCCCTTGCGCTTGCTGCAAAGACCTTCTCCATCCCCGCCCACATCGTCATGCCCTCTATCTCCACGCCCTCTAAGATAGCCGGGACCCGCGCCCAGAATGCCAATATACATTTCTCCGGCTCCACGAGCACCGAACGCGAGGCTGTCGTTGCAGACGTAATCAAGGACACAGGCGCTACCCTAATTCCACCATACGACCATCCTCACATCATCCTCGGTCAAGGCACAATGGCGCTGGAGATACAAGACCAAGTAGATGAGCTGCTTGCAAGCGGTGAGAAACTCGATGCCGTCATAGCGCCCTGTGGTGGCGGCGGCATGCTAAGTGGAATCGCAGTCGCACTGCACGGCACTGGCGTACGTGTTTTCGGCGCGGAACCCAGTTTTCAAGGTGGAGACGATGCGAGGAGAGGCGTTGAAGCGGGTGAACGTGTCACCAGCGTCAAGACCTTGACCATCGCAGACGGACTTCGCACACCCCTCGGCCATCACACGTGGAACATCATCTCGAACAAAGACTACGTGCAGGCCCTATACGCCGTCACGGAGCAGAACATTAAAGATGCCATGAAACTTGTCCTGGAGAGGATGAAGTGTTTCGTTGAGCCGAGTGCCGTCGTTGGGCTGGCAACTATATTGTACAACGAGGATTTCAGGAATATGGTTCAGAGGGAGGCTGGGGACAAGACTTGGAACATTGGTGTTGTGTTTAGTGGAGGCAACACCACGATAGAGGCTATTACAAAGATCTTTGCCGAGGTACCGGAGGATAGGGCAGAGAGGCAGGAGGGCGTGCTGGGTAGAGATGGTAGGAGGGTAGCTGAGAACGTTGCGGGTTAATGATACACAAAAATCACGAAGAGAAGAGGAGATACCAAAGAGATGGTTTGTACTTTATGAGTTACACATTACATCGTATTCATTGCGTGACATCAGAGGAATGGTCTAGAACCACTTCTTCAGTTGTCCGGGCATAACACCCAGATCTCTCTTTCCAACGATGCTGGTCTCGTTACTCTGAGGGGTCTTGGGAAGAGTAGTGAAAGGCTCCCTGGATGTCAAGCTCTCAATGCGGCCCAGCAAGAACTCGAGCTGACGGTACGCACTGCTAGGCTGATACTGCGGCACCATGTGCCCACTCATAGCCTGTTGGACAAATGTCAACTTCCTCTCTGTAATTGTCTTTCCCATGAGGCCCTTTGCGCTCAAGCTGGTCAAGCTCAGGTCGTCATGGTAGGGCACATAGAAGTCATCGACAGGCGGGTTCTGGAAACCTTGCATGCCGCCCCAGGTCATGTTTTGGATAGCCATTAGGGTACCGTTGTAGAGGAGGATGTAGTCGAGCTCGCCGTGTGCGATGACGGTGCGATCTAGGGCGTCGATAACGCGGGGGATAACCTCCCAGGAAGATTGGGGAGATGTGTCAGTGTCGAGGACGCCGTTGGAGCACTCCGCCCAGGGCTGGATGGGCGCATTGATGGCAGCTTGTACTTCGGTACGGTTGAAGTAGATTTCCGTGTTAGGAGGAAGGTAGTCGAAGGAGCCGGGGAAGCCGAGAGGGTCCCAGAGAAGAGGGCAGGTGGTGGCAATGGCGTATACGTCGAAGCAAGGGTTGGTGTAGAAGACGGCGTTGTAGATGTCTTCCCACAGTCCGCAGCCTTCGGTATTGGCATCCATATCCGGGTATGGGAGCTTACTGGGCGGGGGGAAGGTCAGGTACTTCTCCATGTACTCGGTGTAGCCGCAGGCCTCAGAGCGGTTGTGGATATCGTCCATGAAGGTCTGGTTAAAGTTGAAGAGACCAGCCCATTTGTCGACAAAGGCAACAGCGGGAATATCCTCAAGAAGAACATCCTCAGCTACACTGGGGTCGTAAAACATGATACCCTTCACATCGTAGTAGGTAGAGTCGTTTTTGCTCAACATGGCATCCGCGATGTAAGGGACGTAGCGTCCGGCGTATGACTCGCCAGTGATGTACACCTTGCGGTTCTGCAGACCGAATGTATCAACAAAGTTCTTGAAGAAGCCAAGGAATTCCTCAGCGGTCTCCTCCTGAGAGGTGGCAGTAGCATTGCCTTGGGTGAATCCAGTGCCCACTGGCTGCTCAACCCAGACCATGTTGGTGAGGTTTGCCTGAGAAAGTCAGTAAATGCAAAGAGAGTAGAAACCATAATATTAACGTACCCAATTCCAGGGGTTGTAAACAGCGGCTGGTCCGGAACCGTACTGCCATGAGATCGGTCCGTTCTCTTGAAGAAATCCTTCAAGAGATGAGCAACCTGGACCACCGTTCAGCCAGATGGTGATCTCGTCACTCGCATCAGGGTTCTCGGATGGGAAGAACCAGAAGTACAGTTCAGAGGTCTCATTAGCAGCTTTGCTGATAGGTAAAAGACCAGCGTAAGACTCGCCAATGTCAAAATCGACGTCGGGGATTGCTCCAGCAGTTCCGTTGACAGCGAAAGCTGGCAGGTGTTAGCTGGTGTTGAAAGAAAGGTAATGCACAACATACACTTGGAGGCCTCGGTAGTGATGATCTGAGTGCTCTGACGCTTGTGGGGATGAAGGCTCGATTCTGGAACAGTCAAACGAGGACGAGGGAGCTCATTCTTCTTGCCAACAGAGCGAGCGCTTCGGGCAGAAACACTGGCTGTGAGGCCACCAACAGCGAGGAGTGAAAGAAGCTGCATCTTCGCGATCGCAGTGCCGGGATTAGTTGGAAGTCAAACTCGTGCTGTGACTATCAGGGACCGTGAAGAAGAAACCGTGTGGGCAACTGAGCCTTCTTGAAGTAGAAGTATGGAGCGTGAGACCGACGTCACCCGGCGCCACTCTGTACGCGACGCGGCATATGTCTTCCTGTACCTGGACAAACACAGATAGCTCATGGCGAACATAGCTTCAGCTCTTTACCTGATTAGGCAGGCGAGATTTAAGTCGCATGTTGATGATTACCCGAAGCATACCAGGCCAACATTCTCGCGTGCGTAGCTGCTCGTGCGATATGTCCTACGCAAGGATACTTGCTTGCGCACCATTGCGGATTAACGTAGCTGAAGATTGAAGGCAACGCGATGGTTGTTGACTCCTAAGACTGCGGCGTTACTTCATGACGTCGGTAATATCGTCCAGGTACGACCGCGATAGGCGGGGAATGCATGCTCCTAGATACACGACCACAGTGGCGGACCGAAGCTAACGGCGCAAAGCATTCTCCAAGCCCCGCCGGCGACGCCGCCAGTGCGATCAAGCACTGGTAGACCCACCTCGTATTTCTTGATAGAGTGGACGCAGACGGGAAACTATCCCTTCGGGCTTGTCGGATGCCAACTCTTATCTCTACGATACAAGCATCCAAGCCGTAATCCGGGGCCACGGTAGGCTCAGTGCGCGCCGCTGGGTACTAGAGGGAGGGATCGTCGAGCTTCATTACTGGTTGAGATTCGCCTTGGAAAAATATCGCCCCCCTACAGAGGTCGAAGGATCAAGCACCATGGCGGATGCTTGTCATGCCTTCGGCGCAGATAAGTGTTGCGCGCATTAACCGCATACGGCAGCTGTGAAAATTGTTGCTGTGGCGCTCTAACGTGACGAAAACAATGTGGTCACTCGAATCTGCAGGCCTCTACGTCCGGTTCAATGCGTTTCGGGCGACAAATTGAGGAAAGAGAATGGCAGGGACGTGGTGTGTGGTGCATTCAGAGTTGATGAAAATGTCAGCATTGGCGTTGGCGTTCGCGCGGCAGTCGTGGCGCATCCGGAAAAGGTAGCACTCTCACATAAGCAGAACACTTCACACATTATGATTGTCAGCAGTTCAACGTTATTCTCTTGGCCTGGTCATCAGGTTTCATCAATAGTGCGATTTCTAGATAGAGCCCTCCTTTTCAGCCAGCGTTGGATATGCCAGGAAACACTCGATGGCTTTCGCCTGATCCACAGTGGTTATAGGTTCAAGCCTCTCCACGGAGAGCACCACGGCGAACGCGACGTACACCATATTGTGGCGCAGTTGCCAGGCGAAGCATCTGCTCAAAGTCGGGCGTACCGTAGCCGGTGACAGGATCCCAGCCTTCGGTCGCATTCCAGGAAGCGTAAGGCACAAGTCGCGTGGGAAGCCCGGAATAAATGGAACGACCAGTGCATCCACGCGAGCCTCCCTCGACAATATCGTTCATGCCCTTGTAGCCTTGCTCGTAAATCCAAGGGTTCAAAAAGCCCAACGAAGGCATACCAGCTGCTAAACGAGCGTTGTTCAGAAGTCCAATGACTGAAGCGAAGACAGGCGCTGAAGCGCTGGTTCCTCCAACAGATGACAGACGAAGCTTATCGATAACCTGGAATCCTTGACCTTTCTAAGAGTTAGCTTTAGGTATATGGCATATTGCAGAAAAGAGTTTATTACCTTGAGCTGCGACATCTGGGAAGCCTCGTCCGTTGGTGTTGTATAAACCTTCCCACTGCGAGCCCAGTTTACCAAGGTAGTCAGAAACTGCCTTCTCTTGGTACGACGGGCGTGGCCAGAGATCAGAGAAGCCACCGGAAGAGAACGCAACAGCACGTTCTGGTTCCACTCCGAAAGTACCACCAACCGAAGTAACGTAAGGGCATGAAGCTGGGAAGATTGGCTGGAGACGGGTAGCGTTCTTGCCGTCATTGCTCTGGCAGGCAGATCCTGGACCAGTGTCACCGCTGGCTGGGTATTGTTAGCACACATTGCCCCAGATCTTCATGAAGCTACACTCCAAATTGGAAAATGCTTGGAAAACTTACAGAAGATAACTGAGACACCACGAGTACCAAGCTGGCCGATCAAATCACAAACCTTCTTGGCGTACTCCGCAGGAACGCTCTGCTCTGTCTCACCGTACGATGTCGTTAGTACTTGAGGCAACTCCTCATCCTCAAGCCCAACGAGATAGGTAAAGAGATCTAGATAGGGCTCATTGCTGTTTTCATCTTCATCAGGTTGATCAAGGTCAGGGACCAAAAGTCCTCGTCCTGGAACAGTGAAGAAGGTGGTCGAGATCTTGGGCGACACCAAACCTGCTGTGTACTGGATGTCGAGATTAGCCTCCACGCTGTTGGCCGTTGAGTTCTGGGGGAACGGTCCGTCTGAAATCGTCAGTTGGTTACAACGAGGTAATAACGACTGTATCTCACCATTTACAGATTGAACTTCGAAAGTTTTACCCGCAAGACTGGGAGCAAATCTTTGGATGAACAGGTCGAGATCATTGAACCGAGCATACTGCTCGAGGAAGCCGCTCACTCCAATTGTCACATTGGCCTTGTCACTGACATCGTAGTCCTTGAAGTTGTACAAATCTGCGAGACAATCGGGCGTGATCCTCGAGTTGCATGTGGCATTGACAGCAAGTGCCGAGACAGGAGCGACGTCTTGCGTTAGAACCTGGCTAAACTCTGGGCGGATCTCACCGAAGCGAGTAGTGGGCTGGATCATATCAATATGACTACGGACCTCGAGGGGTACAGAGTACCCCAATGAGCGAGTTCTCTTGAGTGCAGGACGCGCTTGACTCTGGTAGGTCTTGAACGTGGTACCCATCATCTGCTCGGCGCGCTTCACGGGTGCGAGAAAGTTGATCCACTCTCCCTTATTCTCGATATCTCGCGCTTCGATACCGGATTGCTCGAGCCAAGTAAGCACACTCGCAGTCGAGTCGGCTCTTGGTTTGATGAGATCTTTTAGTTCGTCTCGCTTTAGGTGCTGACCATAGCGAGGGTGGCTAGGAGTTGAAACCTCCATGAGCGTCCTTTCAAACAGGTCGCGATTGGCCTGTCGTGGTCAGCATCTCGATTCATGATTCCAA